CCCCCCCCCCTGTCACCCTCGATTCGTGCGTGTGGTAAAGTTCACTCGTGCATGTGTTCGGTTTATCACCGAAATGTTGGGAATTCTGGGGGAATGCATCTGCGAACTTTGTTATTTGTTTTTTTTATGGTCATTTATTGGTCGCATACTTGCGTTGAAAATGAATAAACAAATTGGGGGATTGATGGTAACAGGATTTCGTTGAGGGAGGATCAGGATATTCATGGTAATTTTTGCAAAGCGTTGAGAGAAAAACTACGCGCAGCTCTCCAATATTCGGTTCTATCGCCCTTTTCACTTATTTTTGTTTTATTAATGGAAAATAATTTGTGCGTGAGATAAAAATCACTCGTGCGTTTGTTATTTATCAACTTTGTTATTTTTTTTTATTGTTCATTTATTGCTCGCACACTGCCGTTGCAAACGAAAGAACAAATTGGGGACTGATGGAAATAGTAGTCGCTTCAGGAAGGATTAGGGTATCTACAGTAATTTTTGCAAAGCGATAAAAAAAATTGGGTCTGCCAGACACGTGAACTTTGCCGTGAGTTTAAATACCCAGTTTTACCGCATTTTTTTACTCACTTCTTCTGTCAATGGAAAATAATTTTTACGTGTGATAAAATTTATTGCCTGAATGTCGAGAATTCTTTCGGGAATGCTTCTGCGGATGTTATTCTTTTTATTATTCATTCATTGCTCCCCTACGTGCATTGAAAACAAATGAACAAATTGGAATAAAATGAACAAAACTCACAACATCAGCTCATTTGACCCGTCTATTTTAAATCGGAGTGTAAATTTTTGAGTAATAATACTAATAATTTTTGAGCAATAAATACATAATAATAATAATAATAATAATAATAATAATAATAATGAAAATCATAACATAATCTACTGTAATTTCTTGAAAAACGAATTTTATTTTTCCTAGAATGATTTCTAGACAGTTATTCATTCAAGAACATCTCTCAATTTCCGGAGATTATTTTTTCAACGAGTCATCATCTGTCAAAGTGTGCAGCCCTAAATTCCAAACCCGTCATTAAAGAGATTCTACAATGATCGCAACACAAGCATCACGTAACGCTTGCAATTGTCAGAATAATCGAAAAACAGTTGAATGATTGATTCAAATAATTGAACGCGTCACTGTTATTCAACTTGAAAAAATGAAAATTTGGTGAAATTGTTTCTCATTTGATTAAAAAAATTAGTCAACAAATAATTTCTTATTTGTATTCTTATTTATATTCAAGTCGACTTAGCTCTCAGCTGAATTTTCGAGGAATATCTTCGAATCCAAGAGAAATAGCCACATTTTCGTAATGACCTTTTCTCTGGATCTCAACCCGCTCGACAAAAAAGATCAGAACAAAAATTTTGCTATCCCCCTAGATCTCGAGGTATTCAAAATTGACCAATCCTAAAAATCCACTCAGCCCGTCTATAATCATATAGACTAGGAATAATTGAGCCAAAACTGACAGCTCCCACCGATTTTCCCCCAAAATTTTGAATTTTCATCGACGAAATTTCTTCAAAATTTAAGTCATGAATATCCCACTTTGACCCGTCTTACCGCTTCGCTCCTGCATTTACTTTCGCGACCTCTACATTCGGCAAACAGCCACCTAATTAACAATGCGCAAATTAAAAAATTGGTAGGCACAGCGGACATTTCCCTCCCGTCACGAGTGAGAAGAGCGGTTCACCCGATGGGTGATAGTCACGACGTGTGACGCAAATTGACCCAGTATTTTACAATTTCCCATTGGGATTTTCAGTTTTCCTCAGCTCTCCGATGCTCGGCCGACGAAAATTCGGGGGGTGGGTCATCGACTCGATTTTACGGCCTTCTTTTTCCTGTTTCGACGGCTGTAGGCGCTGCGGGGACACCGGGGAGGGGGGAAGTTTGCCGGGAACAAAGGGAGAAAAGGGCGCACGAGTATGGTCGGTGAACGGGACGTATACACTGGACGTCCGTGAGGTGGCAACGCGCGCGGGAACGGCTGATGCGCGTCATCGATAGCGCCCCGTACCCGTAGCGCGCAGAACGAAACTCTCCTTTTGCTCTTCCCTCTCTCCCTCTCCTCTTTTTTCACTCACCACTACGCGCACACAATTCCCACTCCTTTGTGTGTTTGTTGGGGTTTTAACGTACGTGTGAGGTGTTTTTCAGTTGTCTCTTTGTGTGGAGCGCCTAGAGCGAGACTTTGACGTTTCTTTACCCGTTCGCAACGCGATGTCTGACACGTATACCACACATTATCTCAGTGTTTATTAGTCGAAAATTTCATTTATTTATTATTTTATTTTATGTTCATTTTTTTGCGGGGGTTTGCGGACCGAAGTTCACTCTCATTACACCCCGGGTTCATTAGATTTGCGAACGTTTACCGACCACCGCTCCCATTATTTTCCACTTTCAAAAAACTGACGGAGCCATTGTTTTCGTCCACAGAATGTCCATGTGTCACGTGAACCCGTCAACCAAAAAGGCAAGGAATTTGTGTAAACTCCATTGACAAGAGGATTGATTATAAACATTTACAAAATTGTGATCAAGTGTGACGGTGAAGTAGACGTCCAACAGTGTCTGTGTGCGAGGATTTTTACTATTTTTTTCCCCAGAGTGAAAGTGAATGACTGTTGTTTCGTTGACTTTTGTCATTTCCCCGTGAGATAAACGTGATATTACGGGACAAATCGAGCAGTAAGTGAGTTTATCGTCTGGGGGAAGAGGAAATTTCCCCCCTACCCCCGTGTTTTTGATTTTGGCAACGTTTTATTTCTCTCCCGTGGAGTTACGTTGGCTGTGCACTGGATATCGCTCCTGCTTATTGTGTAGTGGTAGATCGTTGGAGCCGTTAACGGTTCGGGGATAACACAACGTCACGCAAGCGTACACGAACACACGCTCGCGAGAGTACGAACGCTCCTCCGTGTTTTTTTTTCTTTTTTTTTCTCGGTCGTGAAATTCTCAGCGAAAAAAAAAAACGAAACGGGGATTTTTTTCGTGGACATTGTGGAGGTGTTGGGAAGGGTTTTGACAGTGTAAAGGGGTAGAGACAGGGTGTTTTAATTATTTGTTGTGCACCGGCCGGCCGGCCTCAGAGATCCAGGGATATTCAGCCTCGAGGGACTGTTTAAAACGACAAAACGGCTGATAACGGGCAATTTGGATTTATTAATCATAAGACAGAGTAACAGCCTGTAAAACAAGCTGGAAATATGAGCATTGCTGCACTGCTGCAGGCCGCTGAGTACATTGAACGAAGAGAAAGAGGTGAGACAATCGGGGGCTTTTACCCTTCGCTGATCCATTGATATTTTGTCGCAAAACCCCCTCAAGCCCTATTGCTGGGTAATTGGATTCAGTGATTATAGGGGTTTTCATTCTATTTTAGAAGCTGAGCATGGATATGCGTCGACTATGCCCCTTCCTGATGATCTGCGGACGATCACCAAGAGGCCAAAGACGAAAAAATCACAGGGTAGTCGGTCAGTAATTGTTTATTTGTTCATTTATTTAAACGAGTGCGGAATAAGGGGTACTGGTGATTTTTTTTCAACTTTGAGGACAATAGGGAACTTGTATGAAGCTCAATTCTTTCTAATTCTTCTATTCACATATTCCTCGTTAGCTAACATGTCAATAGCTAAACTACGAAAATTATGGAGAAATATTGCCTGGGTGTCTTATGATAATTTATTGAAAATCAGTTCGCTCATGACGTCACAAAGACGGTCAGGTAACGCGCGATTGGCTCGAGAAAGAAGAGAGTGGGGAGTTGTCCTCCATTGGCCGGGGCGCACCTCAAGATTGGGTTAGGTCGGCGCGAGCGAGTCAGGTGATTCGTCCAGCGCTCGAACGTCTGCGTGACGTCATTAGCGATTTCCAAGTGTTTGAAGTTTTCAACTTTAAACAATGAATTATTAATTAATGAGCAATATTTCAAACGTTTGTGAAGGAAAAATGAATTATTCAGGTCCCAAACTTGAGATTAGAAAATTTTTAAAAATTCATGCAAGTTCTCTATTATTTTAATTTAGGGAAGGTGGGGTAAAAGGGACACTTCTTTAGACTTTTTTCTAAAATTATTCATAATTCAGAAACAAATTCAGCAATGAGCTCAGTTTAGGCTCATCACAAAGGGAAAGAATTTTTCTTTGCATTGAAGAAAAAATTATTGAGTTTCGTCAAGATTTCCATCCGTCATTAACATTTAATAAAAAGTCAGAAGTGTCCATTTTGCCCCACGATTAAGTATTTATTCGGTTCTGTGGACGGAGCCAACAGCAGGAGGCCGATTACAGAGGGAAAATAAATATTTGATAAAATGGTGAATTCGATTTCGGGGGAGGAATCGTAAAAATTCAGGTTTCTGGGAGAATTCGACGAAATTTCAAGCTTTTGAGCTGTAGGAAAACAAGAATTCCCAAGAATTAATTTTTAGGGGATGATTGAACTGAAATTTACTCAATTTTGAAATTTATTAAAATTTTCCTTCCAATTCCAAATTGTTGAACACCAGGAAAAGAGAATTCCCCAACTCACTTGAATTTTCAATCCAAACAAATACTCATGGCCTACTTACATGAATTTTCATTTCATTGAAGTTTCAAGAACATATTTATCTGAATTCACGGAATAATTGAACTAAAACTCACAGCTCCCACCGATTTTTCCATAAAATTTTGAATTTTTAATGACGAAATTCCTCAAAATTCCAGTAGCACTAAAATTATAAACATTTCCAACAATTGAAGAAATGATCAGATCAGATTTTCTGATATTAGCAAGGAATGATGCCTGATATCAGCAATACATCGGCGATATTTATTTATTTTTCGCATTTGCCACATATATTCCCTCGGTTTTTGACATTTTCTTCTCTTCCCCTTCACTCCAAACTAGTGAAATAAATCACAATCATAAGTCAGTAAGCAGTGAAAAATCCCCAGTGAAAAATCCAAACATTGAAAGATTATTGAGGCATAAAAAAATTCCAGGGCCACTAGTTTTTTTGTCTGATAATTTTCATTCGCAGTAGATCATTCATGATTGATAAGACTTTTGAGTCATCATCTACATTCCTCCGATGCCTCGATATTTATATTATTTTCCTTTTGTTTCAGAACTACCCACAACGAACTGGAAAAAAATAGGTGAGTCAACATCAGTCTCTTACGATAATACCTGTTCCCCTTCTCTCGTTTAAACTTTGTCCTCCCTCTTCGCATTTAATCCAATGCAGTTTGCAAGTGGCCACAGTTCATTTGACCGTGAATTTAATCGGCCGGATTTCAGCCGCCATTGCGTAACGCTTTTTCACGGATATTTTTGTTCTCCACCACTCGGTTTTTTTTCCAGTCTTTTTTGTTTTTGAAGTTTATTTTCACGGAGCCGGGGAGGGGATGTGAGTGGACACGAGTGGTGAGGGCTCCGGGGAGAGAGACTGTCCCGTCTCGTAATCATTTGAAATGCATTGAATTTTTAAGCGTCCACTGGCCTCGGCGCTTCAACCCCACCGTCAATTTTCATCTTACGTGGTTTTTTAGGAAAATTGGCCGGGTGTCATCCTTCAGTCAATTTAAATTGAAAAATGGGAGAATTTGAAAAAATTTTCGCACCGGAAAATTCACTTTTTCTTCATTAATTGACGCAAATCCAATTTATCGGAAAATGAGAGAATTTGAAAATTGTCGTGCACTAAAATAATTTTTTTTTTTTTATTTATTTCCGTAATTGTACCCAGCTCCCTGCATAAATTCAATTTATCGAAAAATGAGAAAATTTGAAAATTGTTTTCAAGTAAAAAAAAATGCTCTCCTTTGTCAATTCGGGTAATTGTATCGAATCCACTGGGTGAACCCAGTTATCCTCGATTTCCTTGATTTCCGGGAAAGTAAACGTCAGTTGAATAAATATAAAATCCGGAAATGCTCCGAAATAACATCGGCTTCAAACGAACAAAACTCGAAAAAATAGACGGACAAATACTGACATTGATTTGAACTGTTCATTGCGTTTAATTGCGACCGTACACTGGCCTTTGCATTTCAATCTCCTTTCTACGTAAATTTTGAACAAAAATCCGGTGAATACCACCCTTGAAACAATTTGAGTACCGAAAAATGAGAGAATTTTAAAATTATTTCAAACTAAAAAATTGCTCTTTGCCTTATTAATCAACGTAACTATAATAAAGCCACTATGTAAATTGAGTTCACTTATCCTGAATTTCCTGGAGTTCAAACGTGAGTTGGAACGATAAATATAAAGTACGGAAGTGCTCCGAAATGCCTTCAGCTCCGGAAAAAACAAAATTCGAAAAAAATTGATGAATAAACATTTCTACTGATGTGAACTCGTGATTGTCCTATTTATAGATTGCGTCTGAATAAACTATATTATGAAATAATGGACACCCACTATCGCTTTCCATGTTACGTGAACATTGAGAGAAATTGGGTGGAAATCCCCCTCAAGGGAATTTCAATATCGATAAATGAGAATTATAAAATCGTTTGAAACTAAAAAATTCTCGCTGCCTTCATTAATTGACGTATTAAGCGATTCCCTAAATTCAATTATCCGTAATTTTCCATAAATCAAACGCCAGTAAAAAAAATACAAAATACGGGAAAAATTCTAGGATAAATATCGTTGCTACTTTGAACTTACTATCACTCTATTTATAGATTACATTCGATATCAGAGTATTAAGGTGATATTAAAATCAAAATAATGAACAAATAATGAATATTGATAAAAATTGGGTGAATATCCTCCCAAAGTCAATTCAAACATCGAAAAATGAGCGAATTGAAAAAAATTTGAAATTAAAAAATTCTATTTTTGTCCACTAATAAACGAAATCAGATTAAACCTACTGTAAATCCAATTATCCTTAACTTCCCAAAAATTAGACATCATTAAAAAACCATATAATACAGAAATGAGAGAATAAAAAAATTGTTTCAACTTAAAAAATTCTCCTTTCCTCCATTAATGGACGTCGTCATAGTAAATCTACTGGATAAACTCAATTATCCTCAATTTACCAGTAATTAAGTGTCATTAAAAAACAATAAAATACGGAAATGCTCCGAAATACCATTGACTTCTAAAACCGGAAAAAAAACGCGGAAAAAATCGATGGAATTATTATAGTAGCTCTAAACTCTTCATTGTGCCCTCTTTATAAATTGCATCTCATACAAGGTCATTAGGGTAGCTTTACTATAAATGAATAAAAAAATAATAAATACGGAGAAAAATTGACTAGTTGTCACCGTCAAGTAATTTTAAATATGAAAAATTAGAGAATTAAAAATTTGTTCCAAATGAAAAAATTCTTTTTTCCTCTATTAATAGACCAAATCATATTGAACCTACTGCATTAACTCAATTTTAATATAAAATAATAGAGTAATAAAATAACGCCCGCTGAGAGAAATTGGGTCAATTTAAATATCGAAAAATGAGAGAATGAAAAATTTGTTTTAAATAAAAAAAATTCTCATTTCCTCGAGCTCAATCCTTAATTTCCTTAAAAACCAACGTCATGAAAAAATAAAAAATACGGAAGCGCTCGAAAATACCATTGCCCCCGAAAGCCGAAAAAAAAACTGGAAGGAAATCGATGGAATTATTACAACAGCTCTAAACTCTCCATTGGCCTATTTATAGATTGCATCTGATATAAGGGTATTAGGGTGATTTTAATATAAAATAATGGACTCTCTCCATAGCCATCGTATACAACAGCGGAGCGTTGACTAGACGCGCCATCGAGCCGGTTACCTATCGTTCGTTTGCGAGTCTCACACAAACCCCCCCACACACACGTACGTAATAGCCCCCCTTTCAAACATGGTACACGTATACTATATAAAACTACCAAGCCACTGCCAGTTGAAGCCCGTTCACCTTGAGCCCTCTCGAGGACAGTGGAGCTCAATCCCCGAGGTTTTAGCAAAAATCCGAAAAAAACACACACACAGCTCCCCCACCCACACGTCAATTCCAAAAATTATTAATGAGTCTAATTGACACGCGCAAGCGCGATAAACACCGGGGAATAAAAACAATGTCCCGATAAGGCCCCCGATAGTGAGTGAAAAAAAAATCTCAAGAATGTTTTTTCGCTCTGCACTCGTCGAATGCACGAAAAAAATATATATTGTTTGTCTTTATGGAGGTCACTGGATATTTCGAATGAAATTCGAGGCGATCTGGTACAGATGGCAGAGTGCCATTCGTCGTGTGGCACATAACAAGTAGCAAAGAAGAATACTCGAGAAATAAAAAAGACAGGAACTCGAGGAAAAAAACATACAACAAATATATTGTTAACCTCGGTTTCCAATGTTGAAACACTTTAAAAATAAGACTGGGGTGGAAATGAAGTTGAAACTAGGGAAAAATTCGGTCTAGGGGACTTTAGGGGTGTAAAAATATTTTTATGATGAGAGGACTCGTTTGCACTTGTGAAACATTTACTCATAGGGTTGTTTGGCCCTTAAATAGTAAAAAATCCCCTAATCCCCCACTTGGATAAACTTTTCCCATACGATCGTTTGACCCTTAAAGTAGCCTGCACATAACTTCAATTTTGAAAATTAAAATCTAGAAAAAATCTAAAAAAATTAGATGAAAATCATTAAAATTCTATCCCCAATATGAAAGTAATCGTCAGTGTCAAACTTTTACAATAAATAATTCATGTTTCTCCGTCCCCGAAATATCGTGTTATGCCGAAACACCGTAGTCAAACGAGAGATTATTTTTGAAAAAAAAATTAAAAATATTAAAAAAATAATTACAGAAATAAACTGATGGATCTCTTTCCTACATCAATGTTAGAATTCCCGGGAAAAATGATCAATGACGATTTTTTTTGCTTTTCGAATTTACATTTCCTCGTTACCCTCACCGACTCACCAATCATTAATTCATCCTACCTTAAACCCTCAAAAATTCAGCTGCAGCATCCGCCGAATTCTCACCCCCATCGTAAAAATTGAAAATCCCATTCAATCTAATTCTCAACGGATTAAAAATTCGAAGCGCAGTTCCCTGAAATTAATCGATCCCCTAAACCGATTTTTCCACTGAGCATTCCGCCGGCTTGGGCTTCAGCTTCACCAGGTGAAAATGAAAACTCCGTAGAAAAATGGCACAAGAAAGGGCCGAGGTTTAATGATGAAAGTCATTGGCATGACGTCTGGCAGATCGACTCCCACGAGGTGGTGGCTCTCGCGGGTGACGCGGAAGACGGCGAAGGGAGCGGGGGAAAAAATTGTAAAAAAAAAAAAAATAACAGGAGAGACGGAAGAAAGAAAGAGGAGTGGAGGCGAGTTAGGCTGAGGGATGATGGTGGGGTGACGAGGGAAGAGGACGAGAGAGGAGTTGGTCGGAGGGTGAGGGGTGAAGGGATAGTAATCGATACGACGAACATTTCGTACGGTCGATACTCGGATACTCCCGCTAACGGGGTGCGGGGGTGGGGGGTCTACCCCTGGTGTTATGTAGAATATGTGACGTGGAGCCAACTATACCTCGCTCCTGTTTCACACCACTCTGCGTGACGATACGCTCTGGAGTCTTTTCGCTTTGTTTTCTCTCCTCTTGGAGATGTGTTTTTTTTCTCCCATTTCTTTTTATGGAAAGAAAAATCAAACAGTCGAACCGTCGACGTGTCGACGTGGAAACTCATCTGCCGCCATTTTGTTATCTGTCAACGGATTTAGTTAATGCAAGTCTGCCCACCCACCACCCACCACCCCACTGGGTTTTTTCGCAGGTATTTACGGGGGACAAAGGTCTCGGTGCACCATGACTTTTTCTTTTTTTCAACTCTCTCTCTCTCTCTCTCTCTCTCTCTTTGGTCTTTCGCTCTTTCGCTCGGCCGCGGGGCACTCTATACTCCACCGGGAAAGGATAAACATGCGAGAGAGCCGAGGAGATAGAGAGTAGAGAGTAGAGCGTCGGCCAAGAGCGCGATTATCGCGGCCAGAGCTTGGCAACGGTGCTGGGTGCATTGGCCGGCCATGAGTTAGATCGCTTCGACGCTCGTACTGTAAACAACCTCGTAACTTCGCCTTCTTATTTTCGCTTCGTTTCACGTCACTTGACGTATTACTGTCTGACATGGATATGCATTGAAAATAAATATTGAAAAAATTGATTTGTTGGGGGGGAGGGGGGGGGGGATTTTTACTGAGGGATCAACTTTTTCGCGAGAGATTTTTGCGTCAGAGAATTTCAGGATATTTATTGCATTCGGGATCAGTAATGCGAGTTTTATTAATTGTTGAAACGGACAAATGAAGAGATAAATTCTTTGATATTAGCCAATGTCTCGAAAGGTTAAAAATCAAATTGAAATGTTTATTATTTAAAAAAACGTTTTTCTCACTATGTTAAATAGTCTCAGTTGTGAAGACCTTTTTAATTATTGTTTTAGCATTCAAGATTATTCTGTGAGTTCAAGATATTTATCAAAGACTGATTGTTTCGTCGATTCATTGATTTCTTTGTTCCTGACAGTCTTCGACGAATATTGATGGATGAATAATATTTGATGAAAAAAATCGTTGCTAGGTGCACAGAGAAGATCTTGATAAAATTTACAGTTTCAATTGACTTTGCACCGAACTGTGAATTTTCAGTGAGAAAATTCTTTGAAATTCCAAATTTTTGAGTTTCAGAATTGAATTTTCATTCAAATGAAGAAAAAGTTCAATGGATTTTCCGGCTTTCCATTAATTTTAATTACAACATAATTGAGCTAAAATCTGGGTACCTCTGATTTTCTCATAAAACTGAATTTTTCAATGAGAGAATTACTCAAAATTCAAAGAGAACTGTCACTTGCTAAAAATGTCCACGAAGTAAAAAATCCACCAGTGCATCTCCCTGAAAGCACCCCAGCCCCAGCTGAATGTCAAGTCGAATCCTGTTTCCTTGATCCTCGCATCTGAACTGAACCAAAAAAAAATCTTTTGTTCAGGCGGGCGCACCTCAGAAACTGCCTGGAAAAGTTGAAAGTCCTTGTGCCTCTGGGGCCTGAAACGTCGAGGCACACCACCCTCGGTCTTCTCACCAAGGCCAAGCGATTTATCAAGGTCAGTGATGGTGGCAATTAGTGTTTGTCGATGGAGATCACAGGCTCCAACAGAACACTATCCATAATAATTCACCATTTACAGAGTCTCGAGGATAGGGAACGAAAGCATTCGGCTCACAGGGAGCAATTGTCACGTGAGCACAGATATCTCAGACGGAGACTCGAGCAATTGACGAATCAAACGGGCCTCCATGGTTTGCGTGGTATACACGGCCTGGATAATATCCATGGGTTGAGTACAAGCGCACCATCGGGTACGTCGTGCAGTCAAGCGGTTGCAGCGGCTGCATTACTATCCAAAAGACGAAGTGTCTCCGAATGCTCGGTCACCACTGTCTCCTCCACGGGCTCAGCTGTGAGCTCTGGAAATTCCGACAGATCCACTGGCAGTCCATCCTCTGTCTCGGAATCTGGTTTGTATTTTTTTGTCTCTTTTTTTGCAGTTTTCTTGATACAATCACGTATGAAAAATTTTCATTGAAAAATCTCGCCAATTCGATGCAAAATTCTAGGGGTTTCTAGTAGTTTTTTACAATGGAAGTGATCAATGGAAAATATTATATAGGAAAAATCAATAGAATTGGCTCTAACTTTACAAGTTTTTTTGCGTGATTTTTTTTCATGAAAAGAGAGAAAATGGTAACAAAAATGATGGATAAAATGATGACTTCGAAAAAAGAAAACATTTCAATAATAGATGAATAAATAAATAAATGGAGATCGCCAATTTTTCATTCAATGAAATTACTTCTCGTAAAAGATCTGAATCACTGGCCCAAAAAATCATTTTTCCTTCAAACGTGAATAAAATTTCACATCAGTCATGATATTCACCTCGAATATTCCTCAAAGAGAACGAATGGTTCTCAAATTAATAACAATAACCCCTTGATTAATCCAAGAAAACTGCAACAGTTCTTCCATGCAATCACCATTTACCAATTTGTAATAATAATCATTCTTTTCCTAAAGATGAAGTCGATGTGATTGGATACACGAGCAATCAGTCCGACACTGACGACCACAGCAGCATCCAGAGCAGCAGTGACAGTGGTGTCGCAATGTCCACGTCACGACTGACTCTCTCCGAAATGATGGACAATCTCTAGGTTTGTTGCTCACCTCCTCTCACAGAGAAAAGAATCAACGAAAAGACGTGATAAAATTGAACTAGAAAAATTATTTTCTCGTTCTTCTTCGTAAAAGTCCAAAACCTTTGCTGTTTATCTGCATAAAATTCAAATGATTTCGATTAACAACTCCTGAAACAATTGTACTCTCCAATTCCCCGATTTTCCGTTGATCTTTCTCTGTGCATTCCTCAAAAAAATCACGACCAAACTCTAAATATTCATTCAGAATTTAAAATTTGACAGACAAACATGTGCAGAGTTACATAACGAGGGAGCATTCCGGAGGATGTTGCGTCGAGAATGTCGCAAAAATAAGTTGGCAAAATGAGCGTGAAAAAAAGAAAACTTTAATGCAAGAGAACAAGAAGAACCCAGTGTTTTTAAAATCGTACATCTCATCAAACTCGATGATTTTCTGGTCGTAATGAAGAGAGAGAGAGAGAGAGAGAGAGAGAGAGAGAGAGAGAGAGAAATAAATCATTAATAAATTAGTATCGCTCAATCACAGTCATTAGAGAAACGTTTGATAAATTGAGTTGACTAGAGTGAAAATAAATGGACGGGTCTCAGCGAATGAGACGACAGCCATGAGAGACCCTCGGTGAAAATTAATCGTTTTGGATTTGATGAATTGGCTGCCTCCCGAGAGCGTTGTCTGTAAATTAATTTAAATGTCTCACTTGTAAAAGTATTGTATATAAAAACAAAAAAAAACGTGATGAGAGGAATGAGTGGTCACGATTAAAAGTGATTATTGGTATGCGTAAAGAGGAAATGAAAGAAAGTGAGAGAAAAAAAGAGGATCAAATGGAGTGAATTTACGAGCGCCACTTGAGAATTGGCCCTCGACAGGGGGCTGACTTTGAAATCATGGATTTTATTCACCAGCAAGATGAATAGGCAAACATTCATACAGCATTAATCATCGATCAATTATAATCGGCGCAACATTGGCATGGAGCGTTCTGCAGAATCAACCAAGAGGAATGCTAAAAAACTGAAAAAATCGAAAAAAAAAACAACAATGAATTATCCGGATTTTTAATTTTACTTTCAGTGTCCAGCACTATTAGAAAAGCTTTGAATTGCCTCTAAGCTTACTCGTAACTATTAATTTATTATTATTTCTCTGTACTAATTGTCGATTTTACCAAAGGTATATGCGACAAACATTCGTCAGTGAATTTAAAACAAAAAAATATAACGATTATTTTTTGCTGATTTTCTTTTTAAAAAAGAAAGCATAAATTATTTACGCCACTATCAGCTCTCGAGGCTCGCGATAACCGTATCTTTTATACGTATGCACATAAATATATACATATATATTATGTACATTTTTCTGTTTATTATTTTTTCACATTTACTCAACACCACAGAGTGGAAAAATTGTTTTTACAACATCCCCTTTAATATTTTATTTCAGAGTAGATAATGCACTGAGGGAAAAACGAACAAATTCTCAAACACGTCTTGTTTAGACCAAAAAAATTGCGAGTTGAAAATTATCTGAGAAATAATTGTTCGATTTGAATTTGAAAATTTCGAACGTGAATACAAATTTTGGTAATATTCCTGAACAAAATATTTCTTATAAAGGGAAGTTTATCAGGAAATATTTCATTATTATTATGCTATTTAAGAATTCATTTCTTGTCTGTGATTATTGACTAACTGAAAGGAAGAATTGCAGTCCCACATTTTTGGGAGTATTGGATAACGATAAAGTAGTGCTAAAATGACATTTCTCACTTGCACAGGGGATAAAAATTTTTTGAAATAACAAAATTTATCAGCGCAAAATGGTCAGCGCTAAATTTATTCATTTTTTATTTTAAATTTGCAATTTTTTTGGCTCAAACAAGACTTTTTCGAGAGAATACTTTTGTTTCTCTCAGTTTACATTCGAGTGGGTCCATTGAGGCCCAGCATGGGCGTGAATAAAAAATACAATTAACAAACAAGAAAATGAACATTCAAGTGCTCTCATTAACGTTGAAACAAACTTCGGTACGTGGAAAAAAAAGAATAGAAGGTAAAAAAGTAAAAAAAATCCATAAAAAGCGCAAGCTGCAAACGGGCAAATATGACACAGGGACGCGTGTACAGCGCGTCATAAAATGTTACAAACAAACAAAAAAAAATCACAAAAATATGAGAACCTGCGAGCACGTGGTGTTGCGGCACTCTAACAAAACTAAAAAAGGAAAAAAAATTATCATATTATTAAGTATTAAATGAAGAAAAATGATAATATTATAAATGAAAGAGTACAAATTCTTTAAGTCCCTGTATCATGTGCAACCCGTGAGTTTAAAAAGAAAAAAAAAAGGAAAACAGTAACAAGTATGCGCGAGGCGTTTGCCTACGGTGCTCCTATAGTAACGTTAACGTAATACGAATACCTGTGAAATTAACATTGAGATTGTACGCGAGTGTTTGTTGATTAATTTGTGTGACTGTGGTAATAATAATGGAGAAATGAATATTACAAGGACAAGGAATTAAAGAAGGAGAAACATGGACGAAAAAATTTCATTGAAAAATCCTGCAAACTCAGAGGAAAATTCTATTGAAAATTCTACAAGTTTTTAGTTTATTTTATCAAATAATTCCGCAGCTTTATTGCACTTTTTTTATAGAAAATTTCCAATAGAGACTATTTTATAGTAAAAATCAGTAGAATTTCATCGTTTTATACAATTTTTTCTATTGAGACTTTCCGTTTGAAAAAAACAATGCAAATTTTGCAATAGAGTGAGACACAAACAAATAGGAAATTCAATAGAATTTCACGCCGAATTCGCTAGATATTTCTATAAAATTGAATCGCACGTGAAACCAAGAGATGTTGATACTGATAAGGATTGAATAAATTAAGTTAATGCTCGAGACTGATAAGAAACAAAAATGAAACGAGTGATCTCTAAGAAACAATTGGATTAGGAAACACATGATAAATTCGTGAGGGATAAGGGTATCATGCTGACGAGACTGTCCTGTTTTTGATCGACAACAAAGAGACAAAAGTAACAAATGATTTACTGGTTGATTATTTTTTCTTCTTTTCTTTTTTGTATGTCCGAGGTACGATTTATCTTTTTAAATGCAATGATTTAACGATAGTACTTGTTCCTCATTTTTTCATTTTGAATGAATGCGCGTGCGTGAGTCGGCGTCGCAGTGTGAGAGCATGAGTTATAATAAACGTGGGAGGATGAAAATATGGCATTAAATGTACGGTTTATGCAGCAGCAATACGAATTGATGTAGTGCAAATGGGTTTTACAATGAACAATGACTTCTGCTGATACTGGAGTGAGAAAGTTAATTGACATGTTGATCCACCGTTCGGGGTAATCATAAGTTCTTTATCATGAACCATCGAAGATATAAAAAGTAAAGAGATATTCATCCCATCGCGTCCAACGCTGTCCGGTCTAATGTTTAAGGATCATAACCCTTTCGATTAAATGAATCATTCAATTTGTGAATTTGTCTCGAAGGGACGTACAGACGATATGGATAATACAAAAAGAAAAATGATTTTGATGATGAATAAAAAATAATAACAAATATGAATTAATTATAAAAATGGGTGTTATTTTTAGATGTCTATTAGATTATCAGAACCACATTAAAAAAGAAATAACAAAAAATATAAAAAAAATATATAAAAGATAAAATAAGTGAAAAGAAATGCTTCAACATTACAAAAAAAAACAGTGGTATATACATACAAATAAAAATGAAAAAACATACTACTACTACCGTACTTGTAATAAGATTATGATTAATGAAGAATGGACGATCTAGAAGAGAAAAAAAAACACTAAAATGAAAAAAAATATATATATTAAATGAAGTTTGTTGAAGGTAAATCTTTGCTGAAAGCAAGGAGACGAATCTGTACGCGCACGTCTGCTCGGTGAAGAGAAATAAAATTCAAGAATAATTGACGAAAGACTTGCTACATTTATATTCCCAAATTAATATTCACCAATCAGACAATTAGTACCTCTCGATGATTTTTCTTCCATCGAATCAAAGGAAACAGTCTTACAGAGAAGGAAAAACACCTTGACGAATCACTTTCTGCTTTAATCGTTTAGAAATGCGTGCTACAAACGGAAAATTCAAATGAGAAACGAAAACATGCAAAAGCAAAAAAAAATACTAAAATTAAAGTAAAATAGATACAATAATTGTAAGTACACTTGGAGATGATGAAAAATCCGGGGGTTTTTTCGTCGATCCTTTTGAGATAATCGAGCTGCGCAGAGAAAATGCCCCAGAACAATTTGAGAATAACGACGGAAGGCGGATACATCTTCAGAGCAAAAGTGCGGTCCTTTTCTCCGTTGCTGTTGAGCCAGACGTCATCACCCAGTGAGCACAAAAATTCAATCGATAACACCCCCTGAAACATCCATCACTCGAGAGAGCCCCCCGCAGTGGCATGAAAGCAGCCTCATGCCCAGTGAAAAATCCTCAGAAACAGACGAGAAAATTTATAAATTCTATCAGCCCACGAGACTAAGAGCCGGAAGATCATTTTTTAAATCAAGTCCCGGACCTAAGGAGCATTTAATCAATGGTAGACAATGTTTAGAGGATATTAAAGGTAAAACTGGAGTGAACAAAAATTAAATAACATTAATGATAAATAAATGAGTTAATAAAAGGGAGTAATGAAAAATGTTATATCCAGTTTGACGGCGAGTGTCCAGGAGTAATCGTACGTTTTAATATAAATGACAAATGGAAAAATTGATGGGAGGGAGACACTTCGGAAAATGAATAAAAAATTATGATGTTATTAGAGTATTCAAACGGTCATTGGAGAGTTTGTGTGGGATATGGATGGGAGAGATTAAAACAAATTAAAGTAAACGTGCAATGGAAACGTGTGCATGTTAATAATATTGTAATACGCCTAAGTAATGAGTAATTGTCTCTCATGTTTTTAATAGAAAAATGAAGTGAATAATGATGTTGGAGGGAGGGTGATACGAATAAATAACAAATTGATTAAACACAAAACACTATTAACGATCCATTATTCATTGAATTGTCAATTACTGCGTTTTCACCGATTTATAAACAATTGTCGAATGACAATAGTTATGGGTAAAAAAGCGATGTGAATACGAGCGCATTGTTAATGGAACTACTTATCCTGATTTAATTGCCGAGGAAAACTGCGACGGCTGGTGGAAGCGCAGTAAAGCACGTAATGTCGTTACGGTTAGTATTGATTGATTGATTGATTAGTTGAAGAAATATGAAAAGATGATTAAAACTAAAATGTGAGTGAAATACAATTGATTTGAACAAATTGATATGAGATGAGCTGGAGAAGTTTTACTATATTGTAAATATTTCTTGTAACTATTCGAAATTTGCAATTTTACGTTATCAAAGAGACATTATCTCTATATTTTCTTTATTTTATTCCCCATCCCCTGGAACAGGAGAAAATAAATTTTTGTGTATTACAAAAAATTGAAGAAAGTCTCGATCTTCCTCTTTTCTCAACATATTTTTATTTGAGTAGCGTCGGTTATGTACTGGGCTGAATTTAAAAAAAACTGCTTCTACATTCTTCAATTCTTTAATTCGAACGCTGGAATTTTGTAGCGCAGTGGTTTTCAGTGAATTTCTCGAAATCTAAGGGAGATAATTCTCGAAAACTCAGCTGAGGGCTAAATTAAATTGAATTGAAGGATTTGGAAAAGATTAAATATCAAAGAAAAAAGGTAGAATACAATTTAGTGGAGCAAATTAATATCAGAAGAGTTTTGTTACATTTGAAATATCTCTCGTGACTATTCGTAATTCACAATTCCCCTTATGAACGAGAAATAATATCGTTCATCTTTGATCCCTCGCTCACCCCCTGATCCTTCTAAAAATAAATTTTTATGCATTGCAAAAGAAGAAGGGAAAAATCAGTCTCAATCTCCATTTGTATTCAAATAACGTCGGTAACGTAGACATCCCCTGAGCCCCGAGCTGTCAATTAAAAAATCGGCTCCAAAAATAGAAAACAGCTGGGGCCTGGTCGCAGGATTGGTCCGTCAGCTTCACCCCTCGGTTTGCCTCGGTTCCGCGAATTTGGATGAATATAAATCATGGAAAAATGGTGAACTACTTGACTCGTTCAGTCGTCACCAAACAAAGATGGCAGATGCGTCAAAATTATCGTAGGTACGCATGGTCACGTCAGTGTCTCACGATCTTTAAACCGGAGCAGTGAGTTCTAACCTCGAATGAACATTGAAAAAAACCTCAAAACCATCCTGATAATGCAGTAACAGTTGTTTAGTTTATCGTAATTGTGCACTAGAGTCAGTGGAATATGGCGCCAACGAGGGTTATACTCATGTCATGTGGAAGTTACAATCCACCGACCCACCTGCATCTCCGAATGTTTGGTAAATACATCAATAGTTGCATGTTTTTGTTAATCGATAGTTGTTTCATTATTTAGTGAGTCAGCAGTTGGCGGATATGCTGAGGCAATCGTAAAAATACCGAGTTGACACACGTCACCGCGATTAATAGATAATTATCGAGAATATTCGAAGGACTGTCTTCGCGATTAAATGGGGTTTCTGTTTGTTTTTTTAGGGAGAAAGGGAGAAATTAGAGTTGCTGGGGTGCATCCAGTTTTATTGAATTCGCTGTTTCAATTCAAGTTCATTTAAACTTGCTGAAATTCTACTGATAATTAGGCTGATTCGAGTCTTCGCAAGTGGAAGTTTTCGTTCAATTTTAATTTAATTGGGCTAATTTTGTTGTTTGAGACTTTTTTTACTGGAGGAGATAAAGATGAAATGTGAATGAACGAACATGATAATTGAATTACATAGAAACGGAGAACAGTGTAATTAATTGAATTGTCACGCTGGGATCGATTGAATTCATTCTGTTTGTTGAAACATGCGAAAGTTGTTTTTTGTTGCGGAAAATGAAAATAAAAATGTTTTGGAGCGATAATTATATTTTCAATTGGTCTATTCATGGAAGAAAGTAGAAAATAACAAAAATGGGGAATTAGTCTCGCGGGATTCCCCATTTGTTCGTTAGTTTAATGACAAGAAAGAATATTTTCAATCGTTCGTTCATTGATTATTGTCTTGACGATTAGAAATAGCGAGGGATCACCTGCATCGCATGGGCACCCACGAGGTGGTCGGTGGTGTGATATCACTGGTTCACGACAATTACGGAAAGAAGGAATTAGCGCCATCCGAGCACAGGTGTGCAATGGTCAAATTGGCAATTCAGAGCAACGAGTGGGTGAGACTCAGTACATGGGAAATTAGGCAGAATAGTTGGACGAAGACACGATACTCGTTGCAGTACCATCAGAATTTACTGAATGCCATTCTACTGGACTCACCGGATATTAAAAATCAGGTGGACATTGAGGATTTAGAGTGGATTCCCGAGAATGTGAGGAATGGGAGTGACAGGAGTCCCATTCAAATTAAATTGCTCTGTGGGGCTGATTTGTTGGAGAGCTTTGGAAAGCCTGGCTTGTGGGCTGAAGAAGATGTTAGTATATGATCTAATTATATTCATGAATTATCGGAGACCCAATGTTCAAACCAGGGAGAGCCATATCCATAAATTATAATTGCTGTCAAATAAACAATTTAACTTGAATAGCCAAATTTTTAATCATTCATTAATCACTATTTGAGTTAGGGAGATTGACGGATCTACTTAATAAAAAATTTATAATTCCATATTTTTAAATATTCAGTTGATCATCAATTGTAAATTTAGATTATTAATTATTTTACCATTTTTTAATTTCGATTAGTATATTTAAACATTGATCAATGTGAGTGAAATTCTTTTACTATTGAAGAATCGGAATGATGGCCGTCCCTGGTTGAAACGAAACATGTCCATTTTATCTGGAAATTCTATTGGATTTCGATTGAACTTCTGTTGAAAATTTTATTAATTTTCGTTTCATTCTATTGAAGAATTCCACAGCTCAATAGAAACTATTCTATAGAAGAAATTAGTAGAAATTCATCTTTCTATACAATTTTTTCAGTTGAGCCATTTTCCGTATTCATATCTACCGAGAATGTCTCAATAGAATGAGTTGTACAGAAAAATCGACTTCGCTGGAATTTTTAATGAAATTCTTCCCCACGTGCCACCGAATAAATTCACCCTCAGTCTCCCTAACTTCCTTGTCATCTCCAGATTGACGCAATCCTGGGTCAACACGGTTTGGTAGTGATCACGAGAGAAGGCTCAAGTCCCAACAAATTCATCTACGACTCAGACATCCTCTCCAAGCACATGGTAAGGCAACCTAACAACCCTCTAATCTCCCAGACGAATCCCTCACGTTTAATTTTTCCATTCAAGCACAATATCTACATCGTAACCGAGTGGATTCCCAACGAAGTGAGCTCCTCCCGAATAAGACGTGCCCTCAAGCGCGGCGAGAGCATTAGGTACCTCACCCAGGACTCTGTGATCGATTACATCTATCAGCACGGAATTTATGACGCCAAAATTACCTCAACAACAACGTGAGTTTAAAAACAATTTTGTTCAATTAATGATCCAATACGAGAGACCTATCCCCACTCTATCTATCCTTGGGCCATCTTTTAGTAGAGAAGAATGACATGGAAACGTGAAATAGTTTGTGATTATTTAAATGATCGTTTAGAAATCAATTGAACTCATTTTGTTTGTTGAAACATTCTGGAATTTTTTTTGTCGAGAAGATTGACGATATTTTGAAGGAATAATTAGATTTTTTTTTCATTAGTCTATTGGTGAAGAAAAATTCTTCGGAATAAACTGAGCTCAGGTTTATTACAATTAAACGAAAATAACTTTAAAAAAATGCATTTGGAATTACTCAACAACAATTTGAGTTTAAAAATAAATTTCCTCCAATCAAACAGGCCAAAGCAGGCCACCCATCCCTTCACCCTCACCAATTGTAAATATGTACACCTCGAAAATCAAACTTCCACCGCTACCAGAATAAATTATTAAAAATCATGCTAAAATTTATTTTTCACGCTGCAAAAACTAAACCTCATTGAACTTGGAATTCAATGAACCTGGAACCGAAATTACCCTCAAAAGTAAGTTTGAATCATCCCCAACAAACACGAATAATTACCTGCACATTGATAACAAGTACAATACAGTACTATTGACCCCATCACCGAGTGACGTGACAATGACAACGCCCAGTCCAGTGGAAATAATCACAATAGACATTGGTGAAACAGTGATAAAGAAGAACATTCACAATTCCCCTTATTACACGACAAACGAACGAATGTTCGACAAATTACCAAGTGTAATACAGGAGAATGGTAACAAAAATTCACCGATAAGTGGTAAATCAGCATATCCTGGCCAAGCTAAGCAGATTATTACCACTGAGACTGGTGAGACACATATTTTTTACGAGGTAGGTTCACTAAATGACAATGATACCAGCACAAATGTACAAAATCACGATGAAATTACCTTAGCATCTGCCGATACTGTAAATGTCAATGATATTAGCGATAAGTGCCCTGAAATTAATGAATCACAATCGGAAAATCGTGAGACGTGTTATCAGATAGACGCTAGTGTGTCCTTCGACTCGATAGACGACCCACTTCCCTCAGAGCCCAAGTCAGAGGAGTCGAAAAACGAGAGTAACACGATAATCGAGGAGACGACAGTGTTGAACTCCCCGAGTGTCAGCGAGAGCAAACCAAGGGGGGAGCTCCCCCAGGACCACGAGGAGATTGCGCCGGTCCCGGAGGAAGTTCCATCAGTCCCGGAGGTCCCCCGGGAGCCCAAAGACCCTCACTCAGCGACCCAGATCGACGGAAAGTACTTAAAATCCGTCGTCAACTCTCGAAAGAGCCCGAATAGAGTCAGGAACTCGGAGCAGGTGGTGCCGATGATGGAGTCCGACGAAATCGAGGGGAAAATCGATCGCAAGTCCTTCCAGGGTAGCCTCGACTCCATTAGCCAGAAGAAATCGGAGATGGATCTCGAGAGGTCAAAGTCCAAGTCGAAGAGTTTTGAACTGCTGAAATCCGACTTTTCCCTCAAGGAATTTCCTTTTAAAGACGAGGATTTGGAGGACACGGGGTCTCAGGAGGAGAGTGCAGCGTTCATGACAGCCAATGAGGAGGAGCCCGAGGAGTTCTGCTCGGTTTGCTACAGCAGGGAGCAGGAGATAAGGAACGTCTATCCTCTGAGATCGACTAATAGTTCCCCGAATGAACAGGACTCGACAGAATGCGACATCTGCAGTACCTGCAATCTTCAGGAGGCCGAGGCACCCCCGGGGATGCCGCAGTGCGAGCTCTGTGAGATCTGCGGGGATATTGCCATGGAGGAGGACGTGGTGGCCTCGTCGAGGCCTGAAGCCGATGAATCTCTGGACTTTCGGCTGCTCTCGGGCTCCAGCCATCTCCCCCTGAGCCTTTCGCGGAGGAAATTGCGGGGTGGGAGGGTCCCTCTCGATGGAAGGATCTTCGATATCAATGATGATGTTGACTGTCAGGACATCAACGAAGAGGATGAGGACGGGGAGAAGCCGGAGTCCGCTGAGAAGAGGGAACGAGCCCCATCGACTTCCGTTGAAGAGTTTTCAGGTGATGACTCGACCCTCAATGACATCGAATTTGAGATTGAAAACTGCGGGCTGGAGGTGGATCCAGGGGAGATTAAGGGGAAAACCATTATCGAGGAGCTGCCGGGTGAGGCCGAGGCTGGTGACAGTGCCTGCAGGATTAATCGTGGGTCTTCCATGATCAATAGAGCCACTGAATCGAGGACTGAGGCTCGCAGGAGGTACAAGTCGGTGGATAATCTTCCCACCTCGAGGATTAATCAGGCGAAACCAGCTAGCAAGGAGGATAAGGCACTCGTTGTGAGGCACAGTGGGAGAATAATTGGATCGGCGGATAATATCAGGGCTCCGAGGCCCTCCAGGAGTGTAAGTCTTCTGCGGAAATCCGCGGATGATGTCGGCAGGATTCGGGAAAATGCCGAGGGGGAGGATGAGAGCGGAAAACTCAATTGCAATGGCAGTGTCGAGGGGGAACGGGTACCCTCTGATACTGTGAAATTTATTCTTGGAAAACATGGTATTAAGATCATAAGTGATAAGGAGACTGCTTTGTAGCTAAGGATTTATACGGAAATGCTCTAGTCATTTTCGTATGTATGCCGGCTGTTTTGGGTTGGGGGAGGAGCACTGTTAGAAGAAAATTGAAATTTTCTGATGTTGTATGGTTGATTTAGCGGGAATAAGTCGTGGAACTTTGAACTTCAAAGGAAATTCAGTGGAATTCCAATTTTTTTAGCAAAAGATGAATTTTTTTTTCATGGAATAATTAAACTAACGTTTACGGTTTTTATGGACTTGTTCATTAAATTGGGAATTTTGGGCGAAGAAATTCCTCGAACTTTCAATGAACCTGTCACTTGATAAAAAATTTCAAGAGGCGTATCAGAAATTGTATTCAAACAATTTTAACAGTGAAGTGTGGAGTCTACGAATTATCGACAATCTTTACTTAACGTCTTCGAGTGCATCCAGTGCACGGATATTTTAATAAGTCTAGGAGCTTCCAGGTTGATATTTCGAGGATTATAGTACTGGGTATAATATTGATGTTATGATTGCAGTAGGCTGCTCTTTACTTGTGGCTTTTTACCGTTAAGGCATGACGTATGCGCTATTCATAAGTAACTGCTTACCATCGAATAGACGATAGAGGTTCTGTAGGTTTTTCGCATTTTTTTGTCAGTTGGTGTCAGTATTTTTTCTCTTTTCTGGAATAACTAGCAACTGTTGGAAATTTTTGACTGATAACTGAGGCGATTTTTTTATGGCATTGAAGCCAAGTCTTTGAATTTTCAAGTTTTTCCTCTTTTTTGAGATGAGTAACAACTGTTGGAAATTTTTGAGTCATATTTGACGGGGAGAATTCGTGGTATTTAAGTCAATTCGATGAATTGTTAGATTTTCATTGGAGATAAGACAATATTTTAGCTGAAGGAACTATACTGGCTGATGCTATCTAAAATCTCTGGCAAATAATGGAAGAACTCGTGTTCTCTTGATGAATAACGCGCAAATAGCAACTTTTGAAAATTTCTGACTGAAATTTGAGAGAAAATGTTTTCAGAAAGAGAGAATTTTTCGAATTGTCAAATTTTCAATGAAAATAATAGTACATTATGTCATGAGGGCGATAAGCGGCGGTTTGTGAGGAGTGTGGAGTTGCAGCAAGAGGCGTGGCAAGCAGGAGACGAGGATCGCCGAAGGCGATCCGAGTCGGACGCTTGCCATGCCGAGTGTTGCAAACTCCACACGACTCACAAACCAACGCTATCGCCCGAATGGCATATACTATTTTTCGTCACGAAGGCCCGACGCGGGTGTGGGCGCGGGAGGGGGTCCAGGGGGACGAAGTCCCCCTGGTGGGGGGGGTTGGGGGGGGGCGAAGCCCCCCCCCACTGAAGAAAAAAATAAAAGCAATAGAAAAAAATAAATCGAAATAAAATCAATATCAGTTGATGCGAAAATAAATAACTAGTAAAGTCCGCCAAAATATCCAAAAACAGTAGGTTGATGACGGTAATTTTGGACCTGTGAAAAGAAAATTGCATAAAAAATAGAAAATAAGAACAGATATCAAAGATAAAAGAAGATACTCAGCTGTTCAATTTTTCTTCTTTTATTAAGAACAGAAGTCGACGTTATAAATACTGATATTTTAGAAATTGTTGTTTTTTGAACAAAAATATCAACTTTAAATTGAACAAAAACTCGGAGAGTGACTTTTTTCTAATGATAAATCTTCTCAATGACACACAACAACATGGCTACCACTAGTGGGTTAAGTTGTAGAGAAGGCCGCTAGAGGCGCTGTACAGCTCATCCGACTATACGTTTACCCGAACGCAGAGCGCATGCCCAAGTGGGGGGAACGTCAGGGCACATGGTGACGCCCACTTTATCGCTCCTAGGATGGGTAAGTGAGATTTACCCTCCTTGGAGCACCGAGCGTCTCATTTACCCTCCTTGGAGCACCGATTATTCAAGTGCCGCGGTAAACTCTCTTTACCCCCTCTCGACAGAGCCCGAGTAAGCGCCGTTTATCGGGCCGAGTGACGAAAAACAATTTTATTCATCCTACCACATTATCTATCCGCCGATGCTATCTGAAATTTCCGAAAAATAGCTGAGAAATTGATGTTTTCTGTGGAATAATCCGTTGTATTTCTCCATTTTCACAAAGCTCTTATCGAAAATTTCAATGAAAAATTTCCAACAGAGCCAAATTAAAAATTTCAATTTTAAATTCGTCTTATTCCACCACTCTTTGCTCAATTCTGGAATTGATTTAATCCATTTTCAAAAGTCAATTCACCAAATGATACGAATTAGGAAGAAGCCATTCCCAGGAGTGCTGTTGAAGCATTGAACATTGGGATTCAATTGGAGTTGTCCAAAAATAAAAAATAAATTTTTTATTTCTGATGTTAGCATGTGATATGTGTGTTTTCAGGGTACAGCAAAACCTGCATGCCTACTGTAAGACAGATAGTTGACTGTCTCGTTGCTGTTCATCCCATGCCACTAAGATGCGGCTCCTGTCTCCTACCTGCTAAACATACTAAATATTCACCAGCCGATAGTAGTATTATTAGCGCAATTAACAGCGTCAATGATACAACAAATAATAACGTTAATGGTCTTCGTAAATGAAAATAACTCATCGACAATATATTTCTTACCTGTGTAACTATCATTTTGCAGAATTAATAACGTAAAGAACTGCAGTCGCCAATGAGTAATATTTTTGAAAGTAGTATTGCTAGTTGACGTAGAACGGCTCTAGGCCGATGGTTTATGCTGTTATCATTTCCCTCGTGTCTTTATTTCGTCTGGTCTTACGTTATTAAATTAAACGTGTCGAATAATTGTATGTGTTTTGCTGCATCCGCTCGAACAAGACTGAAAGCTCATTTTACTGAGATGTTTTTTTTTCTTCTCCAAAGTTTAACTAATTTTCAATTTATTTTCAGCTCGTTTTTTTATATAGAGAATGTATTCTCGCTTTGCTCGATTATCGGAGAGAATGCCATTGTGTATTTTGAGAGAGAGAGAGAAAGAGAGAGGGAGAGATAAAGGAGAGACGATTGCGAGGACAGTCGAGGTGCGAGACCGAGCGATATTTTTACAATTGAAAAAAAATTAAGAGGAATAATTTTGCAGCGAAGCGGTAAAACGGTTTCAGTTGATTTTGACTATTCGCCAGTTTTCAAAGAATATCTTAGAATCTAAGGGAAATGGCAAAATTTTTGACATGACCGTTTCTATAGCACTCAATTCCCTCTACAAAAAAGGTCATTACAAAAATTTCAATAAAACTCCTTGATTTGTCAATGCAAACAGTAACTTAAATTGAAAAAAAAGTCGCTCTCCAACAAGTGGCCTAGAGGCTCAGAAATGTGTTGTGTGGGGATTTACAGAATATCCACGTATATTTCAGATATAATTCAGTCGTGTGTTGAGGAGAGAAATTAATTCTTAGTAACCCAGGCCAAACTTATGGTCAAATTTGGGCTATTTAACTTTGTCCACTTTATTATTACTCATAAGTCAACAATTAGTAGGAATATAAATTATCAGAAATGATAATTTTAGTAAATTTTCGTCATCTCCCTTAGATTCGAAGATATTCCTCAAAAACTCAGGTGAGAGCCAAGTCGACTTGAACCGTTTTACCGCTTCCCTACTGAATTGAATGCTCGTTGCACCTCTCGTCCGGCGTACATCGAATATTTTTCAATCGAGTTGAAATGATAGAATTTTTATTAATGTTGTAAATAATTCCATGAATTTATCGTGATTAAATCACAAATCTCAGATGTGAAACTTAGACGAATATGGGATTCGTACAATGTTGTTAGGAAGGAGGAAAATTATTCTCTTATTGTACTCGCGACTGAAGTCTTTTACAGCGTCAAATGCGGAGAAAAAACTTCGGAAAAAATTGCGTGATAAAACACGGGAAAAATGACAAGTTGATAATGTTGATAATTTTTCCCCTCGAGCTCTTGATATTTAATGGATTAAAACGTCATTTTCACGGCACTTTTTCGAAAACTTTTTTCTCCGCCAACGAAATTGCTTGACGATAGCAACTAAAAGGTACTTATGAAGATCTTACAAAGTCTCTGTCAACGTTTATAGTTTTCATGTGAGTCTAAGTAGCAATAAAATCATAAAGATGTGTAATATAAAAAGAAATGTATAAATAAATTACGAAAGAGAGACATTTAATGAGTTAAACTAAAGATGTATATCACATAAATATTTATTTACATCGTATAACTACTTCAAATCTACCAATAAAAAATAAAATTTAATTTGAACCAACAATTAGTAAAAATCATTTTGCTCTATTATACAAATGTATCAATTATGAGGCAAATTCCCATCTCCGGGGGCTTGACTAGATAAAATAATATTCCACGATTTTCATTCAACGAAAAATCCTAAATTAAATAAAATCAACTACAAACCCGATGTTCCAGATAATTGTATTCCCTACAATAGGGAACTGGCATGAATTTTTTTCAATTTTCTGGTCTCAAAGTTTGGGACCTCAATAACTCATTTATCATTCACCAAGTTTGAAATATTGCTCATTAATTAATAATTAATTGTTAAAATTTGAAGATTTCAAATTCTTTAAAATCGCTAATGACGTCACACAGACGATTGAGCGCTGGGCCAATCACAGAGTGGCTCGAGCCGACCTAACTCAATCTTGCGCTGCGCCTTGGCCAATGGAGGACGACAACTCCCCACTCTCTTGTTATCCGACCAATCGCGCGTTACCTGACCGTCTTTGTGACGTCATGACCGAAAAATTGGCCTCGAAAACGACTGATCTTCAATTAATTATCATAAAACATCTAGACAATATTTCTCCATAATTTTCGTCGTTTAGCTATTTATATGTTAGCTAACGAGGACCGCGTGAATAGGGGAATTAGAAAGAATTGAGCTTCATGCAAGTTCCCCATTCTGTCCAGCTTATATGAGCACTCAGGAGCTTTTGGCCCTGAGGCCAAGGAAGCACAGTAGAACTAGGACAGTTGTCCACCCGAAGATGACGAGAAAGCCTTGAAAGACTTGAACGTCATTGAGTCTGTAGCCCTTATCCAGAACATTCCTCAGTGCAATTCCAGGTACTGTAGTTGGTAGGGCTAGACTGAGCCATCGTAGGACAGTGGGCATTCCCTCGACCGGCCAGATACAGCCGCACAGCAAGATCACGGGGTAAAAACTGCCAGTGGTTATGTAGTTCGCCATGGTGTGTGATGCGCACAACACAGACACCAGGAACCCGTAGCACATACCGCAGACGCCCATGAAAAGTATCATGAAGACGACAGTAACCATCGAGCCACTGCACTCGAGGTTGTACTGCAAGAAGCTTATGACCATTGTCACAGACACCTGAATGATGATGATCATAAACTGGGTGATCAGGTGAGCGGTCAATATCTCGGCCGTGGTGACGCCCTGCACCAAACTCCTGTTCCAAATTCCCTCGTGGCGATCCGATATGATCACCGAGGACGATACAGCAGTCGACAGGAAGAATATGACAGTCAAAAGGAAAGTGGGAGCCATGAACGTCGAGAACTTCTGATCCATTCTCCCAAAGACAGGGTCTTCGAACTTGAGAGGGATATCAGCGAAGCGTTTCGGGATGCCGCACTCCCTCACGATGTCCTCGTAAACGTCGAAGAACCTTTGGAACAAAGTCTTCTTCATGTACAATCCTATCTGTCGGTCCCCCATGTCCAGAGAGACCTCTATCCACCCACTGGAGTTGGAATCAACGTCCAAACGATCCCGCCGCGCTTGCAAGCTCTTGGAAAAGTTCTTATCGAAGTGCAGAAGACCCACTGCATGTCCGAACCTCACAGCGTCCCTCGCGTCCTTCTGGTCGTCGTAGAATTCACTCCTTCCGATTGCCGATTGAAAGCCGCTTAGGAAGCGACAGCTGAGGTCTACGTAGTCACAGACGTCCTCGTCCTCGTCGTAGATCACAGCTCCCAGGTAGTTTCCCCCTGCGCAGTCGCCAGCCTCGTCGTTGACCACTGCCAGCAGGAGATCCTTCGGATCCTGGCCGATGGCGTTGAAGAACAAGTTGACTTGGATCAGTGGAAAGATGAAGGCGAAGAGAATTCCCCCGGGATGGCGCAGGAACTGAAGGCAATTCTTCACCATCAGTGCCTGGAACTTGCGATTTCTCATTCTTTTGAGCTTGAAGGGGGCTCTCCTCGGGGCTGACACCTTGTCAAGGTAGTCTCTGCTCGATAGGTTGAGGCCTTGGTCGGGATGTCTGTCGTTTCGGATCTCCTGGAGTTCAGTGTCGACCAGGCTGTTCTGCCGATACACCTGTGCGTCGTTTTGCTTTTGACTCAGAAGCAGGAACGCCTCCTCCAGAGAGTCGCAGTTGCATCGCGCGAGGAGTTTGCCAGGCGATGCCTCGGCGAGGAGCTTTCCACACCTGAGAAGACCGATTTTGTTGGCTTCCTTAGCCTCCTCTATGTAGTGAGTCGTGATGATTATCGTTGTACCACCCGTTCTCGCCAAGTTGACGAGGAAATTCCAGATGTTCTCGCGCAGCAGTGGGTCGAGCCCCACTGTCGGCTCGTCGAGAATCAGGAGCTCTGGATCGTGCACCAGGGCACAGGCAAACGATACCCTTCGCTGTTGGCCACCACTCATGTGCTTGATTAAATGGTTCTTTGGGGGGAGCTGCAGTAAATCGGAGAGGAAGGTGTAGCGGGATTTTATGGCGTCGTCTTCGAGACCGTTTATTCGGCCGAAGTAGTAGAGCGCACCGATAACTGTGAACTCTTGGACGAGGGATATCTCCTGGGGCATATAGCCCACTTGGGGACCTGGTATTGATGAGGATTTACTTCCTGGGTGACCACCCAACACCCATACCTCACCGCTGTCCAATTTTCGGATCCCCACGATGCAGGAGAGGAGGGTTGTCTTGCCACAACCACTTGCTCCTAATAATCCGTATCTGGAATTCAAGTCGATTCAGTTCATTTTTCAGGTTTGAAGGACATTTAGTAGAAAAACCTAGGGCTCGGCTGAGAATAGAATACTTTTGTTTCTTGATGGTACTATTACTGTTTCACATCGACTCTTCACGTATGAAAAAATTCATTTGTTTTGCAGTTTTTGGCCTCTGCGGTCATTAGATGGTTCGAAGTGGAGGAATCTATTATGTCTGAATGATAAAAGTTGATCCAGTTATTTGGATTGAGCCCAATATTTCGACCCCCTTTGCGGGGTCCTCCTCAGGTTTTTGTATTAAATGTTCTCATAAGTGTTGGTTTGTTTATAACTTTTATTTGAACTGCTCAATTCACAACTATTGTCATAATTTTGTCAATTTGAGTCTGGAATTTTTAATGAAATCAAGATAATTCCTGGAGCAATTGCAAAATTAGTTCGAATTCGTCTAAAAGTTTACTTGAATCGGGATCGATTCATGATGATGTAATTGGTGATAATCGATCGATTCAATGAAGGCCTGAATGAACTCTAGAATATGAACAATAGTGCATTGAAGTCAAATTAATTAATGATAAGAACTTGTTATAGTTCGATTTACATCTCAAGCGGTTTTAAAAATGTCTTCAACTTCAGTAATAGTCTGTTGTCTTCGAAGCTTCAATACACTGAATTATTCAGTAGATAAAACAAAGGAGATTTAATGATTCATTCATTTTTGAAGGACTTATTGATTGTGAACCTTACAACATTCTCGTAAACATTCAATCGAATTAAGAAAACATCAGATATCGCTGCATTAAACCAAACAAACTTTGAAATGACCTCAGTGAAATTATTTGTTATTCCATTATTTGACACCCTTTCAAAAATTCAAACTAATTGACAAATCGATCATGAATGGAAAATTTATGTGGAAATATTTGTCACAAGAATTTCCTTGAGCCTAAAAATCTGTTATAATACGAATAAAAAATAAGAAGAAAATCACTCGACTCCGGGAATTTTTGTGCGAAGTCAAGGAAAAAGTGCGAAGTAAAGAATTAAAATTGAAGATCATTGGAAGGTCACACGTGAATGAAGAATTCGCAAAATAGCGCGTTTGTAGCTGTTATTAAATATTTAATATTACGATGATCCTTCATTGGGAAATAAATAATTCAGCAAAATCTCAAACGAGTTAGTTTGCAAATGATTCGCTATTGACTGAAGAATTTTCCGATCTGCTTCAATGATCTGGGCCTCCACCACAGCAAACATGAAAATATTCGTCGCAACAATTTTCGCGAGTCTAAAAAGGAATATTCAGTGTCAAATTACATTGAATTTTCAGTGAAATCTGAAATTTCAATGCCATTGAAAAATTGGAATTCGAGAAGAAAAATTTTCAAGTGTTGTAAATAGGTTTCTAATGCTTAATAAAAGAAAAAAACCACAAACTTTTCTTCCCAAATTATTCTGATCTACACTCACATTGTGCCCCTCCGTACAGTCATATTGAGCCCATCGAAAATAGTGGATCCATCTCCGAGGGATTTTCGCGCATTTCTCACAACAATAGCTTCCGGCTGCGGTGACATCCTTCACCCTCACTCGCAAATCGAGAGTTCAATCTGAAACATCGTTCAACACCTTAAGCCATGAACCACAGTCGTGCTTCATCTCAGCCCAAGTCTCTCGTTTCACTTCACCTGCGCAATCCACTTCAATTTCTCTTTTTTTGCTGAATATTATGGTAAAGGTACCATGTTACTAGGGCTAGAACAGTTGGAGACTGACTCGCGGTGGCCGAGGAGCTCTCGACCGACCGGATTAGGTTTACCGTTAGGACTAAAGTGATGTACACACGTCTCCCTACCTAATCCCTCCTCAAAAATTCCTTTTGTCATCGATTCCCTACGGATTTGAAGCGATTTTTATTGATGTCGAGGGCCGGCGACTGGGGAAGGTGGGGAAAAATGGACACTATTCACACATTTTTTAAGGGGATACGTCGGTAAAATTTCAGTCCTCACTGTTCTAGAGACGCGAAAAATCTGTCTTTAAATTTTTCGCGTCTCTAGAGTAGAGTAAAATTTATGAAAAATTAAAATTCATTTATCTAAATCGCGTGCTCTGTCCCGTGCAATGTCCCACGCTTGAGATACACCGTCTGAAATTAATCACAAACGAGATTAATTTTTTCTCGAAAAAACTCAATATAAAAACATTACACCTTACAGACGCCTTTTTAGCCTCGTCCGGACTAAAATATAAACGATTAATATTTCTAATGTTTATGAATGAAGAATTAATCATTTAGGGCCGAAACTTGAAAAAGAGATTGAAGAATTGAAAAAAATCATGCGAGTTCCCTATTATTCTCNTGCCATTGAAAAATTGGAATTCGAGAAGAAAAATTTTCAAGTGTTGTAAATAGGTTTCTAATGCTTAATAAAAGAAAAAAACCACAAACTTTTCTTCCCAAATTATTCTGATCTACACTCACATTGTGCCCCTCCGTACAGTCATATTGAGCCCATCGAAAATAGTGGATCCATCTCCGAGGGATTTTCGCGCATTTCTCACAACAATAGCTTCCGGCTGCGGTGACATCCTTCACCCTCACTCGCAAATCGAGAGTTCAATCTGAAACATCGTTCAACACCTTAAGCCATGAACCACAGTCGTGCTTCATCTCAGCCCAAGTCTCTCGTTTCACTTCACCTGCGCAATCCACTTCAATTTCTCTTTTTTTGTTGAATATTATGGTAAAGGTACCATGTTACTAGGGCTAGAACAGTTGGAGACTGACTCGCGGTGGCCGAGGAGCTCTCGACCGACCGGATTAGGTTTACCGTTAGGACTAAAGTGATGTACACACGTCTCCCTACCTAATCCCTCCTCAAAAATTCCTTTTGTCATCGATTCCCTACGGATTTGAAGCGATTTTTATTGATGTCGAGGGCCGGCGACTGGGGAAGGTGGGGAAAAATGGACACTATTCACACATTTTTTAAGGGGATACGTCGGTAAAATTTCAGTCCTCACTGTTCTAGAGACGCGAAAAATCTGTCTTTAAATTTTTCGCGTCTCTAGAGTAGAGTAAAATTTATGAAAAATTAAAATTCATTTATCTAAATCGCGTGCTCTGTCCCGTGCAATGTCCCACGCTTGAGATACACCGTCTGAAATTAATCACAAACGAGATTAATTTTTTCTCGAAAAAACTCAATATAAAAACATTACACCTTACAGACGCCTTTTTAGCCTCGTCCGGACTAAAATATAAACGATTAATATTTCTAATGTTTATGAATGAAGAATTAATCATTTAGGGCCGAAACTTGAAAAAGAGATTGAAGAATTGAAAAAAATCATGCGAGTTCCCTATTATTCTCAAGAATCAGATGAGATGAAGTTAAAAAATTGAAGAAATTTACAAATTTGTTCAATGTTCATGAATCAGCAATGAATTCATCGATTTAGCTCCGTGTAAGTTCATCGCAAAGGGAAGAACTGCCCCCTTCTATTTCATTAATAATTCAATGACTCATTAAAATTGCAAAAAAACAACTCAAATGTTCGAGAGATCAAAATACTTGTCGAAATGACGCGCATTGGAATCTGTAATTGAAATGGATGGGTAAGTCTCTTCGATTATTCGTTTCCCTCCAGTTCTTGTGGTTTCAAATGCTGCATTAAACCCAGCATTTTCCATGACGCCTCGCTGCGAGACTTGAATAACAAAACATTTCGTATTTTTTTTGCACTTGAGAGTCTCAAGATGAACAAGAGGCTGAATAAAATCGGAATTTGTGGGGTCGGATACGTGAGAAGCTGGGGGAAATGAATTCAATTTGTCTTTGCAGGAAGAAGTTTCTCGCTTTCAGCGAGAATATGTGAATTGCAGAACTCATGATGGAAAATCAGTGTAAAAATAATCACTTATTGTGAGATTTTTTTTTTGAATTAGACAGAAAGTCTCGAATTCTCTGTACGTTTCGGTTAAATCAGGCACAATTGTACTTGAACTCGATTGAAGAGTCTATTTACCTCAATTTTCCTGATTTTTATCAATTTTTATACAATAATTGAACTAACATTTACTTTTTCTTAATTTTCCAATCAAATTGTGAAATTCCTTGAAATTCAGTCGAACAGCCATTTCACGGAAATTTCCAACAAATGTACCTGAAACTCCAGTCCAAAATTCTTAACAGTGTAGTTTCACTTATTTCATCGTCCATAGAATAAAAAAAGTAAATTTTTTTCATTTCAAGCAAAAAGCCTCGAATTTCTCAACAGCAAGAAATTTACATTTCGGTCTCAATGTAATTCATAACGCTTTTATTATCAAACTTGTATCATCTGACACTTTCAGTCAATGAATATGTTCCACTGAAATTTCACAGAATTTCCAGTAAAAAATCGTCCTGAAAATCGTCATGTAAAAAATTGTCCTGAAAATTGTCCCTGAACCGTCAATTTTCCCCTGAAAACTTTGTTCCCCGAGCAGCTCCTTGCAACGAAAAAAAAATCAACCTCTCACGAATGCCTGCTACTCCGGAAGTGTAATTGCGCGGAAAAATCTAGCAGCCGCTGCCAGAAAATGACGGCCAGTGCAAGTAGATCGAGTACACTGAACCATTCATTGTGCGTGTGTACACACATGTACACATTTTTTGTTACATCCCGATGTGCTAGTCCAATTCACCACCCCCTCTCTTTACTTTCTACACTCGCCTATTTATTGTCTCGTGACTTAGCGTCAAAACAAAACATTTTTCACAAATTGCTAGAAAGCGAATGGACGAAAAAAAAAATGATAATCTACGAGGAGTAATCATGTAAACAGAGGGTGCCTCAGTATCGAGTGTATGGTGGATAGAAATTGAAGGAATGATGATTGCATATCCCGGCTAATGACATTGTTTCTCCTGAATTCTTTCCGCAAGTGTGTCATTACTTCACTTTCATGAATTTCTGTTGTTCCAAGATTGACCATTTCATCTTGTCCTTCCTTTTCTGCAAAATTAACAGAAGCACTCCAATCGTTCCCCGAGATTTATCAACGCAGAAGGCAATTTTCAGGGCACAATAAATTTTTTACATGGCATTTTGCCGGCGGAATTTCCGCAGGTTTCACCGAGTCCATAACGGTATTGTTGGATTCGCGTGGCTCCAGTGGCCCACTGTCAAGGCGAAGGACACCGCAGCCTGGATGATGGATCAAGGTAACAACAGACTTGCTCCCGATAGCCCATTTACATCCAAATTAATTTAATTACTCACCAGTGTAAATAAAATGCACTTCCTCTTGAACCACTGAATTATTTTCCTCCCGTTCACAAATGATTTTTTATCTTGTTGAGTTTATTTGGCAAACTCTTCGTGCAGTGACAGACGGCAGTAGGCGCTCTCAATTCATTAGTGGTAGCCGTAGCTAATAGTAACTAAATACAAATTGTATGTAAATTCAAGGGGTAATCGTTAGTAATCGATCAGACGAGTAGTCCCGTGCTCGGGGGAATCGCGTGTTGGACTGTCGCTTGAGGACGACGATGAGGTTTCGGTTTGTAATTTTGTCTGGCTGAACATTTTCCCTCCCTACTTGAATTTTATACCATCAATGTTTATTCGTATGCCTCTTCGGCCGCTGGGCGCTGGAATTTCTTCCATTTCTCAGGCCTCCCTCTCCTCTCTCTCGATGTCTGTCTCTCTCACTTGAGCCACCTCGTGACCGACTTTTCGAGAGCTCTGAGTTGGCAATTTTTTTCTCTTTGGCAAGAGGTGAGAACTTAAATTATTGCGAAAATTTGTAAATAAAAGCGGTGTCGTGGAATTATGGGGGACATTTAATCGAGCGTTTGCTGCAGTTTTTTTAAATTTGCCGGGCGCGGCTTTGGGATCTGTATTATCAACTGTTTCTGGTTGTTGGTAAGGCGGTTTCGGGGGGGTTATTGAGTAGGGGATGAGATAATTTCTGATTTATCGGTTGTTGGACAACCGCGGAATTGCAATCCGATTCAATTTTTTATGTTGACAGTTTGGTACAGATTACACTACCGATTCAACCATTTTTAGTCATCAAATTTGTCAATTAAATTGCGTGAGAAAAATTTGAAAATGTCATGAATATTTAGCGTCATTAAAATTCCATTCGTTGTGTGGGAGTGAATAATTGAAATTGTTTAAACTTTCGGAAAGCAGATTTTTTTAGGCATGGAATAGATTTCCGGTGGAATTCTGAATGTGAATAAATTTGTTACGATTCAGAACAAATGATTTTTACGGTGGAAAACGGATTGTTTATGAATTATTTATACAAAATGACGGCAATTGTTTAAAATTGTAATTTTTTATTTAATTGCATTATCAATCTTCTTTCAAAGGTCAACTTTCTAATTTTTTCGGATTTCTAAAATGTTTTCTAACGGTTCAATATCGAGATTCAAATTCAGACCAGCGAAGTTAAAATAATAAAATCACGCTATTGTAATGATTTTACTATTTTCATTTCTTTATTATGATAATCATTTCTATCAACCTCGACCGACGTTTCAATAAACAACAATATCCCCGACTCATCAAAACATCAATTAACTCTCGACAACACAGAAGCGCGAGAAAAACCCACGATAGTATGAAAATAATTGACCCAAAAAAGCCAACAAGTGTGAATAATAAAACTACTGAATAATGAAGGGCGGATAAGGCGTCAATAAACAAGACAACTTGTCTCTCCACGGCACTAGTCGACCTTGTTCTCTCGCAAGCGCGAACCTAAACGTGTCAATGTTATCACGCTCCTCATCCTCTCCGCTGAATCTTACACATCGCGGAAATGAAATAATATTTACCCCGATGGGCTCGGCTCAGTTCCAAGAAAAGGCCCGTTGAAATTCCCATTCCTCCTCGAATATCCGCTTCGAACTGAATTGACTGAAATAATATCGAAAATTCCCCATTATGTGCCGTGTGGACATTCCCGCTGACAAGCATAATGACGGCCCCAACAATAGCATTTCACAATAAAATTCAGGTCGCGAAAATAAAATTCAATATTCGACAGAATGAAAATAATGAGGCGCAATTGAATTGTCTTTGCATGTTTTGGAAGGACAATTACATTGTCGCAAAACCATTATAAAAAAACAGAAAAACATTTCATTGAAAGGATAGCTTGAGATAAAATTCCAGAGAGGAATAATAAGAGGAAATCATCTTGATAACATGAATTTTGAATTCATTATTTAATATGCAAATAGAACAAATTTGAAATTCCACTGAAAATTCAATGAAATTCTCAATTTTTTAAAATCAGAGCGACGAGAATTCCATATTTTAATTGCATTTTCAGTTAAAAAATGAATATTATATCATGGAATAGAGGTTTTCATTGGAATGAATGTAAGTTGAGCAATGTAGCAGAAATAAATCAATGATTGTAAGAAGTGTAAATATTTAGATTAAGTTATTCAAACATTAGAGAATGTAAATAAATCTTGTAGATTTGCGCACTGTGAACAATAAAAAAACCAGAAATAAATCGATCAATAGAGCATAGTCTGGGCTCATTTCAAAGAGAAAAAAGCGTATTCTTCAAGAAAAAAAACTCTTCCATTCTATCACCAGTGGAATAAGCTTTCATTTGAAAAAAATTCTAGAATCCATTTTGCCCCCTCATCTCCTCTCAGTTCACACCGAAATTCAGGTGGTGAAAAAAAAATCAACATTCAACAGAATGAAAATAATGAATCGTAATTGCATTGTCTCCGGAAGAGTAATTACATTCTCTTCGTAAGAATAATTACATTTTCGCGAAAAAAACGATGAAAAACAGATGCAAAAATACGTTGACCGTACATCGTTTCTCAAGGCGAGCATGTTTTTTGTCCTCCTGGCAACTGGAAACAGAAAATAAAAGCATTTCTTCTACGCAGTCCGTACACTTTGGACTCCTCCATTGTGTTCGCCTAACGTTTGTTCCCTCTCGGTTCTTTTCCTCTCGTTGAATTCCCTCGATTCGCGTTAATGTGATTCAAGGTCATTAACTTTGGACGAAAAACATCAGTCATTCATCCGCCAAAATACGTTCACTCGACTGGTCATTTGCATGCGCGAGGAGAGGAAGCGCCCACAACGAGTCCTGGCAAATATCAACGGCTTGCATAACGCGTTAATAAGCGAGGCCAACTGCACTATCAGGGGCCAGCATCCTTGAGTCAGGTCCAAAGTCAGGATTCACGACACGGTATTTGTTCTAACACCTGACTAACACTTCCCCTTTGCAGGTGAGTAAACATGTGCGTCATGGGGGAAGAGAATTTGAATTAATTTTTTCTTTTCATTCTCAAGTTTTTTTCAAGGCTTGTAATGAGAGGAGATTGTGCAGATAGAGTTAATTTGGACTTTTGGGGAGACTGACATTGAATGGGATCGAGAAACGTCAGGGAATTTCAAATTTCAAAGGAAATTCTTTACTTTACTGAGAAATATCCCCGAATTTAAGGGAGATAACGAAACTTTTGTAATGACATTTTTTGTGGGGCGAATCGAGGGCTACAAAAAGGGTCTTGTCAAAAATTTTACTATCTCCTTCAGATTTCGAGATATTCAGTGAAAACCGGTCAACAGTCAAAATCGACTTGGACTGTTTTACCGCTTCACTATTAATTTCAAGCAGTGAAAGTCAAATTTCGCCGAAAATTCAATGAAATTCTTATTTTTTGCCCAGCAGAAACACCAGAATTCCTTCCTACTTGAATTTTTAATCGAAAAATTAATATTATTTAATTCTAATAGAGGATTTCTTTGAAATAAATTATTCATTCATTTCCTATAATTGAAAAATTCTGATTAAAATGAATAGAAAATTTCTGGGAGTAATAACTTTTTGTCTGACCAATGGAAAAATTTATCAGAATGAGCACATATTTTTCTTCTCCGTGCACTAAAATATGAGGTCTGGTAACAATGTTTGAGACCAAGGTCAGTATCAAAATTAATGGGATGACCGTCGACTACTTCATGCAGGGAATTGCTGTCGTGACGAGTGCGTGGTAATGGTGGGACATGACTTCTTGGACGAGAGAATTCGTCTCATTGAAACGAAAAATCTGATTCACTCTGCAGCATCGAGTGAAAGTAATATCGTTAAAACCTGATGAATCACGCCATGTCACAGTGAACCCAGGCCATACGTTTAATGGGTGGAAAATTTTCAAGCACCGGAGCTCTTCGGAGTGAGCATTCAAGTCACTGCAGATGTCGTGATGAAATTGTCTCGGGGGAGGGTGAGACAATACGATTCGACAGTTTTCGTTGATTTTATCGTGAAATTGGGGCGTCGATTTGTCAATTTCTGGCCAGTATTCCATGCTAATTGGAAAAATTCCGGAGAATATGGTCTGGAATTTTTCGTGTGGAAAAATCGATGGAAATTGTCAATTTCAGTTCATTTTTTCTATGAAAATTTATGGATGTCACGAAAATTCAAGTGAATGTATCCTTGATCTTTCGATTAATAATAAATTCACAGAATTTGGTATTCAATGTTCATGTTTAGATTGAAAATTCGAGTGATAAAATAAAAAATTCTCGTTTTTTAATTTTCAGTAAAATTTGGAATTTCATGATTCCATTCCTTGAATTTTTAATTTGAATGTTAATTCCATACTTTCACGTACGAAAAAATTCAATAGAAAAAATCAATCAGAAAAATCGAAATCTATTGACTTTTTCGATCAAATATCTAATAGGATCTGCGCAAAAAACGGATAGAATTTTAACGAGAATTCTCAATAGAATTTTCTAGCGAATTCACTACCTTTTCTATTGAATTTTTTCATACGTGTTCTTTTCCCCAAATAAAGATTACTCTCTCGCCCCTAAGAAATTCCTACAAAACTGAGGCCTGAAGGACTAAACCACAGATTTAGATAATTTACCGCAAAAAAAATGTAAAAAGCCAACAGATGCATTCCATCCCTTTGAATCAATGAAAAAACTGTGGAATTTTCTCTAACAATCTAGAAACTTGTCTCTCCGCAAGATTCAGCGCATCTCTAACGAATGCCAGGCTGCAAAATTCACAAGTCTATAAATACGATGTCCAGCTGAATCGTCAGCCTCCTCAGAAGATCATGGTTCAGGGTCCAGAGACCCTCCCACCTAAGCACCCGCGCTTCAATGGCCCTGGTGAATCCTCGGAAGACTCGGACTTCTGGCCGAGGATAAAAAAGCCAAGTGGTGGCAATTCTCCTTTTTCCCCGCATTTCTCTGTCGGTGTGTGTCAATATGTTCGTTGCACAAGAATTTTGATTCCTCCTTTCTGTGTGTACACATGGGCAACCGAGGACTCGCTGCTCATGGCATGAGCCAGTTCGCCGGTGGCTTCGTCACGATCAACCAGCCGCTCTCCAGTTCCACCTGGAAGTATTCATCATCCAAAGTTGACGATTACCCATTCCCTCTGAATAAACAAACAAGTATTTGTGGGACCAAATTTTACACAAGCGGCTACCTCGGTAATTCCTGCTGTTTGTCTCATTCATTCCGATGAGTTTCTTGTGCACACGTGCAAAGTGGTATAACAGTTTCGGTATATTTGTGATTACAAGTAAATAAAGCCGATGATACGAGTGAATGTGACATATTGACACACCTTGTGGGTTTAATTATAGTGGAGATTCCCCGGTGAATAATGGACAACAGTTTTGACCTTTATCACACACCCAGAGAAATGGTTTATCAGGAATGAATGAACTTTACTTGCATTGAATCACGTACAACAAAATTCTGTGGAATTTTCTGGGCATTTTCGGTCGATTTCGCTGGAAAATTTCGCACCTTATCTGCGCATTTTTTTCAATAGAAACTATCAATGGAAAATATTCTGTTGAAAAAATCAATAGAATTCGATTTTTCGGCACATCTTTTTCTATTCAAACGTTTTCTGTGAGAATTTCTCGATATGAATTTTCGAATTATTTTGGTTGATTTTTATCATGAAAAGGGAAGAAGAAAAGAGTGGAAAAACGTGGAAAATTCAGGTCGAGGAATTTCTATAGAAAATATACCAGTAGAAAAAGTTGAAACAAAAATTAAAAATTCAAATGAATTTTGTTTTTTTTATTTTTCTAGAAAATTCTTTCTATTGAACATTTGAAAAAAACAGAGCTGCGGAATTCTTCCGCAGCATCGGCCAAAAACTAACAGAATTCTCGTGCCTGATAAATTGTCTCATCTAAAAAGCTCCGTTTTACGTCTCTTCATTTTTATTCCCATAAAATAAATCAATCTTTTTCAATACAAACAGTGTTCCGGCGACGAAGAGAACGAATTTATTAACATGTCATCAATCGTTCAATTAATTCTCATGAGGATCTCTTTCGAGTGAATAAATTATTCATTTCACATAATGAAAACATTCTGATTGAAACAGCCATCTAATAGAAAAATATATAATAATAAAAATGAATACAAAAGAGAAATACTGCCGAAGCAACAGAAAAAAATCCCCAATAAAAAGTTTTATTCGTTTTAAACGCGTCATTTCTCAGGGTGCCGAAGCTATTAAGATGTCGATTCAATGCTGAAAAAAAAAAATGATTACGCGGGAAATATCACTGCTGAGGCTGTGAATCATGGCAAATAAGTTTACAAAAGTTTCCATTAACGACCGCAACTTTGAACTTCCTTCTGCAATTTTTTAATCGCTTGAGTGACAATTAAATCGTCATGTTTTTGTTGAATTTCGAGGTGTCCCGCACAGCTGAAAATTCTAATGAGGAAAAGAGAGTGATATAATGAAAGTAGACAAGTAGAAAAGTTACAAAGCGTTGCCACGATTTCGTAAACCACGGCATTTTCGAAATTTGGCTGGTCGTCGTGATCCGCCATTGGGACATTTCCGGTTTTTAATAAAGAGAGTTTGGAAAATGAAATGAGATATTGATGATTCACCCGTGTCCATTAACACCCGCCAATTTCATAATACCGGGCTCGCCGGTGTTATGTCGTTTATTAGCATTCATGAGATTCTTTGAAAGTGAAAGAGAAGGAGAAAATAAAGTTAAAGAATGAAAAAAAGAAGGCATTGATTTCTCCTGAAATTATCCGGTCGCTCGCGTCCGTGATCGGTCCAGCATGCGGTGAGAGCCTGATGTGTTATATCACTCTTGACCAAGTGTAACGAGACAAAAATGAGAATTGGGAGGGGGGATGATCGAAGGCATTAGAATAGGGGGACAATTTGTCGAGAGGTTTTTGCATGTTTAGGTTGTTGGTTGAGAGTGGGAGCGACGAATTCGCGAGTGGGCTGAGCTAGTTTCAGGTCGTCAGGTATTTTTAGAGGAGATCTTAGGACCTGGGGGGATGGATGGGTACCGGAGGGGCAACTTTCAGCCATTTATATTGGATACAATCGTAGACAAATGGGTTGAGAAAAACAAACTTTTGCGACCGCTTCCGTTACACCTTAACCAGAGGAAAGGTCAAGAAAATTGCCTCTCAACGCGCGAAAAAACCCAATCTGTTTCATCCCTGTAGGTTTTTAAATTTAATTACCGTGTATTTGTTCTAATTATTTGTTTTAATTAAGGGCAAAATTACCCGGAGTTTTCACTCTTATCGGATTACAAAATCGAAGGAGTTGTTTATAAATTATCAGGAATGTTCATCATTCGAGAACTGATTCAAACCCAGCCTATTCTTTAATTAAAAAATGTGCTCTGCGAGTGATTAATGATGTTAAATTCCTAATTAGGTGAACATGGAGCCGGGAAGTCAGGTGGGCTCGTTACCAGGGGCCTCGATAGAGTTGAAAGCGAGAAGGGCACAGTTCCAGACGCAAGCGTCTACCGTGGACACTAGGAGACGGCAGGCTGTGTGTGTTAGAAGGGCGTTCAAAAAATATGGAGGGAAAAATAATCCGAATATTATTCTCGACGGTCTCAATATGACTGTGCCAAAGGGTGCTATGTAAGTGACACCCCAATGACTCCATTACTAAACGACCGTCGACAACAACTATTACTAAATTATTTTCAATCGTGATTTAATCTCGGGAACGAGTGGTTCTGGGAGAAAACACTCGGATGACCTTTCTCGTAGCTGAGAAAATTTCAAACAGAATGGGTTCTGACCTTTTCCCCGGAACCACTCGTTATCGAGATAATTTCATGCTTCAGGAGATCTAGACAATCGTCTTATCTATACTACTGGATAAAAATATTAATTTATTAAATAAAATTAAATAAATAAATTAAATAAAAATTATTTATTTACTTAAAATGGGTAAATTGAGAGGCGCTCGTTCTCTCCCCAAGACAAAATAATTTAATCTAAGAAACAACCAAATATCAAAGTTGAGATAAAAATTCAGCTAGCGCTTAAATTAATTGTAATGACATCTTCAAATATTAAGAATTTTCGTATCCCCCCTGTCATAGAGACATTCCTGCGAGACGGGTATTCAAAGGAATAAAAAAAGGAAAAAATAGCTATCATTATTTATCTTGAAAAAAAATTTAAAAATAGATAAATGAATATATTTATTGTTTTTTTGTTCAATTTTACCGCTTCGCTACTCATTTCCTGGCAACGGTAATTTCTTCCTATGATAGATACGGTCTCCTGGGAGCAAGTGGTTGTGGAAAAACGACTCTTCTATCTTGCATAGTCGGAAGACGTCGTTTAAACTCCGGTGAAATATGGGTTCTGGGTGGAAAGCCCGGCTCCAAAGGCTCCGGTGTGCCCGGCCCCCGAGTTGGTTACATGCCTCAAGAGCTTGCACTCTACGGCGAATTCACTATTCGCGAGACATTTATCTATTTCGGTTGGATCGCCGGCATGAGCACCGTCCAGGTTGACGAGAAACTTGAATTTCTGCTTCAGGTACATCCCCAACAATTTATTCAATAGAAAACTTAGCGAATTCGCAACAAAATTCTCGCTAGAAAAAGTCAATAGATTTCAAATTTCTGTTGGAATTTTTCTGAGATTTTTTCTGTTAGAAATTATTGGGCACCAATTTTCCAAGTTTTTTCCACTGGATTTTGGTTTATTTTGCATTACAGAATCCGAGTGGAAGAAACTTGGAAAATTGATGCCCAAGCATTCTTATAGAACAAATCTCAAGAGAAAATTCTGAACAGAAATCCGAAATATTGACTTTCTTATGGAATATCCAATTGAATCAGCGCGAAAAACAAATAGAATTTTTCAATAGAATTCTAATAGAATTTGCTAGCGAATTCGCTGGGTTTTCTATTGAATTTTTTCATGTGTTTATTCATTCAAGATCTCTCTCCCACATTCCCCTCATTTCTCATGCTTTTCACATTGAGAGGGTTTGCAAAAAAATTGAAATGATTGTCCACAGCTTCTGGAGCTACCCAACGAGAATCGTTTCGTGAAGAATCTTTCTGGTGGCCAGCAGCGTCGAGTATCCATTGCAGCGACACTTCTNTCACTGCTGAGGCTGTGAATCATGGCAAATAAGTTTACAAAAGTTTCCATTAACGACCGCAACTTTGAACTTCCTTCTGCAATTTTTTAATCGCTTGAGTGACAATTAAATCGTCATGTTTTTGTTGAATTTCGAGGTGTCCCGCACAGCTGAAAATTCTAATGAGGAAAAGAGAGTGATATAATGAAAGTAGACAAGTAGAAAAGTTACAAAGCGTTGCCACGATTTCGTAAACCACGGCATTTTCGAAATTTGGCTGGTCGTCGTGATCCGCCATTGGGACATTTCCGGTTTTTAATAAAGAGAGTTTGGAAAATGAAATGAGATATTGATGATTCACCCGTGTCCATTAACACCCGCCAATTTCATAATACCGGGCTCGCCGGTGTTATGTCGTTTATTAGCATTCATGAGATTCTTTGAAAGTGAAAGAGAAGGAGAAAATAAAGTTAAAGAATGAAAAAAAGAAGGCATTGATTTCTCCTGAAATTATCCGGTCGCTCGCGTCCGTGATCGGTCCAGCATGCGGTGAGAGCCTGATGTGTTATATCACTCTTGACCAAGTGTAACGAGACAAAAATGAGAATTGGGAGGGGGGATGATCGAAGGCATTAGAATAGGGGGACAATTTGTCGAGAGGTTTTTGCATGTTTAGGTTGTTGGTTGAGAGTGGGAGCGACGAATTCGCGAGTGGGCTGAGCTAGTTTCAGGTCGTCAGGTATTTTTAGAGGAGATCTTAGGACCTGGGGGGATGGATGGGTACCGGAGGGGCAACTTTCAGCCATTTATATTGGATACAATCGTAGACAAATGGGTTGAGAAAAACAAACTTTTGCGACCGCTTCCGTTACACCTTAACCAGAGGAAAGGTCAAGAAAATTGCCTCTCAACGCGCGAAAAAACCCAATCTGTTTCATCCCTGTAGGTTTTTAAATTTAATTACCGTGTATTTGTTCTAATTATTTGTTTTAATTAAGGGCAAAATTACCCGGAGTTTTCACTCTTATCGGATTACAAAATCGAAGGAGTTGTTTATAAATTATCAGGAATGTTCATCATTCGAGAACTGATTCAAACCCAGCCTATTCTTTAATTAAAAAATGTGCTCTGCGAGTGATTAATGATGTTAAATTCCTAATTAGGTGAACATGGAGCCGGGAAGTCAGGTGGGCTCGTTACCAGGGGCCTCGATAGAGTTGAAAGCGAGAAGGGCACAGTTCCAGACGCAAGCGTCTACCGTGGACACTAGGAGACGGCAGGCTGTGTGTGTTAGAAGGGCGTTCAAAAAATATGGAGGGAAAAATAATCCGAATATTATTCTCGACGGTCTCAATATGACTGTGCCAAAGGGTGCTATGTAAGTGACACCCCAATGACTCCATTACTAAACGACCGTCGACAACAACTATTACTAAATTATTTTCAATCGTGATTTAATCTCGGGAACGAGTGGTTCTGGGAGAAAACACTCGGATGACCTTTCTCGTAGCTGAGAAAATTTCAAACAGAATGGGTTCTGACCTTTTCCCCGGAACCACTCGTTATCGAGATAATTTCATGCTTCAGGAGATCTAGACAATCGTCTTATCTATACTACTGGATAAAAATATTAATTTATTAAATAAAATTAAATAAATAAATTAAATAAAAATTATTTATTTACTTAAAATGGGTAAATTGAGAGGCGCTCGTTCTCTCCCCAAGACAAAATAATTTAATCTAAGAAACAACCAAATATCAAAGTTGAGATAAAAATTCAGCTAGCGCTTAAATTAATTGTAATGACATCTTCAAATATTAAGAATTTTCGTATCCCCCCTGTCATAGAGACATTCCTGCGAGACGGGTATTCAAAGGAATAAAAAAAGGAAAAAATAGCTATCATTATTTATCTTGAAAAAAAATTTAAAAATAGATAAATGAATATATTTATTGTTTTTTTGTTCAATTTTACCGCTTCGCTACTCATTTCCTGGCAACGGTAATTTCTTCCTATGATAGATACGGTCTCCTGGGAGCAAGTGGTTGTGGAAAAACGACTCTTCTATCTTGCATAGTCGGAAGACGTCGTTTAAACTCCGGTGAAATATGGGTTCTGGGTGGAAAGCCCGGCTCCAAAGGCTCCGGTGTGCCCGGCCCCCGAGTTGGTTACATGCCTCAAGAGCTTGCACTCTACGGCGAATTCACTATTCGCGAGACATTTATCTATTTCGGTTGGATCGCCGGCATGAGCACCGTCCAGGTTGACGAGAAACTTGAATTTCTGCTTCAGGTACATCCCCAACAATTTATTCAATAGAAAACTTAGCGAATTCGCAACAAAATTCTCGCTAGAAAAAGTCAATAGATTTCAAATTTCTGTTGGAATTTTTCTGAGATTTTTTCTATTAGAAATTATTGGGCACCAATTTTCCAAGTTTTTTCCACTGGATTTTGGTTTATTTTGCATTACAGAATCCGAGTGGAAGAAACTTGGAAAATTGATGCCCAAGCATTCTTATAGAACAAATCTCAAGAGAAAATTCTGAACAGAAATCCGAAATATTGACTTTCTTATGGAATATCCAATTGAATCAGCGCGAAAAACAAATAGAATTTTTCAATAGAATTCTAATAGAATTTGCTAGCGAATTCGCTGGGTTTTCTATTGAATTTTTTCATGTGTTTATTCATTCAAGATCTCTCTCCCACATTCCCCTCATTTCTCATGCTTTTCACATTGAGAGGGTTTGCAAAAAAATTGAAATGATTGTCCACAGCTTCTGGAGCTACCCAACGAGAATCGTTTCGTGAAGAATCTTTCTGGTGGCCAGCAGCGTCGAGTATCCATTGCAGCGACACTTCTCGCTGACCCTGAGCTCCTGATTCTCGACGAACCGACAGTCGGAGTGGACCCAGTTCTGCGTCAGAACATCTGGGACCATCTCGTTCAACTGACGAAGGATGGCACGAAGACCATCATCATCACGACGCACTACATCGATGAGACGAAACAAGCGACGACGATAGGTAGCGATAGATGGAATCATGTTTATTTATTTATTTTTAACGTAATTCGGGTCATAATCAGGTTTATGGGGATTTTTACGAAAGTTTCTTTCGTCTTTCTAAACTTCATAATCTCTCAACTTGAGAATGTATCAGCCTTGATTCACTCAATCTCCGTTTTGTTGGGATAGCCATTATGGTGTTGAACTTTCATTAAAACGCCGTAACGATAATCGAATTTAATGAAATAGGGATATGTTTCCTGAAGCAGATGAACGCTGTCAAGTTACGTCACATTTATTTTAAGAAAATATTCAATTAGGCGATTTCTTTTTGAAAGTATGCTATTCACTGTTGGAAAAAAATCAGAATTTCATGAACGATTTAGGAGTTATCCTCAGGCGTGCGATATTAAATTGTATTTAGGGAGGAAATTCTTTTCAATTCCTAAGACGAATATAAAATTCCACGAACGATGTTATTTTTCAAATTGAATTCACAGCATTAAAAATGGAAAAACTATTCCCTAAATTTCATTTATTATACTGTATGAAAATGTTCAATTGAATTTAACCATTGAAATTGAATTTTGATTTTCACAATAAGCTGAAAAATTCTTCAAGATCGCACACGAAACCCCCAATTCCGTTCACTTCCTGAGACGAATGCAAAATTCCATGAACGATGCGATTTCAAATTGAATTCAAATTCGCAGCACTAAAAATTCAAAAATTATTCCTTACAAATAAAAAAAAATCTGTCATTTATTACGTATTGTAAAAATGTTGAATTGACCAAAAAAAACTGATGACAGGTCTGATGCGGGGTGGAAAATTCCTCGCCGAGGAGTCTCCACGGCGGCTGATGGAGATGCACCGCCTGGACACCCTCGAAGAGGTCTTCCTAAAGCTCAGTAGAAAACAGAACATGGGGCTCAGACGGCGAAGCAGCATTTTGAGTAGTGTCACAGGAGTTCCCCCGGACATTGACGTTGACGACGAGATGAGCGGTGAATTCGGTGACAACGTCAGCATATCGAGTCGCCGGAGAAGCGTAGCGCCCCCAGTTCTCAACGAGAACCTCCCCGAGCTGCCCCCCGAGGAGGAGGGAAAGAGTAAATTCGCTCCCCTCGATCCGCAGCACATGAAGGCACTCATATGGAAGAATTTCCTCTGGATGTGGAGAAACGTCGGCGTTATGCTCTTCATCATAGGACTGCCTGTTATGCAAACTATTCTATTCTGCTTATCGATCGGGCGGGATCCCATCGGATTGAAACTGGCTATTGTTAATCACGAGTTGAATAACAGCAGGCAGCCCTGTATTCCGTCGACTGGTTGCGACGAGAGGATGTACAGTTGTCGTTATCTCAAGCATTTGGCGGCTAGGAAGGTTGAATATGTCTATTTTGATACCGAGGCGGAGGCCAATCATGCTGTGGAGAAGGGACGCGCCTGGGGGTCTTTCTCATTTCCGAGGAATTATACGGATTCTATTGTCGCGAGGATTGCTGAGGGCAAGGATGCCGAGAATTGGACTGCTGTGCATGCGGATATATCCATTGCTCTGGATATGTCGAGTATGAAATTTTCAGTTTTTCATTTGTTGAGATACATAGGATGGGGCACGAGCAGATCGTTCTTCCTCATTCCATTCATTTTTTTCTTGATGCTAATGAGGCATTTTCTATGGAAATTCCTCGATATAAATTACTAATTTTTCCCCCACTTTTTTCTGCAAATTCTACTGTTTTTTGTATACAGTATCTTATATTAAACATTGATGGAATGAATATAAGATTGATGTAATATTTTACTCATTTTTCTCGCATTCTATTGAGATTTAAAATTCTTTCTGTAGAAAATACTCGACAGTTTCTCAAGTTTTTTACTGCTTTTCTTTCTCTTCATATTAAAAAAACGTTTTAAGCAAATTTATTTGACATGAATGAAGGCTTCAATGTTATCAAAATTATCTTATCCCGTTGATTGTTCAACTTTCAGATCAACAAATTGCTCAACTTCTGAAACGTGACATCTACAAATCATTCGAGAAATTTGCAGAGGACATTGCCGTTGGGTGTAACTACAGTCGAAAAGCAGCGGCCATCCCTGTCTTCGTAAGTACTACGCATGAAAAACTTTAGCGCATAAATGCAAAATATTTGAATAGAGAATTCTATTGGATTTCTACTGCAGTTCTGTTGAAAATTCTATTAATTTCTGGCCGCTGCTCATTGGAAAATATTCAATAGGAGTTATTTCATTTGGTAAAAATCAGCTGACTCCTTCAACATGATTTTTACAATTTTCTTCCACTCTATGTTTCTTCTCTTTTCATTTAAATCGAATATATATATTTTTCCCCCATTAAAAGTTTTGCATTGAACATTTCTATTGAAAAAGACGCACATAATGCGGAATTATTAAAAAGAATCAGTTGAAAACTAACGAAATTTCACTAGAATTTTCCAACGAATTCCCCAGATTTTTCCATGAAATGTTTTTCTATTTGATCCCCAAAACCCAATTTTCCCGTTAAATTTCATTACCAAAGAAAGTGATTGATGACTCATGAAATCTGCAGTTCAATCAGCCAATATACGGACCAGAGGAGCCGAATTTCACGGACTTTGCTGCTCCCGGTATAATTCTGACGTAAGCAACCCTAAGAAACAAGTTTTAACATTCACAACTCAATACCCATCATTCACGTAACAATCTCCCCATCCCCCGTATTTTCAGGATTATTTTCTTCTTATCTGTGGCACTGACGTCCGGTGCTATGCTGTTGGAACGTAATGAGGGCCTTCTGGAACGCAGTTTGGTGTCTGGTATCACTGGTACTGAGATACTATTCGGACAAGTAGTGACTCAATTTGTGGTGATGATAGGCCAGACTGTAATGATGCTCGTATTTGTATTTGCCATCTTCAAATTGACCATTGAGGGAGATATTGCACTTGTCAGTATACTGACGATACTCTGTGGATTATGCGGAATGTGCTTCGGTGAATATTCATTTTACACTTTTCGTGAGAGAAAAAAATCCTCAATTCAAGAGCTTTAATTGGTATTCTTTAACGCGACGAGTCACTATTTAGCAATCGAACGTCAATTAGTCTTGCATGAAGAATTAACAAACCGTACATTCATACAATATTTTAATGACAATTAGAGAACTCATTCATTTTTTGGAATGAGAATATCTTAATTATATGCAATAAATTAAATTCCAAAAAACAGCCATTTGAACGAGAATAAAAATTCTTTCAAATGAAGTTTACTCAATTAAAATTCAAAAAACGATTTGATGAATCAAAATTAATTTAAAGTATTAGAAAATGAGAAAATTTTGGATAACGATGAAAAATTCTTTGAGTGACACAAAAATGACAATTGGATAATCATTTGTTTATTACAATTTATCCAGGTTTTGTAGTTGCCTGCAGTTGCGAGAACGAACGCAGTGCCACATACATGGCGATGGGTTCCTTCCTCCCAATAGTCATGCTCTGCGGAATAATCTGGCCAGTGCAAGGGATGCATCCTGTCCTACGTGCTATAAGTATCATTCTTCCATTAACTAAAAGTACAGAGTCAATACGAGCTATGCTGGCAAGGGGCTGGGGCATCAGTGAGCCAACAGTCTACGAAGGATTCATCTCGATTTTCATCTGGATCCTCGTATTTCAAACCATCGCCATACTTCTACTCAAATTCAAGAAGGGATAATGATTTCGCGTTACTGCTGCTGTAGGGAATATAAATATCCATGACGTGTGGGCCGTTGTTGGTTGAGAGCGTATTGAAAATATTCACCGGTATATACCTCGGGCTGTAGTCGTGTTCCATTGATATCAGCCGTTACTGAAAGCTCAGTGTAATTACAATTCTGTGAATTCGTACGTTTCAAGGGGGTGAATTCAGCGCTCCTCGTTCGATGCGTTATTTACGAGTTATTTAGATATTTATTTTTATTTTTTGTGTGTTACTATTTTGGTTGTGTTGTGGTGGTCTTACGCGGAAGAAAATACTCCTGAATTGAGATTTTAATTCGAAAACTTTCTCGCCAATTAATTCCCCATTTTTCAAGCTCGAATTGAGAATAATTTTTTTTCGGAAATGAAATGAGAAAAAATATTATTCGAGTTGAAAGGAGAATTAGGCGCTAGCAATTGGGATATTTTTTTTCGTGTAGATCTCGATTTCGTGGATGATGTGTGATTAAGGACCCCGTTGTTGTTTTAAAATTGATGTAGGATGAATTCTGTGTAATTGTTGATGTATAGTAGACATTAAAAGAAACGTATAAATATTGGATAATCCCGTCTTTTAATTCCTGTGTATGCAAACGCTGGGAGAGGTCAATTGTATACTCCAGGTTTTATGCGTTATTTATGAGATATTTCAATATTTTATCATTTTTTTGGTTTATCTCTTGGTTGTGGAGTGTTAGGGTTACACGGAAAACAATGTTGTTGAGTTTGAGTCTTGATTAATTACGAATGTTCCAAGTTCGAATTAAGATGCTTTTCTTCTTTGAAAGGAAATATCATTCAGATTTGACAGTGTTGAATTCAAAATTAGTTTTTCTCATTATTTGTAGATGAGTATATTCTGGATCTTTGAATCTAGAATATCAATATTCTTAACATGGGAATGTTTCGCTTTTTGCAACGAGAAAAAACTATTATTCGCAAATACGAATTGAATATGAATCAATCACCAATTTTTCAAATTGGAACGAAGAATGTTTTTTCTTTTTTAAAAGAAGAAGATATAATTGGAATTTGAAAATTTCGAATTAAGAATTTTTTTTTTCATTGTGCGTAAATGAGTATATTCTGGATCTTTGAATCTGGAATATCAATATTCTTAACATGAGAATATTCCTCTTTTTGCAGCAAGAAAAAACTATTATTCGCAAATGTGAATTCCAACATTTTTTCGTGTAGATTTTATTTTATGGATGATAACGTGTGATTTGAATTCCACTTTATTGTACAGAACCGTCATATATTCTAAAAAATATATGATATTCTAAAAATGGATGAAAGAACTTGATTATTTCAAAATTCATGTAGCAAAAATCCTGTGGAATTGTTGATGTACAGTAGACATTAGAAGTAACATATAAAAATTGGATAAACCCGATCAATATTTTTATTATATTTGATAACTTTCTCGTCAATTAATCACAAATTCTTTCAAGTTCGAATGATGAATAATTTTTTTTATGTTTAAAAGGAGAAGAAAATATAATTGGGATTTGAAAGTCTTCGATTAAAATTTCTTTTTCTGCTTGTAAATGATATTCTTGATCTTTGACGCAAGAATATTAATATTCGTAACGTCAGAATATTTCCTTTTTGCAACAAGAAAAATCTGTCATTCGCAAACATGAATTCCAGTATTTTTTCGTGTAAATTTCGTTTTATGGATGATAACGTGTGATTGAAAGACGCCGAGTATTCGAATTATACTTTATTGTACAGAACCATCATATATTATCTACAAATATTCTAAAAATGAATGAAAGAACGTTGTTGTTTTAAAATTCACGTAGAATGAATCCTGTGTAATTTCTTATGTATAGTAGCCATTAAAAGTAATATATAAACACCCGATAAACCCGTTGAATATTTTTATTATCATTCTGTAATCTATTTAGCTTATGATTGATTGACCCATAAAAATGGAAATTCAATTGAATGTCTTGAAGAGAGCATTAGGTTTTTCAATAAAAATTTATCATTACGGTCTCCCAACCACACAATCATGCACAAGCGCCTGCGACTCAGTATAGAGTAGTCGACACTCAGCGGCATTATTCTCAAACGACATTTCCCCAATTTTGAATTCCGGATTAACAGCAACCTGTGCAAAAACGGAGGATTATTTTCACCGAATTCAATAAAATCCACCAGTAGATATTTACTTTGAGAGAGTACTGTCCCGGCTCAAGCTCGGATATGTCGATCCACTGGCAGTCAATATTGTATCGATAAATATCAGTGCAGTTCACTGATATTCCCTGGTCTCCGTAATTGGCACATTTATATCTGAAAATATATAACAAGCTCAGTACTGACTGATACGGAGTATTAATTAGAGAGCTATTGTGAGATTGTGCATTATTGGGTAACGAACCGGGGCTTTACTCCGGGCATGCACAGATTGTCCTCCAGGCAGAAAGATGCTTTGTGACCTTCTGCTATTCTTTTTCCTGTTGAGTCTATTATGTCGAATGTTGCGAAGACTTCCATCGAGTGATAATGCCTCAAAAGATTTAATTTATTATTATGTTCTTCACACGTCGGATTTTTTATGAAATTTAATGAGATTAAATTGCCGAGAAAAATCTCACCTGAACGCTCCCCATTTTTCATTATATAGAGAGAAAATTGTTGATCATTGAAATCTTTAAATTACTTCATAAATTTTTCTTCAATCATCGTATTTTTTCAAATTTTTAAAATGTTTCTTAATGATTTGAAGAGAACAGTTAAATTCAGATGCCGAAAATTTGAATGGGCGATACAATTCAATTGTATGTAATTCCGAAATACTCACATGTGACACATGTGCCACTCCCAGAGATGTTTAGGAACCGATGGTCTAAAATCGGCAGTTCCAGCATTGAGAATTCTCGCGGTGAATTTCAAGAGCCTCCTGGTCTCCCTGAGCCAATCGTCCGACTCCTTCTGTATCCTGTAAGCCTCCGAGGCGACGCAATTCTCCTCCATCGCGCATTGCAGCCAGAATAGGGGTCTATCCTCCAGGTGTGCAGTCCTCATGAGTTCGATGTGATCGATGACGAGATCAGCCATTTCTCTCCTACAAGCGACACTCGCAACATTTCCGGGACGACCTGAAACGACTTGCCAGTTTTATCGATATTCGGATGGAGAAATGTGAAACCATCAATACCGATTTTATTGCGGGGGCATGTCGTCCCCTCGATTCACCTGGACACTGCATGGAGCTGTCGTGGAGACACTCGCTGATGTGGTGCTCGTTTCCTCGACACCGAATGCCACTGATGCTCATAAATTCGTTTTTATCACTGTGAAGTGTCGTTTGAATTGCACTCGAAGCGTAGCCCAAGTTCAATTGGCGACAGATTACACTCGCTTCTAGGAGGGACCATCCGTCACCGCATACCATTCCCCAATCTAATATTTAGTTTTAAAATCTAAATTTTAGAGTAAAATTGTGAACAGAAAGAGAATACGCACGATAAATTTTCGTGGAAAATTCTATCGGATTTCTGGTGAATTGATGATGAAAATTCTGTTAGTTTCTATTAGTCTCTATTCCTGTTAGTTTCGATTGAAGAATTCCGCTGTTTTATTATGCGTTTTCTATAATATTTAGAATATACTCAATAGAAAATATTTTATAGAAAAGATCAGTAAAATTTCGGCTTTCTTTACAATTTTTTCTCGTGAGACATTTTCTGTACAAATTCCTCGAGGCGAATTTTCCAAGTTTATTTCACTCGATTTATCTTTTTTTTTCATTGAACAAGTCAAACAAAAAAACTCTGGAATATTTGAGCTGCAGAATTTTCATAGAAAATATCTCAACTGAATAAATCGTATACAAAAGTGAAATTCTATTCACACGCTTTTCTTATCCTAGAATTTTCCAAAAGAATTTCCCTCCGTTCGAAAAAACAGGAAATTGTTCTCCCGTCTACAAGCGCAGAAATTCACGCAGTGAAATAGACTTCCCAAGTCAAACAATTAGCTTCATCCCACTACAAGAATTAGTGCGCGCACCCTAATCCCCGCCGTAATGCTCCAATTGAGCGATGAAATTGCATCGACTTTCTTCCCTAAAACCTCGTTATACGACATTCACCTTCATCCGGGAATTTAATTTCGACACGTCCCTCGGAGGGATTCCTCCCCCCAGTCACCCGTAGCTGGAGTCTGGGATGATGCTCCTTTATTTTAATTCTCCTCGTGCTAATCGAGGGTGAGGGAAGATCGCCCTCTTTATCGTGAGTGCAAATAACTCCAGCAGCCTCGTTACTCTGACAATCGGAATTGCCCCAGCCGTCAAATCTGCATTTTCCGAGGTAATCCTCTCTACCGTCGCAAAAAATGTTATCCATCCAAAAGCGTCCTGAAATAAGTGACTTGTATCGGTCATTTGGTCAAGTGTTGATGAGTGCCTGATGCATTGAGTTATGGAGGAGTCAAACGAAATGGATTTAATATATGTAATAATAATAATAATGATAATAATAATGATAATAATAGGCATGTTCACGATTACCTTTAGAATCTGAATAGTTATTTATTTCACTGCGGAGTGTTAATCACGAGCTGCCGGGATTGGGAAAACTAATTAAACAACAATTAACACAAACAATATTTAATTGCACAACTCAAGTTGTACGCACTTTAGACACTAAATCAACGCGAATATAATTTCATTTACGGAGATACGGTTAACTATCGCAGAGGCCAAAAGTAATAATATGATATGAAGATATTGACAACTAGAGGAAATTACGAAACGTCCCATTTTGCCCGACTCTCCCCTATTAATAATGTAATTATTATTAATTGAACATGGAATAAATTAATAATTTCTGTTATAATTTTTTTTCAACATTTGGAAATGAGTATATTCTCTTTTTATAAAAGAAAAAAATATTAGAGTTGAAAGGAGAATTAGTAGCAAATATCAATTTTATTGGAAAAGTCAAATTTCCATCCAATTTGGGGATTTTTCAAATGAAATTTCAATGAAATTCCGGCAGCTTTGGAAGATAAAACATGATTTTATTTGTAGGAGGATATCTTCATAAAAACTCTGCTATCCGTCTCTCTCATCCCCCGGATATTCATCAAGAACTCCTCCTCAAATCACCGAATCGCGAAGATGAATCTTTACTTACTCCTCGCCTGTCCAAAACGAGAATTGCCGGTGGCCTCAAGTGCCCCCTCAAATCCAAGCTGTCTGCACACAACAGTCGCCTCCAAATGATCCCATTCGTCATCGCACACAGAGCCCCATTTGCCATCGTGAAGTATCTCGAGGTTTCCTAAAATCGAAAGACCGAGAGAATCAAGATAGGATGGTTTTTCTCCGTTCACGTGCAACTCCGCTAATTCACATGTGTCTCGTCGTTGACACGAATCACAACGAATTGACCTCAGTTAAATGAACGAATCTCGTAGCATCGGGAAATGAGACCTCATACCCTCGAACGCTTGTCTTCCACCGACGAGTTTAATTGCACCCTCTTGCTTCTTCAATCTCCGAAAATCCTGGCTCAATCGTCTCAGGTGGTATTTGGCCTTTTTACTCGGGTCTCTCGGGTAATTCCCACCGTCCACAATCAGAGCGAAGATTGATACAATAATAATTGCCTTCGCTCCGGCGATCTTCCAAGTGGTCATTTTATTTTATTCACTTCGTCATTTTTGTCTGGGAGATTGTTCCATTAATATTTTTAGCATGAAGAGGTTTGCAACAATTTATCAAATGATTTTTCCATTTTTTTTTCGAAACGACCCTTATTTAAAAATTTGATCGTCTCCAATTGTGGGAAATTGATTCGAAAAATTGTGTTTCCTCTTTTATTCAAGATATCGCACGAATACCGATGAAGTAAACCGTATGAACATTTAATAATGACCTCAGCAAATCTTTTGTTAATGAAGAGACCTTTTTTGCAACGAATAAATTTTTTTATAACATAAAATTTGATGACTTGTTGAACCTCTCCATTATCATTTAGAGATTACTGTATTATAATTATGAGAATGAAGAAGTTCAAAACAATTTATCAAATGATTTCCTTATTTTCTTTCAAAAAGCTTTTTAATTAGAAATTTTATTGAATAAAAAAAAAAATTTATCGTCTCAAAATTATTGAAATTAATCAGAAGAAAAAAGATGAAAAATTGTTTTTCATCTTTTATTCAAGATATCTTACGAATACCGATGAAGTAAAACGAATGAACATTTTGTAGTGACCTCCGCATAAATGTCTTCTGAACTTAAATCATAATTTTCTCAATGTACAATTCGCCTGCGTTATTACTTCAATTCCCGCTGTTACACTGACTCGTGCCACACACTTGTCACCGTTAATATCCTCCAGCTCCTCTCAATCGTCTGGATTTTAAACGCACAGCGATTCGCACTGGAATCACTTCAACGCACTCCCTCAAGACACACCATGACGTGATTTCATTACCGCATCGCATCGTTTCCCCATCATTTTCCGATTTTTTCCCCCCGTGTTTCACATTTCATTTCTTCCAACCTTCTCGAGTGTCCTTCGTTCCCAACATCTGGCGAATCTCAAAGTGTTTTTACGCCGTCAAGTGTAATGGAAGTGCTACGTAATTGCGTCGTAGTTTAATGAGAAATAAAAATCTATTAGACCTCGGTTTTTTGCTGGGTTATTGCTGAGAGAATGGACCACTCGAGGGGAGGGGTAATTGATGATTAATTTCGAGTCCGAGTTCTTGCTATGAGACATTTGGATTTTCTTTCTGCTCTTGATTGGGGTTTGACGTGTCATTTTTTATTGCTGCAAATGAAGAATAATTAATACGTGTTCGTTTCCGTCCGGACAATAACGCATGGCTAGCTTCTATTTGTGTTTGTATTTTATTTTTTATTGTTCAGGGGAATTCAAAAATTATCTGAAAAGAGCAATTGTTCAAGCATGGAGAAAATAATTTTTTTTGTTAGATTCACTGAAAATTCAAGCGATAATTTTATTCACTCTTGAATTGATTTTAGACTCAGTTTTTTTCAGCGCAAATGAAGAATAAAGAAGCATTTCCTTCGGGATAATAATGCGATTTTTATCAATTCTTTCTTATTTCATTATTCACTATTTTCGAAAATTTCAAAACTCCCAGAAAACTATACTTGTTTAAACACTATGGAGAAATCAATTTTCCGGTGAAATTCAATGAAAATTCAGTGCACAATTTTATTCACTTTTTATTTGACCTGAAATTCAATTTTTCTATACAACTTATTCTATTAATATGTTCTACAGAATTTCTTTGGCTCAAATTTTCCCAGTTTTTTCATTCTATTTCTTTTCATAAAGAAAACCCAACCAAAAAACGTGGAAAATTTGAGCCGAGGGAATCACCATTAACCGACAATTTATCTCCCTAAATAAATGAAAAATAAATAAGTAAATAAATAAATATAAAATCCTGACACCCCACTACCTCAGCATTCAATCACCTCCATCTCCGCCCCCAACTCTTCAAACCGCAAAAATCCCCAACTCCACTGCGAGATAAATAATTCAAACCATTTCAAGTAACCGATGCATCCCTTTTTAATCCGCTCCCACCACCCCGTGAAATGCTGAAACATCAAGCCCCCAGATGTTCCTCATCATGAAAAGGACCGAGTATAGAAAACGGCGCTCTGTGCCCCTGGAATTAAATTAATTTCAGGTCTACCCGTTGGCAGCGATGATTTCCCTGGAAGAAGTCCCATTCAATTTCCACTGAATGATATTCCTGAAAGCTCAAACTTGCACGATACACCGAGTAGTTTGGGTACGGTGTATTCAAGACGACACGAAGACATCAAGTTTATCGGGAAAATTCGTGGAACGCCAGTGACGGTATCTGAATTCCCGGGATTCCCCGGGTACCTTCTACCCATTCTGCAGAGATGTCGGGGGTGGGGGGTGAAAGTCGTATCATAGATGTACGGAATGGGCATTGTTTTCTCACCGAAACGTCAATTCAAAATAACGCGTCGTCGGGGGAACTCGATAAGAAAAAATTAATGGAAAAAGGAAAATTGGAAGGCTGTAACGGAGTCGGTCAGTGGTCGATGAATTTGATATCCTGCTTTCCATATCGATTGACACGGAGGTTTCACTCTCGTTTTTTTCTCGAGCTATTTCTGCACTTGATTGGAGTGCCCCTTGAAAAATGACGTATCTGCCCTATATCCCGGCGTGATGCCACGATGAGCTGGAAAAACGCGGTAATTGACTCAACAGAAGTGCGAGTTTCCCCCGGCCCCCCTCCACTGCCCGAATGAATTCAACAGAAATGTTTCATCAAGGCCCCTCCGGCCGTGGTAATTATCTGTCGTATCATTGACGAAATGAGCCACTCGCATTCCCTGAATATTTTACTGTTGAGGTATTTTGTGAGTGAAAAGGTTGGGAATACCTTTTGGGGGATTTGTATTTGTGTTCATTTTATGTTGATTTAAAAACCTCAGGCATTAGCAGGAATAGCCGTACAATTCATAATTGCCGTTAAATTTTAAACCGTATTATTCGTGTAATCACCAATTTAAATATTCAAAATCCGAATTATTTTATTCACCAATAATTCAGTAGCAAAGCCGTAAACCGGGTCAAGTCGATTTTGACTTTTGGCCAGTTTTTGATGAATATCGCAGAATCTAAGAGAGATGGCAACATTTTTCTCATGACCTTTTTTATAACCCTCAATTGACTCTACAACAAAGGTCATGACAAAAAATTTTCCATCTCTTTTAGATTCCGAGATATTCGTAAAAAACTGGCTAATAGTCAAAATATACTGAATTTAAGATTGGCGAATTTGCTGATTTTTTTTTATATATTTTTTTCGTATTAATGAGGTGATCTTAAATTATTGTAGTGTGAGGAGGACATATTTGGGACGGAATAATTTAGGATTCGGCGTAGGATTTTCCTCTCCTTATGACGTTTTATTCAAATTTCATGGAAATTCTGGGAGGCGAGCGGCGCGATGCACCTGAAGTCTGAGCACTAATTGGAATTCTTGGGAAATTGCTCAGATAAGTTCCCTCGGTTTTCACTTAGTAGTGATGCGTGGCACCGACTTTTGCGGGTCTCCCATACACTGGTGGAAGAGCTTATTTATTATCGACGAATGAATTTTGTTGAAGAGTTGCGTAAATTAGACTTCAAATGCATGACAGCAAAATTATCAACATGTAATAATTATTTATCCGGATAAAGTAAATGGTTTATTTGATTCTAGTGGGGAATTTATTTTCTTAGCGAAGCGGTAAAGGGTGATAAGTCGATAATTCTTTCGCCCTCTAAATCGCGCTGAAATTCGCTCCCCGGGAAATTTGGATTTTAAGAAGGAAATAGAAGCGAATATGATCGTTATGACGTTCAATTATTCCTTGAAAACTAATATAAATATAAACATTTTCCTAAATTTTCAAAGAATCGAAAATTCCGTGTAAATTAGTACTAAACATCCCCATTTTAATTGCAAATCCAAATAATTCGGGGAATCCCCGTTGCCCTGGTGTTAAAAAAAATCAAGAAATCATTGAATTTTCCTGAAATCCAAAATTTCATAATTCCCCCCCCCCCCCGAATCGCGCTAAAAGTCGTCCCCGAAAAATTCCCGGTCAACAATCTCCAGAAATTTCCCCAAAAAATCCTCCCCCCACAGATTCAAAAATTCCCGCACCCGCCTGTAAATTTGGATTTTAAGAAAACTTCAGGCGCATATGATCATTATAAAATTCAATTATTCTCTAAAAACCGATATAAATCACAAAAATTCAAATAAACATCCCCATTTTAATTGTAAATCCAATTAATTCGGAGAAACCGTCAAGAATTCATTGAATCCCCCTGAAACCCACCATTTAAAATTCCTTCCCCCCTAAATGGCGCTAAAAGTCGCTCCCCGGAAATTCAATTCCGTCGCAAAAATCCCCGAAGTCTCCCGCAAGTTCCGCCCCGCAAATTCAAAAATTCCCGCACCAGCGCGCGCACCGCTAGTTCCTCAACTCCCCACGTCCCGGTGGGGGTGTCACCACGGTAACTGACGCTCGATCCACGCCTAAGGTGTCTCCCCTCTCTCTCCCTTGCGCGGCGCGCGGCCTTTCGAAAATGCCTGCGTCCTCCTCCCTCCGCCGGATACTCGCCAACCAGCGCTGCCCCGCCCCCCACCCACCGCCGCAGAGTCGCACGCCACTCGGTTTTGATCGGTGCCTCCAGTGCACGGGCCTTAGCCAAAAGGTACGCCGGAGAGTGAGCACAAGACCCCCTTCACACACTCTCGATTAAAATCAACCCCTCCGCGTAACCTTTCTCCCCACTCGCGCAAAAAAAAAAAATCCACATAAACAAACAAAAATACTCATCCCCGCGACAATTACTTCACATCCCTCAATCCAACTACGTGTGTCCCGACGTCACCGTTAAACTATTGAAATCAATTCAATCGAAGTGAGAAAGAAAAAGTGACAAGAAACGACGAGTCAAAGTATTTTCCAGTGGCACAAATCAACAAATTTTTTCTCCCGATTAAAATTGTCCGTGTATTTGTGTACAACATCACTGGAACATCTCGGCATTCCAATTCACCGAGTGAAGATTGTGATGAGGGCCGGAGGGAAGCCGACTGAGGTGAGAAGTGTCCGATAACCCCGCAATTTTCCCCCGGAAAATCGAAACAGTAACAAATTGTTGTTTTCTTATTAATCGCCCCCCCCCCCCTGGTGTGTGTTTTGTCGGTGGAGACAAGTGTCTGTGTGTGTGTCGGCCATTGCTTCTCTCGCTTCCTACCGCACGGAGAGGAGAGCGAGGAGGACCCGAACCGCGCGCGCTCAACGTGTGTCAACTCTCTCCTCTTTTTCATCCAGGTTCTTTATTTTTGATCCCTCCACCCCGTGAGAACAGGGAGAGCCCCTGTCACCCCCGTATCGCGGATGAAGCGTGAATTTTTTTGAATTCACTCATTTGATGTGGCAAGTGTGTACGTGTGTCTCTTTGGAATCAAGTGAAAAGTCCCTGTGCATGTGTTTACGGCGTGGATTATGGTGGAAATAATGTTACCGGGCTGGATATGAGAGGAATTTCAACGGTGAGAGAGAATTATTTTTCATGTCTCATTAGGTTTATGAAAATCATTTATCATGGCTCGTAACCCTGTTGAGTCGGGAGTAAATTATCCTGGTCGTATCGTCTGGCCTTTTTTATTTCGGGGAGGAAGAGTCTGAGGGAAAAAGTTTTGAGTCGACGAACGGGGGAGGATTATCCCTCCGGTCTATCTCGGCCCTGTCCCCGTCAGCCCTCCCAATTTTCATCTCTCCATCATCGTTAGTTCGTACCTTTTATGCTCATCCTGGGTGTCTCATTTTTTTTTATCTCAGATATATTGAATACTCCAGTCTCAGCGACCCTGAGGCGTACGTGATCGGGTTGCTGAGGAGGACATGAGAAAGGTGGAGGAGTTTTCGTTGCGTTAGAATAAATAGAGAGGGAAATTGTATGGACGCCCTCGGGGGTGCGGGCCCTCCCTTTTCCTCCCCGTTGACCTGCACTTCCTGGCACTTTCTTTTTTTTTTATCAATTTTCCCATCGTCTGGCTTTCAGCGTTCATCAGTTAACTGCGGTGGAAAATTGAGTTTTTATGATGCATTAAGGTGACAGGAAACTCATTTCGGTCGCCGGTTTTTCGGGGGGAGCGATTTATGCGGGAGGGGATGTTGTTATCAATTAGGGGTTCTTCATAAATTTTCCGCTTTCTCCGCAATTTTTTTTTCGGTTTGAGGTAAACGACTGATGATCGATCAGTCGGAAAATTCAGAGGGAAATTTCTCGAGTTTTTTTTTGCTACTAGTTGTTTACAACTTTTTTTGAGAATTTCTGGGTGTATTTTTTATAAATCTTCAAAAAACACTAAAGTGATGGACAAATATCTGAAATTTTGGCCGATAATGGCATTGTTTGAGGGAGGATTGATGAAATAATTAAAAAATTGCAATTTTTCAAAATTACGAACATTTTATATAAATAATATAATATATAAACAGTCAATTTTTCACCGTAAACATTATTCACCCAAATCGCATCATTTGATCAGGAAATATCGCCGATTAACCGCGGTCACCCCGTTAAAATCATTGAATTTGTCAGGACGGGTTGAAATAAAAATCCCGACGAAATCCTGAGAACGATTTTTCTTTCAAATAATATTCAATTCCCCTGAATAAAAAGACTAGATATCGATTCCTTCCTGACCTCTTCCCCATTAAAAATTCAGCAATTCTATGTAAGGGTTTATAATCCAGCGCATGCATTTGGATTTCAGTTATTCTTTTTTTAGAATAACAAACTGGTGGATTTGAACGCGATAGATAAGAGAAAATCACTCGATAATTGTCCACATTAAGGGGAGACTAATATGAGTTAAAAGTCGCGGGCTATTGGAGTGAGATTTCTCATGCATCGAAGATCGATTATATATGTAAAAAAACGAATAATTAGTGCAAAAAAAATCAATTGTTTATTGTTTGTTCGTCCCACAGACTTCAATTTTTTAGCTACAGACGTTTTTTTCCAAATTTCTGAAAAAATGTGTACAATGACAATTACGAATTCGTTTTATTAAAATTCAGCTCCTACACAGTTAATTTCGTTTTGTTCAATGCAAAAATTTGCGCCACTAGAATATTTAAAATTATTTTCAAAATATTCTCGATTCTTTCAGGAAATTTTTCCGGGATATTTAACTTGAATGGTGCAATTTTTTATTAAAAAAATTACGAAATTAGCTGCGAAACTACTTCATTGACACAACTAGTTTCACAGATGAAAATTGATAATTGTAGGAGAAAACAGAATTTTAAAAGTTCATACAGACACAGGGGTTCCGGTTCCCCTTAATGCTATTTTCTCATCCGAATGAGAAAGGAACAGGACAGACGTTGTACAGGAATTTCTCACCGTCCATTTTTTTCCCTTCAATTCCATTATATTTTCCAAGAGGGAAGCATTGCGTGTAGATATCCCCTGCATACCACCAGCGCGCCATGCCAGTGGGTACCCCTTTCTCCGGGTTGTACCTCGCGTAATCCTGGGGAGAATCCTTTTACGTTGGAATTGTGGAACATTTCTGTACGAACGTGAAACAAGGGGAAATAAAAATGGGAGAGAGGAGCTGTGTGTAAGCCCTGGATTTATGGAATTTTCATTTATCTCAGCACGTGGTTGCCCCGTTCGCCACAAATATTCAAACTAATTTTCATGACTTTTTTTTCCTACCCCTTTGTTGTTGCAGATTGCAAGGAGAGATTTCTGTAAACTAGGAAACAAGTTCTGAGGGAGGAGGAACAATATAAATAACTCGGGAGAGAAAAGTTATTCGTGAAACAATTGGATTTTTTTTTTTTTCGTTGAAAGTTTTCGATAGAGTGAGGGAGAAGGCACGAAGGAGGAAAAATAATACTTGAGAGGGACAAATTGGAGGAAGGAGTGAGGGGGTTTTTGTGGCCCCGTTGGGCGCAGATGGGAGCTGGTCTTGAAGAATCCGACTGGGTGATTGTACCCGGAGTTGGAAGTACGTTTTTTGATAATACTGTTGGGAATTGGACGAGCACACGTCCACACCCACGACGCAAAGGTTATTCTAACATAATCAGGCCGATTAAACTCGATCAAGCTGGAATTGATGGAGTTGGAGAATATCGTAGCCAACACTGTTTACCTCAAGGCGAGAGAAGGTAATTAGAGACGTCATTTGCATGAGTGCATTATCGATTAATTTTTAGCCGTGGATTTTGCGAGGAGATGGAGATGGATGGAGTGCGTACTATTATCCACTGTTGGGGAAACGTTGAAATTTTATGGACAGTTGAGCGCGGTTTAGGGGAAATGAGTTCATGAAATTACAAATTTCATGGGTAATTCACTGAAATTTCACGTTTTTTAGCAGCGGGAAGACGAGAATTTCTTAATTTCCTTGAGTTTACAGTGAAAACGTGAATATTCAGTACCAAATTATGCGGAATTTTCAATTAATTGGACATTTTCAAACATGTTTACCTTGTTTTTACTGATTTTCGTGGAATAATTGCACTGAAATTTCCAATTTCCTTCAGTTTTACCGTTAAATGAATTTCTGCGTGCGACACGCTGCGTGTGACATGTTGCGTGTGACACGTGTGGTAGTGGAAATAGCCACAGCGAATTTTGAATTTTCAATGACGAAATTCCTCGAACTTTCAGCCGAAAATTTTGAACAGTGTAATTTTCAGGTGAATGACATTGAATTCAACTAAAACATAAAATTTCAGGATGCACTGAATATTCAATGAAATTCCAAATTTTTGCACCAAATCAAATTTAAATTTTCAATTATTTTAAATTTCAAGAATATGTTTTTCCCGAATTCTCCTGATTTCTGTGAATTTCCGTGGAATAATTGAACTCAACTTCACAGTGTTCACCGATTTTTCCATAAAATTTCGAATTTTTTATTATGAAATTCTCTGTAATTCCAGTGAAACTATAATGGGACGAACAATCCAAAGGACTGTGCCGAAAATTTTGTTAGTTTATAATAGATCGTGGATCGGTATAAATTTTCTCGTTCGTTATCATTTGAATAAATATTGTTGTTTCGTTCTTTGAGAATTTACAAATGACGCTTACCCAATACCTGCTCGATCATCAGTTTTCTGGCGATGATTGATGATTAAACAGATATTCTCATAAAATTTTGCACAATTGTTCATTGATTTTTAATACGACTCATTCGCGGAATTGAAAAATTGATGATCAGTCGTTTAATGATCACGTCGATCATTAATTTCCCCAGAAATTAATGATAATTTTCAACATCAAAAGCCTAAATAATGTTGTAACTGAACATTAATTACGAGGTTAATGCCATTGACATGTCTGGACTGACATTTAAATGGCCGTGACTATTCGCACCATTGCGTGAATCACTCCCGTACACTCCATACACTCCACGCATGCGTGAAGTTTGTGTGTTTCACGCAGCCGAATTTTCATACTGCTGTGTATTTCTCGCAGTTGAAGTTTCATACTACTGTGTATTTCACGCATTTGAAGTTTTATACTACTGTGTGTTTCACGGAGTTGTATTTTTATACTACTCTGTGTTTCACGCAGTTGTATTTTTATACACTTGTGTGTTTCACGCACTTGTAGTTTTATACATCAGGATTGCATTTTTCCACTTCCTACACCCTATACAAGATGAATTAAATTAGTTTTTTTGGCACTTTCGTTTTCCAAGATTATCTCGGAAACTATGAGAGATAGAGCCTTAAAACCAAATTTGGGTCCCCTATAGGCAAGTGGATGGCTCAGAATTGCGTTTTTCCACTTCCTACACCCTATACAAGATGAATTAAATTAGTTTTTTTGGCACTTTCGTTTTTCGCGATCATCTCGGAAACTGTGAGATCCGATCAATTAGCCCCTCATGTATAGATATTCCAAATTTTTATTTTTTTCCTCATTGAAGTAGTTTTGAAAAAAATTGCGAGCTAATAAAAAACATTTGCTAGTTAGGACTTTTTTTTAGATAAATTTTTGAAAAATCTCCCCTGAAAAAAAAGGCGTTAGCCCCCCTACTTCATTATTTCCAAAAAATTTTATCACCAATCGGTAGCAAATTGTTTGAAGATTTTTGCGAGTTAAGAAAAAATCGTCAGTGCACTCCTATTGTGTAAATTAACAATTCCAATTTCAACTGAAAACCAGAGTTGATGACCAGAGTTTGTAGCAGAGATGTCAGACAAGATATGAATGTTTTTTTTGGCTCAAATGAAAGAGCGGGTCGAGAAATGGCGTGCTAGGACCTCTAAAGATGAATTCTAAGAGAATTCTAAGAGAATTAGAATTTAGAGAGAAAAAATTTCCGTTTCACCCAGCCGGGAATCGAACCCGGGTCTCCCAGATACGCGCCGGGCACTCTTACGCGTATAAAAATGCAACTGCGTGAAACACACAGTAGTATAAAAATACAACTGCGTGAAACACACAGTAGTATAAAACTTCAACTGCGTGAAACACACAGTAGTATGAAACTTCAACTGCGTGAAATACACAGCAGTATGAAAATTCGGCTGCGTGAAACACACAAACTTCACGCATGCGTGGAGTGTATGGAGTGTACGCGAGTGATTCACGCAGTGGTGCGAATAGTCACGGCCCATTTAAATCCTCAATAATAACAGGACTAGACGTTAATTAGAATATTAATGGCATGGACATGTCTAGGCTAAAGTTAAATCCCATAAGATTAGGCCCTAAAGAATAACTTGCCAAAGAGACTGAGGAAAATGAATTAATTCAGCGAAATTTCGTATCATGATTATGAAATTAAATTAAATCAAGACAGTTTTATTTTAAGAAAGAGACAAGGGCGTCTTAATTAACGTCTTCAGGTCTTAATTTAAGACCCACTTTCCCGGAATAAAAACCCATCCTATCGCTGGAACTGTCCCACATCATTATCCTCAACCGATAAAACCCCAGTAGAAACAATAAATGCACAAACGATGGAGTAATTTACGTCAAACATTTCACTGAATTGGGGACATCACTGGAATTTCTAGTTTTCCGGGCGGTTATCTCAATATTCAAGGAAGGGATAAATTCTTATCAGTGACGTCGATGCGTCAGAGCCCAGTGAAAAAGCGGCTAAATCAATTACCTTAACTGACAAAAGTCCACAGTCCCGGTTTCTCATTTTCTCTACTCAACCGCTCTCTCCCAACTTTGACACTTAATTTGCGGGGAGGTGAGTGAAGGATGAGTGGAAAAAAAGTTCACTCTATCTTTCATTGTCTCGTGATAATGGCTACTACCTACGCACGGCTGTTCACTAGCTGTCTCAAGCGCACTGAAATTCCCCCCTCCACGAGACCTTTTTTTATCTCTCAGTCTCGTGCCTGATTGTGTATATTAGAGGTTCTCGACCTCGTGTAATGCGAAGAGTAATGCGAGGTTTTATTGAGATCTTTTGAGTTTTTTTGATAGACCAGATGCAACTCTGCTTTACTTCCCTCTTAATCATTTCCGGAGGGAAATAAAGTATTGAAGAGGGAGTGGAAAATCGTTTTAATTTAGTGATGGAGTTGAACAGTTTCTGAATTCCTGATTGATTTTAGGGACATACGTTTAGAGAAATTTTTTATTAATTATTTATTTTATCAATTGTTTATTAAATATTAATTGTTGATAATTGTTCAATGAGATGCGTCTAATCATCACGAACTTAACATCGGAAAAATAAAATTGCAAAATTGTTTTTTTCATTTTAAAGGCATTTTTTCAGACTTGCAGAAGATTTTCATTTTTTTCCATTCCATTAGACAAACTGTAGATGAAGAAAATAAATAAATTTCAATCCAAATTAAATTAAATGATTAATTTATTAGAGTGAATAAATTTCGAATACAAATCTATTTATTATCGATGATTTAGGTTTAAAGAAATAGAATAAATCTTTAGTGGATAAGCCGCACTTATTGCAACATTATTAAACGAATGAAGCAAATAAAAATAAATCGTGTTTAGGTGGTGGTGACAGCAACAAGGGGAAGAGTAAGAAATGGCGAAAGATATTGCAATTTCCCCACATATCACAGTGCATCGGCCTAAAAGATAAGCTTGGTAAGTAAAAAACCTCAAGAATTCCTCACAATTATTCACTAAAAACTGACCACTGTCCACTGATACCCCAAAATTCTCTCCAAGCATTATAAAAAACGAAAAACATTCGTCGATATCAGATAGGATAAGTGAGCTGTGAGACGGGACAGTGAATTCCCGTGTACAACTCCCTCGTTTATTTTCATCTGTTCTATTGTACATCGGTTTCAACAGAAAAAAAATACATTGAGCATATGCACACTGCAGTAGCCCACTGTGTATTTACATTGTTATACAACATTATAAAGTTTATTTCTTTGAGTAACAGGGGAGAGCGCGATAGCTTTGTGATTATTGCCCAAACAAGACCAGCATCACTGAGCAGTTTTGTTATCTCTGGTCGTGCACGAGACTACGTAAAAATTTGTTTTATTAACCTGTTGCCAGTTACCATTGTTTTGACAGGGTATCTCTATTCATTTCCATTACGTCCGCGGATTTTAACACTTAATTTAATGTTTCGCTGTCATTAAAACGTTACTGAAGGGTTTTACTGTTGTGGCCATGGGGTTTAATTATTTTTTCATTAGGTTTTATTGCTCTCTCTCTCTCGGGTTCTATCTGGTTTTATTCGGTATTCAATTGAAGCTGAGGACTATTTCATGGCAATTGAACAGAATTTTACTGGCATTTGAAATGAGTAATGAAAGCACATTGACAATTTTATTTATAATTTGCAATTATTAATGAAATATTAATATAAATGAAAATAAAACTGATTGGGATGATGGAATAAAAATATTGAAAGAGATTCCTATTATTTTTAAAAATATTTCTCTAGATCAAATTCCTCGATTAATATTTAACTCATTACGTTTTATCACCGAAGAACAGTGAATAATAATCAATATTAAAATAAGTAATTCATAATATTTCTGTAAAAAATATTCTTCTACATCAAATTATTCAAATAATTCAAATAATATTTCACCCAACTGTCTTCAATCAACCCTAAAGTACCCAATCTTTTCTTCCGAAAGATTGAGAGCTGAGCGACAAAATCAATCTCCAAAAATGAAACAATTTTTTCTTCATCAATCTGCTCCCTTTCGAGATTACTCGTGGTCAATAAATGCCATACTGGGTGTTCTCTCGACCCTCCGCTGACCTCGTGTTCGCATTATCGCATCCCTTGCCCTCCTCCACTCATTCCTCCATCTCATTTCGCTATTCACCCAGGGGGAATCCCTTTGTCGTTGGAGCACTTCAAAGCAACGGGGCTTGGATATGTTCACTCACGAGGAAAAATGAATTTTTTAGGATGTTTTTATCATTTTCCCCCCTTGTCCCACCCTACCCTTCCACCAATCATTGTTAATTAAAAGCCGAGGAGGCCTCGGAATAAACCGCTCTCACCTGAAGGTGAAACACAGGACAAAGGCTAATTGAGGCTGAGGTCTTGTGTTTGATGCAGCTCGTTGCACTCAACGGTCTCTGGTGGAGGTATTTCTGTAGCAGACGATCGATTGATTCTGGTCAATTATCGGGGGCTCATTTTTGGGGGGGCAATTTCATCGCTGCGGATAATTCATTTACAAAGTGTTTGCATGCTGTTGTTGTTTGGTTGAGTGCATCCAGAGGAATGAGGCATTTAAAACGAATGAAACGTCGGGACCTTTCCGCCGTTCTGTAAAGATGATGAATGATAATGCCACTACAGACCAGAATTCATGTATGTAAATTAACCGCTCGTGAAATTTTCAGCCTCTCGTAACGATGAAGATTATCCCCCCATTTTTCAGTGCAGCATTGTATTTGAAATTCAATTTTTCGCGTAATAAATTCACGAAGTTACGACGAAGTTGAAGCTTGAGACTTTGTTTAGTTTTTTTCCCCCAGCGATCCAATTTTTTTCAGCATCTTGTCGCGCATTTTCTTCTTGAAACGTTAGAATATTTTAAAGTGACGAGTTGTGCGACAATTTAAAGCAATTTGTACTGTTTCATGTGATGTTAAAAATAACAGGTGGATTTTTTTTTTACATTTCAGACATTAGATACGGCTATTTAGTTGATCAACAGCCAATAGGACGTCTATTGTTTCGTCAGTTTTGCCAGGATCGTAAGCCATCCTATCACCGTTACAATTTATTTCTCGATGCCATTGAAAAGTACGAGATTGAATTGGATGAAAATCGAACTGAACTTGCCAAAGTACTGTTTGAACAGTATCTCAAGAGTGAAGGATCGGAGGTTGTCGATATACTCAATGACTCAGTGATATCGCAGTGTGAGGAGCGTCTTGGTACTGGTGGGAGAGAACTATTCACTGAGGTCCAGCAGACTGTTAAAAATTTTCTCGCTGGTGAACCATTCTCCCAGTTTCTCACGAGTTTCTACTTCTACAGGTATTTAATCAACCCTCTTGATAATAATTTACAGCTATTTCTGTCGGTTCTCTCGGTGAAATTAATCAGGTTCTGTACATTCATTCCATATTCATTCGTTTTCCATAGGAAAAGGCTCATTAATTTTTTTTTAGTACGAGTGAATAAAACTTTTTCCGGGGAATTTTTCTTTTCATGACCGAGTTATGAGTTGAAATGGAGTTGAGATAACTCTGCGGTATTGGAGCTTTCAATTGATGTCATTAGCACGATTCAGGGGAAACTTTTTGATGAATACGTTCGATGGTATTCAGAAACAATTGGAGTGGAGAGAGGAATCAACGATTCAGTGGAAATAATCAGGTGTTGATGAATAGTTGTTAATATTTGGGAGGAGTTTTTCTGCAAATTTCCATTCTGCATTCGAAATGTTCACACGATTGCTGAAATTCAAGGGCAAAATTTCTGAGAGCCTTACATTTCATCTCCGACAATGAATCACATTCAGCAATTAAAGTCAATATTTCCATGGGAAAGCTGAAAGCTCCACAACTCTCAGCAATAAATTGAAGAAGCTAGGAAGCTGTAAAGCTGTGCAAAATGCCTCGACCTTTTATTATTCCCCTGAACCCCGCCACGAAAGTAGTTTTCTAAATGATTAAAAAAACAACAACAAAGTTACAGTCATGAAACCCAGAGGGTTGAGCAGAAGATCCAGACAGCGTCTCTTCAGTGAGAAATGGGATAACTGGAGAAGAGATCAATGATTTTCGATGAAACTTTCTTCGAATAGATGGCACACTAAAAGTCGCGCTATTTTAAGTAAAAATTGCAAAAGAATATTCTACTTGAACCCAAAATATTACACTTCTTTCTACAGTTATTGAATTTTCTGGTAGAATGCGGATGACAATTTCTAAAAACCCAAAACACCGTACGATTACTAAAATTCATGAGCCAAATTTCCAAGAGATTTTTATTCCATCGATGAATCACATTCAGCAATTAAAACCACTATTTCCATGGGAGAGCTGAAAGCTTCACAACTTCCAGCGATAAATTGAAGAAGCTAAAAAGCTGTAAAACAAATTGCCTCGACCTTTCGTTATTTCCCCGGAACTCCCCACAAAAGTAGTAGTAGTTTCCAAATGATTAAAAAAAACAACAACAAAGTTAAAGTCATGAACGTTGGGTTGAGCAGAAGATCCAAACAGTGTCTCTCCAGTTGTAATCTATGACACTACTTTTAAGAACCGTATTCAGTGAGAAATGGTATAACTGGGGAAAAGATCAATGATTCTCGGTCAAGCTTTCCTCGAGTGGGTGGCCCAGACTGTCTAGGGGGGGTACAGTGGGAGCTACTGAGACTTTGAGTCGAGTAATTCTTTCTCTCCCTCTTGGTACGAGAAAAGAATCTGGACGTCGGCCAAGCCAGTTTTACTCCCTGCTTTGTTATCCAAAGTACAAACCAAAAGTCATTTTAATTTTCATTTACCTCTTTTCTTTTAAACAATAAAGTTGAATAAAGTCATTACCATTATTCACCAACTTTCATTTACCCCCCCAGGGGCTTTATTTTTCCCCCTGCATATTGATACTTACGAATGAATTTAATCTCCCCGTTTTTCACGTCTCACGTTTTATTCAACATTCATTTTACCCCCATCCAGCCACTTTATCGCCCACTCTTTTAGAAAAAAAATGTAATTTCATGGACAGTTGACTGCCAATTTTCAGGACAATGACACTGAATGCAATTTAGGGGGGAAAAATTGTGAAATTTCAGGTTTCACTGAAAATTCGGTAAAATTGCAGAATTTTGAGCGGCTTAAAGACGAGAAGTCCGTAATTTATTTGAATTTTCAGTGAAAATTCATAATTTACAATTATGAATTATTTTTTCTAAAATTTCATAATTTTTTTTCCCCTAAATCGCATTCAGCGTCACTGTCCTGAATATTCAAGAATATATTTACCGCAATGTTATGGTTTTCTGTTCATTTTCATGGAAAAATGAAACGGAAATTAATAAACTATAAGTTCTGTTTGATTTTTCCCAGAAATTTCTTGAAATTTCCGTAGTTATTGAATTGGATAAAAATTTCCGAAAAGTCGTACCGAAAATTTGAGACGAAAAATTGTCAACAGTCCAACTGCACTATTCATGGATAAATATTTCTTTAAAGGTACCTACAATGGAAGTGGCTAGAAGCCCAGCCAGTAACGTACAAGACCTTCAGGATGTATCGTGTCCTTGGAAAAGGCGGTTTCGGCGAGGTATGTGCCTGTCAAGTGCGTGCAACTGGTAAAATGTATGCCTGCAAAAAACTCGAGAAAAAACGTATTAAGAAGCGAAAGGGCGAGGCCATGGTGCTCATTGAGAAGAACATACTCCAGAAGATAAATTCAAAATTTGTCGTATCACTTGCGTACGCTTATGAAACTAAAGATGCACTGTGTTTAGTATTAACGATTATGAACGGTGGTGATTTGAAATTTCATATTTACAATATGGGTGGTGAGCCGGGCTTTGATATCAATCGTGCTAGATTTTACGCAGCTGAAGTTGTGTGTGGACTTGAGCATTTGCATCAGCAGGGCATTGTTTATCGTGATTGTAAACCCGAAAATATACTGCTCGATGATCATGGACATGTGAGAATATCGGATCTTGGATTGGCGGTTGAAATACTCGAGGGGGATATGGTTAGGGGTAGAGTTGGTACTGTTGGTTACATGGCACCGGAGGTCATTGACAATGAGAAGTACACATTTTCACCTGACTGGTTCAGCTTTGGTTGCTTACTCTATGAGATGATCGAGGGACAGGCGCCCTTTCGTGCTAGGAAGGAGAAGGTCAAGAGGGAGGAGGTGGACAGACGGGTTAAGGAGGATCAGGAAAAGTATTCGGCGAAGTTCACGGAGGAGGCTAAGAGTCTGTGCCAACAGTTACTTAAGAAGAATCCGAAACATCGATTGGGATGCAAGTGCGGGAGGCATGGGGCTAAGGAGGTGAAACTGCAGAGCTTCTTTCAGTGTTTGAATTGGAAGAGGGTCGAGGCCGGTATGTGGGAACCACCGTTTGTACCGGATGTGAGTAGGTGTCCTTTGCATATTTATTTCCCTTCTTTTCTGGGTATTTTAATGATTTTATCGTGAGACTCTTGAGGAATAGGCTGTTAACTAATCAACATGGAGCATTTCGGCATTTTAGTATGGGATAATTCATGACGTGTATTGTTTTAGAATAATCTTTGATCGATAACGTTTGAAAAATCTTCTTTACGATTATCTCCAGGATTTTAATAGGTGCGACATTTCGATTGTTATTTTAGCTTCATTAGGCTGGAAGGAATCACAACATTTACATTTCAAATATGAATAAAACCTCGAATTCGAAATGAGAAAAAATTAATCTGCAAACTGTGTCTAAAATTCATTATGTAGAAGCATGTAAATTCCATTAAAAACAAATAAATTGTGCTCAATCATCGGGCTTCGAGTTACATCGTCCGATAATTCGTCTTCAATTCCTCTTCATTTCAACAATTACTTAAATATTACAACAACAACTACTCTATAATCACAGACATCATCAGCCAAAATAAAAAAAAGATTTTTCAACATCATAAAATGCAATATTTATCGTACACTGTTTGATTCCCTAACTTCCCCATTGATGGATAATACGGTAATGAAATGTCTACATGATGAATTGTCCGTGCAATATTTTTTTTTGCATTGAATGCCGTATTGAACAGAGATGTTGAACCCTTTTGAAGATTTACATGATAAAGATCACGTCTCGTGCACTATTGACAATTCATTTATACTCAAGAGCACTTGAAATTTATTGTTGAGCATGAGGGGGTTGTGGACTCGGTTTGAATTTGAAATCCATTCCTGTTATTTACAGCCTCACGCTGTTTATGCTAAAGATGTGCTGGATATTGAACAATTCTCAACCGTCAAAGGTGTGAATTTAGACGCCAGCGATGACACTTTCTACAGCAAATTCAATACGGGGAGTGTTTCCATTCCCTGGCAGACTGAGGTGAGAAATAGAAAGTTACCAAAATTTCTTGGTACCTGGTGTAAGGTGCCGAGTTAATCCTCGATTTGGAGAGATTATCGAATGTCATCGCGAATGAATGTCGAAATTATAGCCGTGATGATTTCTCTAACGGTATTCGTGTGGCAGATTAAAGTTCAGAGGGTTAACTCTCTCTTTTCGATGTACGAAAGTGCGAGGAATTTGGCTCATCTGCGTCATTCTTAATGTTTATTCTATTTTAGATGATTGAAACTGAGTGCTTCAAGGAGCTGAATTTCTTAGGACCGAATAGCACACCGACACCGGATTTGTTGGTGAATTATCCACCGGTTAATAATGAGAGTCGCGGCTGTTTTCCATTTAGAAGAAAGGTGAGGATAAGATAATTCAAAATCCTCCTGTTCTGTTACGTTTCACTAATCCATAATTGAATGAAAAATCCTGAAATCCTTGAACTCACTTCTCCCTCTCGAAATATCCTGCGGTAAATTTATATCAAGTGACAGTTCCTTTGAATTTCAATGAATTTCCTCGATTATTCCATAAAAATGAATTGAAATCAGGAAAATTCCGTTAAATATATTTTCGAACTGACAATTAATTGAAAATTCTGCGTAATTTGACAATGAGTATTCATGTTTTCATCGAAAATTCAAATAAATCGAAGAATTCTCGGCTTCCAGCTGCTGAAAGCTTAGAATTCCCTCCAATTCTCCACGATATTTCATGATTTGTTTTCGCCCCATCAAATTAAATGGCCCTCACCTGAAAATGACTCCTAAACGCCCCCTGAAAATTAATTTCCCTTCACCAGTGCACTTCAACCACCAGAAAAATCTCAACAAAACCATTTTTTTCCAGAAACAAAGCGCAAGAACACGTGAAATTCCATTATCCGAGTGCCATCTGCTTGAACTGTCACAGAGCCAAAGTTCCGAGATGCCGGCCAGCTGATCCAGGATTAATTCGGGAAATCCGAGTACACCGACTAAACGGTCGGACGATCCCTCGCGATGCTGCATCTGAGTTGAGAATTCAATTAAACAAGAGGAGTGTGTCAAGTTGAAAAAAAAGCCAAACGGCTGAACAAGAGGGAATTGAAGGAGAAAAATATGCATTGAATTGAATTAAAGATGGTGTCTAGATGCACAAAAGCCATCGGTCGACGTCCTGTGACGCTGCAACGAGCAAAATACACGCGAATCCCTGGGCTGTTACGTAAGCACATTCTTGGGACGCACACAATTATTAAAAATACACACAGATGGTTCAAATGAATGATGCACACAAACATTGAAAAGAAAAATGAAGAAAAAACATACACAACCGAATATGGGAGACGAACGTTCCAGCCATTTGACGCACGTACAAACACAACTCAATGCACTCATCTCATTAAAATATCTCTCTCCCCTCTCCTTTTTATTTTCTCAACTCAATACGTCGTTGAAGATCTGGAAAACTCGTTGGAGCATTTAATTTATCGTGTCATTAATTTTTATCTTCACTCTCATGATGGAAACAAAGTGAGTTTGATGTGCATTACGAATCTCTTGCCCCTGATCGTATCTGTTGGGGGAAAAAATCGTGTGGTCTGATGAATCAAAGGTCTGAACAAAAAAAAATTAACTTAATAATAGTCATTTGCAATTTTTCTTTAGATAATAGTGGAATTAACGTCGGGAAATAGACGTTTCATGTGGAGTCAATAATGTTTAAAATCACTGGGCAATTCTAATTACTTTTAACTCTATTCTATTCTTATTTTTTTTAGAATCGTTGGCTCTTCGGTTTATATTTATTGAATATAAGTGATGGGGAGTCAATGAATACTTCGTTGAATGATCATTAACTGGGTTGTCAGAGTTTTTGCATTTTAAATGCAGGAAAAAATGAGGAAGAGTAATGATAAAATGCCAAACGTGCTGATCTGATCGTGCTCAACAAGTGGAATTGAGGGCACGTGTCATTAACACATGTCGGATCTCGTTTTTTTTTAATTACTGGAATTGGGAGGGGTAGAACAATCATGCCTAGGTATCGGTGTATAACAGAAATTGATGATAACGAATAGTTGATTGAAAAAATTTAGTGCAATTTCGTTCGTTTTTTTATACTCTTTTCTGCTCTACTTTTGTCACTTGTTGTTTCTTTCCAATGATGAAATTGACAACGAATAATTTGTTAGTAGATTAGTTCTGTGAACTTCATAATGAGCACACATATTGCTGTCGTGTAAACGAATGAGATTCGTTATAATTTAAGTTTATTTTTTATTCACACGAGGGAAAAATGGTTTAATTTATAAATGTGTAGGTGTTTCTTTTTTCCCCACGTGAGATTGACTTTTATCATTCCAGAAATCGTAATTTTGTTTTTCTCACATCATTTCTCAACCTCTGTCTGTTGTATTGACGTGTCTTCTGTGTCAATGTGTGACTGGCCATTTGGAAGCACTGTCTCAAATTATTGCGATTAATTTTTCACGATTCATCTTTCATTTCTCATTTCTATCGGTAAATTAAGTACAATGTCGGTGTAAGCGTTTAGATGTGTAAAATAATACTTATTTATATATTATACATAATTAGGTGGTAATTACGATGGGATGGAAACAAAGTAGTTGTAAGAGGAGGGGAAAACACTCATGATGACGGTATAATGTGACAACTCTTATAGCCGTCCTCGATTTTTCGATTAATATGAAATTGTACGTACTTTATTATCTTCACGTACGTTATTGATTTATGAAACAATGTCTTGTTTGTAAATACGGGAATTCATGGACGTGATTGGTTCGATGGCATTTTGCACATTTACAATTTCAGGATTTGAATTAGGGGATTAGAGTGGGGAGAAATTAATGGGATGGACCTTGCAATGGGATTTATTTGGAAATATTACGTTTTCGGAATTTTTTATGCTGCGAATAACAAATTCCACGTGAATGGGATTAATCGACATTTGTTCAATGTTATACGACTGACACTTTTCTTTATAAAGACATGTTTAGCTCAAATTTCGTTAGTTTCGTTATTTGAATTAACAACGGCAGAAAAATGTTGAGAAGAATTTTTTTTAATTCTCCCGAGTGAATGAGAAATTGCAAATTTGGGACATTCATTGGAATCCATTGTATTATCGATCCTTTGACAATAGTGCAAATAACGTCGAAAAATAGACTCCTGAATTTTAAGTTTGCTCTCATTCAAGTGGAATTGTTTTTCATAATGAAGAAAAAAAATAGATTGAAATTTTAAAATTGCAGGGAGTCTCTCACAAAATCATCAACTAAAAAATAAACGGCCTCTAACGCTTCAAGTGTTCTGTTTCGATAGAGGAAATCATTAGAAACTCCATTGAACTCAATTATACACTCGATTAGTCTCCATCGAAGTAGCTGTAATATTTAATGGATTTTGCCAAGGCCTACTCAATTTCGTTAACAATTTTTACTGAATTCAAATGTCATAAGTTGGAATTCCAAAGCCAGTTGATGATTATCGCTGATATTTGCTGATAATTCGCCGAAAATGAGCCGAATTTTCAAAATGACTGACGTTATCCATATAGCTTTCTTTTTACATCAAGACACTAGTCATCAGAACAACTAAAAAACAAATGAACAAACGTCAGTGGTGATTGATGAAAATTTCGGCAATCGATAATAATGAAGTAAACAAATACACACAACTTAGCACAAAGCATTATGTTCTGTTCAACGCGCCTCGACGAAGCCAAATAACAATTCTTTTGTAATCTTCTATGTTGTACGAGAGAAACGATAAATCACGTGGACAAAGTTATAAATATATAAATACGTAAATCATAAAGAACAATTTAATTTTCTTTTTCCAAGTTATTAAACGGATATTATATACGTTATGTATTTATAGCTTCGAATTTATACATACCAATTGTAGATTAAAATCGTATAATCGTACATGTTGGCCTTTTTTGTGTACTGCAAAGTCGAAAATACTTCCCTTTAATAATAAGTGAATGTCGTAAATATGAGACGAAGTTTGGAGGAGAAATTGATTCATTTTATGACTATAATACTGATGAAGTGTCAATAATTATCTCAAGTACAGGTGATTACGGAGTTTCCCTTCTCTGACTGTTGAAAATTTTTGGCTGAAATGTCCGGTATATTTAGTGGAAGTTTTTATTAAATAACACATCCACTGAAATGTCAAGCAATTTTGCCATTAAAAATTTCGCGTACTTCAGTTCTGAACATTCATGCCACAATTGATGATTCAATTAGTCTGAGAATTCCTCGTTTTTCTGCTGCAAAAAAAAATGAGAACAACATCAGAGGAAAAATTGATTTATTTCATAAATATAATATTGATGTAATTTCAACAATGATCTCAAGTTCAGGTAATTACGGAGTTGAATTTTCATGGCCCACATCAATCGATCGTTGTGATATTTCTTCAACATTTCTGAACGGGAAGACTCCAGTCAATGTTCTTCAACATCAATAACACAGGTTTTAGTCATTAACATTAAATTTCCCACCGCAACGAAGGCATTTATGCGCTCTCCCCGTATTTCCGAGAAGTCATTTCAATGAAATTCACCGGCCTTCGATTTTTTTTCCTCGTTTCAACGACCGAAAGGCAGCTCGGACAATGAGGTAGTGATTATTACTCATCATCGCGTATTTACATGAATTTTTAAACATGTATAATAGTTATATTGTCACAGTATAGTTTCTTTTTTTTTTTTTAATTCTTCATTGCTCTTAAATAGTAAACGTTCAATAATCTGTTCGTTATTCTGGTTAAACATCAACGTTTAATTTCCTGCGTTCAGATCCTAAGCTACCAAACGCCACGTGCAGCTTCTGTTCAAATAATTACAAGCAAAAATGTATAAATGCAAGATTCTAGCACGCTCCATCACTTGGTCGGCTCAAGTACACTCGTATGAACTAATTTGCGAACGTAATACAAAAATTAACATACAAAAATGCCTGCTGATGTCTAAGTGCGAATCGTTAGATTATTCTCTTCTAGAAACGAACTTTCGAATTTAGTCAGTCGATGCTTTATTGTCACGTAGAGTGCGCTAATGCGTTTAATGAGTGATTTATACGTTTTAAATTAATCGAGTAGTTAAGAAATCCTTAGAAAATTATTGAAATGGTCGGTTCACTCGAAAGAATACCCTGTATAAACTCTAAGGGATGGTTGGGGTTTTGCAGGAATTTATGCGTTTGAAAAAAACGGAGAGAATATATTTTTTTTAATATTCACAACTCACGAGTAAATTTATGAATGGATTTGTGTCTGGACTCTTTGCAGTACAATAAAGCATACTTTTCAGTAAAAAGTATCTCATTTCATCGAAATATCAGTGAATCAAAATTTTTGGAAAACAAAAATATTTTCATCTTTATGCTGGGAATTTTTTAGTTCAATCATTTCGTGAAAATTGATAGAAATCGGAAAATTGCAAGTAAACGTCGATTTTTCATAGTGAAATAGTATTTCAGTTTATCAAAATGTCACTGTCAAAAATTTTTGGCTGAAATTTCAAAGAATTTCATCATTAAAAATTCACAATTTGATGAGAAAACCGATGAAAACTGTAAATTTTAGTTCCATTATCCCACAATAATGAATAGAGTTTGGAAAATTACTCCAAAAATGGAATTCGCTTGAATTTTCATTGAAATCTTCAATTTCACCATTTCCCCCCTAAATTGACCTCAATGTCCCTCTCAATTAATTTTCTTCCAAACACATTATCCAATATTCTCAACTCCGTAATTGCAGTAAATCCACGGTAACTCCACGTTTTAAAGCCACGAGAATGCGAAAATGTCCTGCAAATCCCCAATTGGAAAATTTCACAATTATAACTACGGATATGTCGTGATGTCTGTCCATTTTCATTCTAAAATTACTAAAATGCCTTAAGTGGAAAATTAATGAGACTAAATAATGAGAAAATGACTCTTGATATTTCTGGCAGTTGCGTTTACAATTTTGTAACTCCTCGTTGAATATTATTTCATCGTGGACGGCGGTGGAATGATCAAGTGTGCGTAGACCCATTGTTTCCCTAATAAAATGTCCCAATAATTGAATTAAATAATGACGATAATGAGACTGGCGCGTCCTCCTCCAATAACTGGCTGCCTCTTGTTGTCGGACGGCCATGATTTTAGTTCTCTATATTTCTTGGTAATAAATAAAAAAATATAGTTCATTTCACAGCTCTCGGAGTCACTGCATCAATAACCGCCGTCCGCCAATAGGTCCGGTAATCAGTTGCAATATGTTCTTTTGTTTCTTTTTGTTTTTGTTTTTCCTTAGGCCGTTTACACCTGAGCGGGTTTCGCCTTACCGACGACTACCATGAGCTTTTGCAAAAACCTCGTGGTCATTACTGGAACAAACGAAAAATTCCGCGTCACTAGTTGTCCCCATTAGTACTGAGCCCGTTCAAATTTACTGTTGATCAATCGATAAACTTCAAAGTGCGCTCAGTGAGGGGAGTGTGTTAGTGTGCTGTGAATGCAGTGTATGATATCATGCAAAAAACAAAGTTGAAACGGACTTTTTGTGGTATCAAATCGTCAACTTTTCATTAGAAAGTTAGTGCGGTTTTTAATTGTACTTGGCCTCCGCTGAATCAATTTTTTTACTAATTAGCGCGGGTTAAATCAATACAATAATCCATAAGCATGCGTGATTGATGAATACACTGTTGGAAATTTTTTGAAATTCAAGTTATATCTCTATTTGAATTTTTCTTCTCTTTTCATTTAACAAATTGAATTTTCATTTTTCTTCTCTTTTCATTTAACAAATCGAATAGAAAAATAGAAAATTTGAGCCGAGGAATTTCTATAAAGAATATCTGAATGGAATGGGCTGTCAAGAAAAATTAGATTCAATTGATTTTTGCAATAGAATATTCTCCACTGAACATTTCTATTAAAAGAACATTTCTCAAACATTTCTTATCTATTATTGTCCCCAGAATCGGTCTGAAACTAATAGAAGTCAATAGAAATCCACTAGAATTTTCTAGCGGATTCACAAGCCCTTTAAAATGTTTACTTCAAATTTCAAGCCATTTTCTAACAGTACAGGTAAATAGTGTATTTTTTAATCTGTAAACCTTAGTCTTTGGTCCAACGACAACCATTGTCTTCTGGATAATTTGAGTCACAGCGCCTGTTGAAATACCAAAATTCGATGAAACTCAAAAATTATAAAATTAAAAAGAAACAAATTCATCTCACTCCTCCCAACTGAATGAAGAATGGAGAAGGAATGAATCATTCCTCAACTTAAAAAAAAACACAGGAATCACCGAAAAATATTTAAACAAGTCTGAGATCTTACCGACACCCTTTACGAAGAATTTCGGCTTGTTCTTCCACGCAATGAACGCAAAGTAAACTGGGACAGCTGAGAATATCATGAGACAGCCGTATCCAGTTTCCACAGGACTCGCGTACATCGGCACAAGTGTAACAAAAAGTGTCGCAAGGATATAGAATATCGGGAATGCGAGATTGACCTTGATTGGTCGGGGTAGATTTGGCTGTGCCCATCTCAGCCACGGTACACACAGCACAGACACGCCTATGCTCAACTGCAAGAGTAACAAGTGGAAAAGGTAAGGACGAGGTCGTCCATCGGGAAAAAATAGTGTCGGTGCGAATTATGAAATTACACCGACAATTTGCTCAATCATAAACTTTTTCCGGCCAGTAATTTGAGCTAGACACGCCTCAAACTCACCCAGGTAGCGAAACCCACGTAATTTATGAGGGCGTTTATGTCGGAGGAGGTCAGGTAGAGCATCGACAGCAGCGCCTGCAATCAAATTAATAGGGGAGTTAATTAATGAAACATTGAGATGATTGAATATAATTACGCATTTATCGCCCAAATGAGACATTTCGTGAGAGAAAAACATGTCCATATATCTGAGAATGAATTTTACATGCCTATGAAGGATTTCTATGCAGTCTTGGAAAACAAAATTGATATTTCGTGAACATTTTTGTTGTGGTTTTCGGGAGGACGATGTTAAATTCGATTTAAGGAGAGATAAATTATGGAATTGAGGGGAAATTTCGGTGGAATTCCAGATTTTCGAACAAGAGGACAAGAATAACACTGCATTTCCCTGATTTTTATTAAGTAATTGAGCTAGAATTCCATTCCATTCCACTTTCCACTGATTTTCACATTAAAATTGTGAATTTTAAATGATAAAATTGCGGTGAAATTTTAATGGAATTTCAAATTTATGAAATTCCAGATTTCTCAACTTATTTTATATTCCAATCGAAATATGAATATTCAGTAACAAATTGCGTCGAATTTTTAATTAATCGACATTGGGATTTAATTTGAAGAAAATTGAAATTTTCTCGTGAAAATGTTAACGTTTAATTACAAGATGCCCTGAAATTTCAGTGGCATTGTCATTCACTTAATTTATTCATTCATTTCATTATTTTATTTTATTTATTATTATATTTCAGTTGGAAATTTGAATTTCTCTCAAAAAAATTCCCATAATATTCTAGGAATTTTTAATGGAAGATATATTATTCTATACGAGGATTATTCCATAAGAATTCATCCACCAAAAAAATTTCGAGGATTATCCTCAGTGTCCGCAAGTCCTCACATTCAAACTCACGATCTCAAGAACTGAATAAAATAATTACCATGCAGAGAACAGCAGGTGCTGGAGTCAGTCTGGACACCTGTATCATGGTGAGTATTTCAGGCATCTGACCCTCGCAAGCCCCCGCATAAAAAAGCCTAGATGAAGTCAGTAGAATTCCATTGACAGCCCCGAACGTCGACAGAGCCACGAACACGGGAATTGTCCAGGCCATGAAGCCAAAGAGGCGATTTGCGAACGTCTGAATAAAAATAAAAATGAAAATAAAAATGATTGACTCGTTATTTCCCCGTTGAAGAAATCTAAAAAGTCCCCCAGTCGGCCCTCCCATGTTTCATAACAATTTATTCATCGAGTGATTTATCTAATAGGCTATAAATACTCACAACAGCAACAGCTTCACTTGATAACACGTCTTTAATGCTCAAAGTCGTGTAAAATGCGACATTAGTCAGAACGTAAACAATAGTTACGAGGGTGCAGGATATGGCAATGGCCTTTGGCAAATTTCTGAAAAAACGTTTCCTTGATGTTTTTTGTACATTTGTGGTGTATATCGTAATTCATGGATTGACATTCTCATTACCTGACGGGATCCTTGAGCTCTTCAATGATAAAATTGAGGTAATTCCAGCCGTTGTAGGCGAAGAGGCCCGAGTAGAAGCTCAGGGCGATGGATGTCACCTCGGCATTGGTACCCTCAAACGTAAAATGTTCAACGTGTCCTGGACAAAATTTAAAACAATTATCAACAATTGTTGAATGAGGCATAATACCCCTGAGGCATTTAAATGGAATAATGTTGGTCACTTGACCTCTTTTTATCCAAGTTGAGCATTGATTTCCCCTTTTCTTTCATCAGATTATGATGAAAAATAAAACTGAAAATTTGTTCTTCAAGAATTTCAAGAGAATTTCAGTAATTTTTTTATGAAGTTTCAACAGAGTTTTCTGGGAGTTTTATGGGGCTCATCTGAAGGTTAATAAAAATACAAAACGCGAATAATATTTACTTATAACGTCAGCATTTTACGACGATAAAAAGCTTATAGACTCCTCAATAGAAACAGACGAATTCGGCGCATATTGAACCCCATCAATCAGTCTCAATAAATAATGAATGAAACCATCGCTTATTAAACTAGAAAGCTGAATTGTTCCCACATACAACAAAAAAGAGGAAATAAATCCCCTTAAATAGATTCAATTCAGAGATTGTTCTCTATTTTATACGGGCGACGCATTAAAACGTAGTTTTTGATTGGCCAAATTGTCGCGTCCGGTAACAGGACACGAGACCTGAAAAGGAATTAAACACGTCAGACAAGTGACTTTTATTCTATGATTTCACGGTGAGTGTGTGGGCGAAACAAGACATTTCTATTCTCATCCAACGGGAGAAGCGGAATATTAGCTTTGAGATTGGGTCAAAGACACGAGACCTTGAAGAAATATTGGCCCGAAGGCCACTGGGGTGCCATGTGCCGAAGCCCTGGCCATCGTAAGTTCAAGGTATTCTTGTATTCCGAGGTTTGAATTACCTCTGCACAACTGATATCCACCGGCAGCGATTATGACAAATAGGGCTAATAATTTGGCGTATGTGAAGACATCCTGGACTCTTGTGGCCCACTTGACGTCCCAGCAATTGACGAAGGCCAGTGTACCTGGAAGAAAAGAATTTTTATGAATTTTTACAGCATTTTTTTTCACACATGAGAAAAGAATTAATGGAAAAACCAAGCGCTTTCAATAAAAAATTCTATTGAAATTGTGTTGGAACTGAGAATTCTGGGACATGAATTTTTCAAGTTTTCGTTCTTGAATTGTATTATGAGAGAGAAATAAAACTATAGTGGAAAAAAACGGAACATTTTGCACCCAAGAATTTCTGTAGAAAATAAAAATCATTAACTTTCTTTTATCAAATATCTCTCAAGAAAATGTCACGCGTCATTAAAAAATGAAATTCTAATTTATAATGTATCATCTATAATTCATAATTATAATATCTATATCAAAGTAAAAATATATTGACTTTCTTTCATCAAATATTTCTCAACAAAACTACACAATAAAGTTGCATAATCCTCTAAAAAAAAGAACGGAAAAAAATAGAATTCTCACAGACCCACAAGAGAATTCTTATGCGCGCTGCATCACATCTTAACAATTAAACAATTGTTAATTGATTTATTGCCGAGATATTTTTTAATTGTCCGTAAGTCCAGCAGTTATAAATAACTGAAGAAACTATCCCAAGAAGTTGATGCATTTCTCATGTTCAAGCCGAAGGCATCAATTTTTTCATCGAATTTAATTGAACGAATCAAGATCTCCCGGGGGAGTTGACTTTATTCTCCAATCATCTGTCATCGTAATCTAATTCCGTTGTTTTGGCATGAAAGGACGAGTGGTTGAAGACAATACGCCAAAGTCTTATGAAATTCCTGAGAGATATTGCATCATGCATTCCTCGTTGTTTCATTATTTCTCCGTTATTTGTTGTTTGCCTCATTTTCTCGGGTTATTTCCTACTCTGCGGGACGACGCTCTAGGTATTGAGAATGTTTAAACAAACTTTCGAGCGCTTAGAAAACTGTCAATTTTTTCTCAACTGATGGAATGGAGAGTTATCTTCTTAATTTTTTATGGGAATTTTAATCCACAAATCCAAGTTGATTATGTTCAGTCAGAAATGGAACAGTTAATATGCACCGAATGTAGACGCGTGTGCGGCGTTATGGGGCGCTAAGGGTGTCATGTTTCTCCGTGAAAAATGAAGCTTCTGAATGCCAATTAAAATTGTATGTTTCACTTGTGCGCAAACTGAAATTTTGCGCACGCATGCATAACACTAGTTCTGTAAAGTATGGGCTGATCATTTAATAATGAATGACATTATCAAAAGAATTTTGAGGACAATAAATAATAAAGAGATATAAAAGAGATGTATCTAAAATATTAAAAAATATAAAAATCAGAATCGGTATTAAATCGACTGGTGAGCTATTTTTTTATATTTTAAATAAAATATAAAAAATATAAGAGATGTATTTTTTTTTATGATAATAATGAAATAATGAATAACAAAAAGAGATATAAAGGATAGTATGACACGTCCACAGACTCGAGAAAGAAGGAGACGATCGTACATGAAGGTGATTGAGAGTGCAGAAAAGAAGAAATAAGCAACAGCATATTTTGACCCGCGGGAGGTGTGTACCGTTTGCCGAAGGCGGGTGTTACCCTCCCAAGGGTCAAAGAACACTTTTCCCACGAATGTCGAACCCTATTTTTCATCACAATGTGTAGAAAGTGGAACTTTGCGCGAAGCGTGCGGAAAATTTCACTTTACGCACAAGTGATGAAATGAATTTTATGCCACTCATGCCTGAAACCGGCTGGATTACACACTCGACGCTTCGCGTCTCGTGTCTAATTCAGCTGGTTTCAGGCTTCGTGACATAAAATTTTGTTCAATACTTGTTGGGAAATTTCGTCCTTAACGTGTGTGGTTACATCACTCGCCTCCGGCTCATGCTGTAAACCCCACACACGTTAAAGACGATATTGCCCCACATGTGCTGAAATATACTATTCTGTAAATGGATGAACATGGTTAACGTACATATGCAGACGACGGCGAGCAGCCGCGCTGCGTCGTCCGGGGGGGTGCAGTCCGGGAAGAATGGCTTCAGGACGTAGATACTGAACGTCAGGGCCACTATCGCTTGACTGCAGGGCCTCACTATCATGCATTCCACCCAGAGTCTTATGAATGCTGCGAAGGGACCGAAGGTCTCCATTATGTAGGCATAATCGGCCCCTGATTTTTTTATCATGCAGCCGAGTTCGGCGTAACAGTAGGCGCCCACCTAAAATTGGGAGAATTGAGATGAGAGGACAGGGGTTTTATGGGATTATATTTTATAAACCGAAGTAAAAATGAAATTTTTAAGAACCTAATGATTAAATGAATAATTCAGAAGCTTCTTTCAACGATTTTCAAGTATGTTGAGTTTATAAATGACAATAATTTTGATAACGAGTTATTCTAGAAGAGAATTTCGAAATCAATTTTTTTAGATCGGAAATGTCATCTGAAAATGGCTTGTGATATTTTTAAATTCAGGGGAAAACCAAGACTTCGAGTCTGACAGTTTTATGAGAAGTCTTTCGGAGTTCAGAACGTTCTCGACAGAAAAGTCTATTGACTTTTCTCCTCAAATCAACCATTACAGAGATAATTGAATATCTAGACGACTATTTAAATTTATCAGTTCGGGGAGTTGAAAGTTATCTCGATAACGAGTTATTCCAGGTGAAAATGTTGTAGATGTCTAGGTGTAAATGTTTGTAGCTCACAAACATTCGAGGAAAAAAATTCTCGCGGTATTTCCTTCCTAAATTAGTCAGTAGAAAAAAATTTCACATTTATCTAAATGGGGAAAGGGGAGTAAAATAAAATGATTCATTTTTACGTCATTCATTTTTTAAAATGTCGAAGGAAATTTCTAACGAAATGAAGAACAAAAAAATTGTCGAATTATCTCATTCATTGATTTACCATAGAGAAAATTCCCGATGCTGTCCAGACCATGAGTGCCACATTGACACTGCCAGTGTGCATAAGGACCCCAGTGGGACTGACAAAGATACCAGAGCCAATAATTGACCCGACAATCACTGTAACACCATTCATCAGTGACATTTTCGCCTCCAGTTTGATTTCACCGCCCCCATCAGCATTTTCACTAGTTGCCACCGGGTCATACGGGCCCTTTTCTCCTTCCTTTATGCTTCCGTTCTTTGACATGGTGCCTTCGAAAATTCCAAAGAGGAATTACAACGTTAGAATGCATTTGGTACACTATTGAAGAAGAAAATTAAATTTCATGGTCAACTGACATCTAATTCAATTTTGGGGGAAAATGATTAAATTTCAGATTTCTCCAAGCAATGGGAATTAATCCGGGAAGGTGGGCTTTTTGGAGAGGTAAGAAATTTCATCGACAGTTGACTACTAATTTTTTAGGAGAGCGACACTGAATGCCATTTAAGGGAAAAAAATATCAAATTTCAGGTTTCTTTGAAAATTCAGTAAAATTCCAGAATTTTAAACAGCCCAAAGCGAGAATACCTTAATTTATTTGAATTTTCAATCTAATATGAATATTCAGTGCCAAATTACATTGAATTTCTAGTGAAATCTGAAATTTCCTGATTATTTCTCCTAAATAGCATTAATTTTCAGGGAAAAACGGAACTGAAATTTATAATTCTCTTTGATTTTTCCACGAAATTCTGAATTTTCAATGACGAAATTCGTTGAAATGTCAGTGGTAATGAAATTCGATAAAAACTTCCAAAAAGTGTACGGAAAAAAATGTTTTGCGTCGCTTTTACGTTTTGTCACATAATTTTTTCCCGTTTTGAATTTTCACTGTCGAATTCCTCGAAATTTCAGTTAAACAAAAATGTGTTTCACACAAAAATAAAAGAATTTTTTTTTTCGTATAGAATGCAGTTGGAAAGATTTTTTTCACTGCATCAGGAAATGAAGTTAATTTATTTTTCTTCTCTAACGCCCACCGTCATCTCGACTCCGAGTTTTCCTGTGAACACCCTCAGCCCTCAGCCCTCTCTTCCCCATCTCCCGGAACGAATCACGATTTCATTCGTGCCGATTCAACTCTCCACTATTTATCTCCACCTTTTTTAACTCTCGACGAAAAACGAAGAACACAAAGTTTAGACTCAACTCGATAGAAATCTCACGGTTCATCTTACGAAACTGGGCAAAAAACTCAGGGGAAAAACTTGGAGCGGATAATGAATGAACATTTCGGAATGTTGTAATTGTGTAGCAAAAGAATGTGAACAAGTAGCATTTCCCTTCATCAAGTTGTTGTTCGTTTTTTTTCGTTTTATTCTAGTTGAATCCCGGATGCAATATCGAGTCCCGGGAAATGAAGAAAGAGCAGAACTATGAATTTCCAATATCTCATTTCCAATATTCATTTTCAGTCTGGCGCTTTTGCTGTAGAAGAAAAATGCGGTGATTGAAAAAATGTTTAGTTTGCATTTTCAGCAATAGAAGAGGAAAAATAATATATTCATAAAATTGAACAGCTTTTTTTAATAATTAATGATTTGCATTTTATTATTCAGTAATTATTACGTTGAAAACGGTTGCCCTAGCGTACAAAAAATGTTACAATGATTTTAATATTTAACCTTCAAAAGCCTTAATTTGATTCTTCGTTTTAAACAATTAGGAAACATGCGAAAATTAGAAAAAAAATGTAATTCCAGTCTGGGGAAGATCCGAAAAATCATTGAAAAATTGCTAAATAATTGAATGATTGCTAACCAATCCAATTTCAAATCAAAATTATCTCAAATGTTCTGAGAACTTACATAAACTTATTTCTCCATTTAAATTCAGTAGCGAAGTGGTAAAACGGTTCAAGTCGACTTATCTTCCAGTTGAGTTTTTGAGGAATATTTCCGAATCTAAGGGAGATAGCGAAATTTTCGTAATTACATTTGTTGTAGGCTTCAATCGGCTCTACAAAAAAGGTTATAACAAAAATTTTCCTATCTCTCTTAAATTCCAAGATATTAATTGAAAACTGGCGAACAGTCAAAATTGACTTAAACCGCTTTACCACTTCGCTACTGAATTTATTCAAGCGTTACAAACTACTTTGTAAAAATGAATTGTTCCCTCGCAATCAGACGAGACTATTTATCTACCCAGTTTATTCATACCCAGAAAAACTATCCCCCCCCCCCATCTAGCGGGTCAAATTGTTGTAGACATTGCAAGCAAAACCGATACCCCGGGTATTATCAGGGGTCATGAGGCTTCAGGGAGACGAAGTACCTCGCACTTGCATAATTCTCGCTGCACGATTCCCGCATTTCCGTCATTGTTATGGGATTAAAATTCAAATCCCCCGGGTGTTCGAGCCATCGAAATTCGACTCCAGCGAGGAGGAAGTATGGTTTCACCCTCGACCGAGGTGAAAAACCCCGAGGGGGTGGCCGCCAGCTGTCATTGTCAAGCCTCAGAAATTTTCGCTGTAAATTTTTGTTTCCGGATTTGGAGAACTCGGAGTCATTAAGCCGGCGAAATCGGGAGGGACTGGTGTTCAGGGAGGTTGAGGGGCTCCTGCGTCATCCCTTATCGACCCACAACCGCAGTCCAATGCCTTCAATTCCTCCCCTTTTTTCACGTCGAGCAGGAAAATCGAATGCTTTACATTGAATAACGCCAATGCGCCTTCATTTATGTCAACATATTCCGTTTCATCAATGAAATGACATGTGGTTTGTGTACGTCGCGGGTAAACACGTGACTTTTTATTATTTTTGAAAATATGGAAGCATGCCTTTTACAGGTTCAAGTCACAAGAATTGTGTTTTGCAGAAAAAAAATTAGGCTCTATTTTGTTTATGATTTTTTTCATGTCTGAGTGAGAGAGGTGATTGATACTTTTTTTTGTTTATAGACCTTTTCATTCTGAGAATTTACGTATAAATCATCATTTTTCAGGGCTCAAATGTATATTTTAAATGTCGGTATTTATCAGATTTTTTTATTATTTCTCTGGAAATTTTTCAGTTCGATGAACGGAATAAATATTTCCCCTAGATTTCCAGAACGAAAAGGTCTATTCCGTCTGAAATGAACGAATTGGAATTAAAATTCCCTTCTAAATGAAAAATAGAAATTATTTGAACATTCAGAAATGTTGTTTTTTGACGAGAAAGTGATCTCTAGTGAAACTCTGATGCGGCTTCCAAAAAATGGTTATTAGCGCGAAGAATTGATTGTTTGTAATTTATTCGTGCAACAAGCATTTACCATTTGTTAGATTTTTTAAATGTTTTCTAATGGAGTAGTGATAACCTAATGGAACGATTTCATAACGGAATAAAGATTTGCGTACAATATTGTGAATTAACGCGGGACTTTTCATCATTGTTGGAAAACACAAGTGTACATTTCACAGTTTCAAGTCTTTTCAATTATATTTTGCACAAGGATGTATTTTTTCAATTCCGTTTCGTAAATTAAAAATAGAATTTTTTAAAATCGATTTCTAGTGAAATTTTGTTTTTTAGGGTCACGAGAAAATAATTGTGAGGGTAAAAAATTGTTTGTTTATTAATTATCTATTTTTAAAAAAAAGGGAAATTTCCAAGAATTACGATGGTTTTCAGGGTTTCCTAATTGTTCACAATGGAAAATCACATTTAGACCTTCAAAGTGAATAATTAAAACATCGCAGAATTTACGGAAGTATTTAACAACAAATAGGATTTCAACAAGGATTTCACCAAGAAGTACTCAAAGTACTCGAATATTCTCAAACTCCAGTGGAGAGTGAAGTAGAGTAAACACTTTCGATTTTTTTTAAATTAAAAAAAATCAGAAATGCATTAAATTTGAAATTTACGTCAAAAAGTCAAATAAAACGAAATAAATCAAAACTGAAAACGACTCGTACGATTTCTACGTTAGAAAATCACTAAATTCTCGATAAAAATCAATCATCTCCCGAAAAAATAATGAAAAACATTCCAGACATTCTTGAAAATTTGCAAGTGTCCCTCACCCCCACTCCCCTACTCAATCATCCTACCCTCTTTAAGGGGTAACGGAACTCGCAGCATGGCTACATCCCCGAATCAAGGGATCGCCCCTATTGTCCCCCCAAAAATTTGCACAATCACTTGATCCGAAAACACACAGTGAGTTCCCTCACCCCTCGCTCGAGGCAATTTTTTGGGTCAGCCCCCCTCGTTCTTCGATCAAGCACATAGTCACTGACTCTGCGAAAATAAAAAATCCAACAACCCCCTTCGCGAGGTGCGCGCGAGGCGTGGACGCGCGTGTGACGCCAACGGGAAAATCAATAACACCACGTGGGTCGAAAGCTCCGTAATTTCGCCGAAATGGAGAGCTTTAATAATGAGAGGGCAAGGGTGATCTGTCATGAATTTCTCATTGAATGAAAAATCACGTATGGGTTCTTCCAGTTGGGGGTGGCTGATCGGCAGGGGAAGGTGGGGCAAAACAGCTTTTTCCATGTACAGATCCATCAAAATGAAACATTTCCAAACAAAATATTTTTAAAATACCTAAAACCTCCTTTCAAAGTTTGAAAATTAAATGGAAAAATACGAAAATTCTTTAGAAGTCAGCAGGGTGGTCCATTCTGCCCCACTTTCTCCTATTTAAAATGACATTTCATCGTGTTTTATTTTTGTGGAATAGACATGAATGAAAATCAAATATTTTTAAACAAAACATTTTGAAAATATTTAAAAGCTTTAAAAGTTTAAAAATTGGGTGGAAAAATACGAAAATTCTTTAGAAGTCATCAGGGGTGGTCCATTCTGCCAGACTTTCCCCAATTTAAAATGCCGATTCATCATTTTTTATTTTTGTGGGATAAACATGAGTAGATTGCGCAAAATTAAAATTCACGCAAAATTTTAAATTTTAATTGTTGGGAAATGGAATTGAAATAGTGAAATAGATTACCTGTTGAATTTTCCTCAAATTTCCGGATGAAGGATAAATTTCCTTGAGTATATCCACAGGATAAACTTGATTATTAATCTATTTCACTAATAACTTGTTGGAGTATTAATGTGTCATGTTAAAACGTTAGAGCGGACCTTTCGCCTCGCGTGAGTCGAGGAAAACTGCCCGGTTTAGGGGGCTACACAGGGCTCTCACTCGCGGCGAGTTGGGGCGCTCGATAGGGAAGCAGGAGAGGTGGGGCAGTAGATGCGAGAGTGCGAGGGAGAGAGAATTTAAATTGTGGAAGAAACGGTGGTTCTGTCGGTGCTCGGGGGTAATGGGCTTCTGCCGATACAACTTCAAATTCCGGGGGGATATTCCTCTCTTCAGTTCCACGGTTTACCTGGGATGCCTGAGAAATTAGTGGTACAAATGCACAGGAAGTCATTTTCACAGCACCTGTTCGTGTTTTTGACACTTGAGGATTCTACGCTTGAAATTTAAAAAATGAGACATTTTCGTGTAGTTTCTCTCAAGAGTTCAGACAACAATACAAATTATGGGATTAAAAAAATTTCGACAATTATTCCTCTGAATTGGGTAATTTATTGGAAATTGAATTGAATGTCATGATGAATTTTCTAAATTTAAACGATTTCGGATATTTTAAATGAATGAGAAAGTTCGTGAGGGATTTGATTTCAAGTTGAATTAAAATTCAATTCATTGCAAGACTTCAGATGCATCTCTCACTCATGGATTTTTCTCGTGAAATTAGGGAATTTTTCTCATGAAATTAATTTTCAAAAATCCATACGAACCTAAAAATAAACGGAAATTATAAAAATGGAGGGAATTATTCTTCTGGGCTTTGAATCAAATGAAAATTAAATTGAATGTCATGTTCAATGAATTTAAAATTCACTTCGTTTTGAGATGCATCTACTAAAATGTCTGCACATGTATTCCGGGTTTTTTTCTGTTTGCTAGAGTTTGCATGTGGTTTATCGCATTTTTTACCTTGAATTCTTTTGACAACTGGTTGGACAGACGAGCCTCCGATAAATGACCTTCAGGTTCATGAATATTTAATTTATTCGGGCTGATTGTTATTATTATATTTACTTTCTTCAACGATCAAAAAAGAGTTTGAGCTAAAATTCTGCACACTGCAGACGACAGAGAGGAGAATCACTCGAAAATTAGCCTCGAATTTCAGTACATGATCGAACAGCATTTCGCGTTTCTCAAATTTCCTCAAATTTATGGAGGAAAAATTCAATATTTCACGTGAAAATTTTCCGAAAATATTTTCTCTCCACCCGCAATATCCCAACTTCCAACAGATTTTCTTCTCCACACAGAATTTTAATCTTCGCCTTTGAAACGAATCATCAACTGACATGCGTAGAACCACTTTTTCGTCTGGAAATGTGATAGACCATTTTCTTTCGATGTTGGGTCGTATAAATTAAACTCGACTTTTTGTGGCCTCCTCCAATGTATGTTCCAGCGATTTCTTCCTTCGTAAAGATTGGCGTTCAAAATTCAATCATTGGATGACAAATAGTAAAATAATTTTCCAAAAAAAAACATTAAATTATTGTGAATTGAAAAAAAACTTCTTGTTTAAACTCTTGACAAAACCCTCGACGACCCATTTTACCTCAGGAGTTTCTAACATAAATTAATTCAACTATTCAATCGAAATTTTTCATGTGAAAATCCTGATATAAAAAAAGACGAAGTGTTTTTCAATTGAATAAAGAAATATATTTTTAGAAAATCAATGAAATGAAGAACTATATTTTTTAAAAAATGTTCATCTCGATTTTCTTCTTCAAGAACCTAGACGATGTGAAATTTTATTTCAAAAAAATCTCTTCTGGAAGACGAAAAATGGAAGAGCCTCATGAGAGTAAAACCGTTCACGATTTGACGATTGAGCCGGGTTTGGGTTCTCTATTGTTCGTCCGACAAAAAGCGAAGAAGGGGAGCGAGACAGAGGCCAGTCACAAATCGAATGCAACCAGGGGGTAGCATTCTGCGTTCCGAAGCCTCCAGGTGCCCGTTTTCCCCCTGTACCAGTACAAAACCTTTGGAAATGCACCTCCAAACGCGCGCGCGCCATCCCTACGCCGAGAAACAATAGGCAAAAGAGAAAATCGTCGACGAGAGCATGAAGAAAAAAATGGGATGACGAAATTCCAGCGAGAATTTCATGATTCCCCGAGTGTCAATTGGCATCACCTTGTCAATGTGTCGAATTACCATTGATGCAGATTCATCAAAACTCGAGGACATAAATAGAATAATGACGAAAATGTTGAGATCCTAGTTCTTGGGGTAAAGTTTTTGCCCCGGAAAATAGCGGAGAGACTCAACAGTTGGTGACGTCACAGCATACGCGGAGAGAAATTCTTTAGAAAAATTCTAGTGCTAGCGCGGGAAAAAGTGACGGCCAGGGAAAAACTCCAGGCGACAGTGGACATTTTATTGAGCAGCGCGTGAATTTTTCTCGTTCTTATATGAAATTTTCACAGAAATCCCTCGAAATTTCAACTTTACAGCACTAGAATTATTCTGAAGAAATTCTCTCCGTGCAAACATCGGATCAGTTCATATAATTTCAGTGGCGAAGTGGTAGAAGATGATGTTTATTAAAAATTAACGGAATAAGTTATTTTTTGTCAATTATTCAGTAATTATAATTTTCTGAATTCATTTATGATGACTGAAGTCATGAAAAAATATCTCAAATTAATTGTTGATTCTAAATTGGAAGAATTAAATGGCCCCGGGAGTGGAAAAAATACTGACATGCGCGAAAAACTTTGGACTATGACTGCTCAGCGCAAAGCGCCTGGAAAAATCTGAAAAATGATTTTAAAAAATTGTTCCTTCTCTAGAAGTCGGATGGAGCGAGATGAGGGTGATTTGAAGAGGTTAAATACTTTTAAGAAATGTTTAAAAATACGAGGTGGGAACGCCGCCATGTTTAAAGTTCCTTGCGGGGCAGATGACGGCGCCGACACCTGTCACCCGCGGTTTCGCTTTAGAATCACTAGTTCTTCGGAGAATCTTTAATTATTCTTCCAGACATTTTCCAGATCAGAGGACGAAATAATATTTCCCCTAGATTCTGAAATGCATTTAAACTGAATTCAAATTCCACAATTAAAAATATCACTTCAATTCCAAAAAAACTAGCAGTAGGCTTAATAACAATTGGATTCATTTAACTCGCGCTAAATCAGTATAAAAAATGATTCCGTGGAGAACAATAATAATTAAAAATCCCATCAACTTTCTCATTTACAATTTGTAGCCAGATATCGAGGGATATTTCCTCTGTACTCAGGAAAATTCCTAGCAACGAGCACTCGTCCTTGATACTCCACGCCTAGAAAACCCCCCGAGAGAACAGAGAGATGAGTCCTCGCTTCGTCCTCCCCCAGTTTTTCCTCACGGGGTTTATTGGGAAAGGTCAAAGGTCAGCGTGAGATGTAACAATCAATGCGAGACGTCAACATGCGGGTCCACTTCCCCACTTCCATCGTGTAATTCTAATAAAAAATCGAACAAAAAAAAGACTAAAATTGTTGTTTCCCTCCAGCCTGTCAATGTCGCTAATCATCGGCCCATAAAATCAGATTGATCGGTAATTGCAGTGTTCGATGGCACGAGAACGATCAGACAGAAGTGTTGCAACATAATTTCAATCACGAGGCTGTAAAGTAAATAATCTGCCCACAATAATTTACCACAAACGTTATGGATTTTTTCCCCTCATTTTTTTACGATTTACGATAGTCAACGGTGAAAGATTGCCTCGACAACTTCTCAAACGTGTAATTATAGAGTCTGATTGTTGGCCAATTATTCGCGCGAGGACTTCTTTGCATATGAGAGAAAAAGGAATGGGATGTTTGCTCAGTGATTTTATCGGTAGATCAAGATCCTTTCGTTTTCCTAATGCCTTTGTAGATGACCGAGGGATGCGGAAGAAGGATATTAGAGATGGAAAACAGAAATTTCCTTCAACTCGATAGTCGTGCGGTAAAATAGGAGACAAAAAATTGCGAGAAAAAAAAGAAGTGAGAAATTAATGAACTGCATCCAGAAAACTAAAACTAATGAATTTATCGCACACAATTTTTGCTCTTCTTTGCATTTAGAGATACAATTCAAAACTGAGCTTCAAGGAGAATTCAAAAGTCATTCATCTCGATCACAAGTCTCGTTGCTCTATTTTCCATCTATAATTGATAATCACGCGACTGTTGTATTACTCCACAATAAATCACCGCAAATCATGTTTGAGATTCGACGATCTGATAATTGCGATAATGCAGTAAAAATCACTTTCACGTCATCAGCATGTGGCCTAGATCCAACATTTTGTTGAGTATCAGAGCTTCCAACTATTCTTTTCCCAATTGACATTCAAATCCACACTAATCCTCTGACAAATGATTGAGAAGAACAATCATTCGTCGGAGAAGTCATTCGTCGAAAAATAATGTATTCCGATAACACTCGTGAGGTCGGAGAATCGAGTCAATTAGTCTCAGAGCACTAGAAAATGAACGGATTCACAGAGAACGAAAGTTTCTATTTCCGGGCACATAACACCGATTTTCAGACATTTATCCCAACTTTATATGATGGATTGCCTGATAGTTTACGCATAGTATTTATGATCGTTATGTATTCATTTACTCATTAAAAAAGGAGTTACTATTCTTCTTCGACAAGCACATGAACGCAAATTTCTTGTTCATGATTTATTTTTAAAAAAGTATTACTCATTATTTTTATTACTATGTATTCATTTACATAATTGAAAAAATCCATTATAAGCAATAATTTTTCATTGTTAAAAAAAATAAGAGATGAGATGAAAAAAAATCTTAAAAGTGATTTTTATATGCTACCATAACTTGAAATATCCCCAGGTCTGGCATAAGCTTCGCGAAATAGATTGCTGAGCGAAAATATTTCACCTATTAATCAGCGATAATAATCACTGATGATCGGTTATTCTAGTCAGTGTCCAGTATTACCAATAAATGATGATAAATTCCTGAAAATCAGTGACATGTGCCAGAAAATGAGCGACAGTTTCCTGAAAATCAACTTTTTTCTCTCTGTAATGAAGAGAAACTCGCTTACCCCTCACAAAAAGTCAATTCCGTCTGTCAATGGGGGTAAGCAGATCGGACTTGCTTGAAGGCTCCCGCTGAAATGTCACGCTGCCATCCAGCGATCGTGCCCCAAACGATTTCACTCCTCGTCTGCATTATCGACTCAGAAACTCGCTCTCTCTTCTACGGAGCACGTGTAATCCATTGATAACCTCCCCGAAAACGTCAGTAAACTCAACGAATAAATAAACCCTTCGAATATTATTTAAACAAATGGGGAAAATTGGCCCACGTCTGACGAGTAGGAAAAAAGCGAAGCGATGGCAGAAGGGCCAGAGCTCAAGCTCCAATCCAGAGACGAAGAAACATCGTGAACAGGCTCGTTCACGCTTTTTTCAGGAGAATCTAGGTAATCTACCCTCGCAACTCAATATTTATTGATCTATTTTTTTATTATTGTCATTTCGTGAAGATCCAACAGCACGAAGCCCATTACAGGATCAAATTTACCTTCAGAAAATATTCAACAATGAAATATTCATGGTGGAAAATATTTACACAGCTCGGAGCGTATGAATAAATAATAATCTTGATAAATTGCTCTGACAATCATATGAGGTAAAACGGTTCACGTCCACTTAGCCCTCAGCTGAGTTTTCAAGGAATATCTCTGAATCTAAAAGAGATAGCAACATTTTCGTCATGACCTTTATTGTGGAGCGAATTGAGCGCTACAAAAAAGGTCATGACAAAAATTTTCCTATCTCTCCTAGATTTCGAGATATTCATTGAAAACTGGTCAACAGTCAAAATCTACTTGAACTGTTTTACCTCTTCGCTCCAGAGTTGTTTCTAAATATATGTATATTCGTTTTACATTAGTATTATGTATTAGTAGTATATGATTTGACCCCAGAATTGTCCTCGACTGTTGAGTCTTGAATAAATAAATATAAATAACACATCAATAACAAATGACAAAAATCAGTAAGTCAATTAAATTTAAAATGAAAAAAAAAATGGCCATCACCCCCAGGTTCAACGGGTCTGACCACCGAAACCCTCCAGAAGCATGATGCCCTCCAGGGTCTGGAGCACCTGGACATCTCCGACGACGCCTCCACCTCCACCACCTTCAAAACCTTCGACACCTTCGCGAGCGACTACTCCAACTGCTCCAACCTCTCCTTCTCCCGTTTCCTCACCCACTTCCAGTCGTCCTCAGCCCTCCACAAGGAGATGCTGGCGATCCTCGCAGCAGTGACCGATGTCATAAAGCAGAATGGTGGCACAGAGTCCTCCACAGAGTACTACGCAGCCTTAATGACAACCCTGGAGCAGGCAGACACTGAGGAGTCCATCGCAGCCATCCTCTCCCTCCTCGGGATGGGCCTGAAAACAGTTCCCAAGAACGTCCTCAAGCTCCAGTTCAGCGAAGCCAGTCACACCTTCTTTCAGGTACACTGAAATTAAAAAATTTTTGGCTGAAATTTCGGGTACAATTTTCGGAAATTTTTATCACAGACTAGTTGCCCTGAAACTCGAAGGTATTTCGCCATTGAAAATTCAGAATTTCATGGAAAAATCAATGAGGACTGTAAACTTGAGCTCAATTATTCCCTGAAAAATAGTAGAAATCAGAAAAATTTTGGTAAATATGTTCTTGGATGACCAATTAATTAGAAATTCATCGTATGTCGGAGCGGAATATTCATAATTTCATTAAACATTCAAATAGGTTGAGGAATTCTCATCTCAAAGCTGTTTAAAAATTTGGAATTTCCCTGAATTTCCAATGAAATCTGAAATTTCCATTTTTTGCAGCGGTGAAAACTCTCTAACCGAATAAAATTGATTAATCTCGTTTTACCACTTATAATTTCTTCTATCAGTAAGTATCACCACTAGTACCTATTTTTCATAATGATAAAAAACAGGATAAGATTTTCTAAATAAATCAACTAATTAATTAATTTTAATTTATCAATTTATTTCCTCATTTGAGCTTTTAATTTGCCCCCTGGGGCACCCCCTGGCCAATAATATTCCTTTTTCTTCGTAAATAAACTTGATTACGGGAATTGAAGTGACAATGGAATGGGAAAAAATGCTAGCGTAATTATTTGTAAAATTATTATTTTCCTTCTTCCAGGTTCTCACGAAATTCGCAGGCAGTGACAACTTCCTGATCCTCCGTCACTGCATCGGCTGCCTCTCCCTCCTCCTGCGCGCCCAGGAGGCCGCAGTCTGGTCCAACTCGTCAACCCTCCAGGTCCTCGACGGAATCCTGGCCTTCACTGTCCACACGAAGCCGAAGGTCAGGAAGGCCTCACAACACGCCATCTGCGCCATCCTCAAGGGGAGCGACCTCATGAGGACCGATAGCCCTCCTGCTTACCACCCAGCAGCTCCCCAAGTCGCTAAACACTGTCTCCACCAGTTCGAAAATGCCGGACAGCCCGGCACAATCACCACAACCCTCCACATCCTGACTCTGCTGAAGGACATCGCCCATCAGCTCCCCAAGAACTACGTGAAATCCATCTGCGAGGGCTTGCTGAGGATCATGACCCTGAATAATCCACTGGTCACGTCCTGCTGCCTCCAAACACTCCACAGTCTCTTCGTGTCGAAGCCCCCAGAGAGTGTTCTGCCCTCTCAACTGAACGCACAGATCATCAACGCCCTTTATGATTATCAACCAGCCCCTGGGGACACCCAGCCCACTCTGGCCTGGCTAGCAGTGATGCAAGAAGCCCACTGCAACCTGGTGAACAACTCTCTCCCCCTTTGTGGAGCCAATCTCCCCAGGATCATGGAGAAGACCTCTGAGCTCTGGCTGTCTGATAAACCTGAAGTCGTCAGTGCTGCCTCCCACACCATCAAGAGTCTCATCCAGGTTTGTCATGACATTTCAAACTCTTTCTTATCGCATTTAGGAGACGAAGGGGCAAAATGAAAACTCAAGACTTTTCTTTATTATTTATACTATTTTTTTTGCTCTTTGTAATAAGCTAAGAGTGAACTGAATTAATTTATTCCTGAATTGTGAATATAAAAGCAGTCGGAAGTGTCCATTTTCCCCACATTCACCAGATTTTAAAAATTATATGCTAAGCTATAATAAGTTTAAATCAATTTACATAACATAACATTCATTGTGATATTTAATCACTTTTAGTCAGCCAAATGTTTTTTTATGATTTTAGGTTTGTGTTGGGCCGATGTGTGAAAACGATGCAGTGGCTGAGGTTTACAAGGGACCCCTGGGAAAGATTATTCAAGTGGTGCAGGGAGGGCTGAAGTACCAGTTCAACTCTGCCTGGCATCATGTCCTGCACCTTTTAGCTGTGCTTTTTCAAACTGCTGGGGGGACTTGCCACAAGGAATTGTCTCCAGTTCTGGTGGAGCTCGCAGAATTGAGGGATTCTTATAAATTCACTTATAACTCTGAGGTGGAGTATGCTGTTGGGGCTGCTGTCAGGGCCATGGGGCCAGAGCTGGTGCTGGCGAAAATTCCTCTGCAGACTGGTGGAGAAGGGGTTGATTTGAGGAGGAGCTGGATGCTTCCAGTGCTGAAGGACTGTGTGAGTGGGTCGTCCTTGGGGTACTTTGTGAACCACATGCTGCCACTGGCTGTCATGTGCGAGAGGAAGTCCAAAGAGCTGAAGGGGAAGAATGATGGGGTTGGGGCGCACAGCCATGAGCTACTGAATTCTCAGATATGGGCGCTGCTTCCTTCCTTTTGTAATAATCCCAGGGATGTCAAGGAGAGCTTCAAGGATCTTGCCAAGATTTTGGGAATGGCTATCAGTGAGAAGAAGGAGTTGAGACTGTCGGTGATGGCGTCGTTGAGGAAGCTGATTACTAAGGCGCAGGAGGGGGAGAAGAAGGAGGATGTGGAGACACTTGCGAGGTATGTAGAATTGTTATTGATGATGACGATGACAAACGAGAATTTCTCATCTTACTTGAATTTTCACACAACGAACATTCAGTACTAAATTACCCCGAATTTTCAATTAATCAAACACTCTTGCCTACATTCACCTGAATTTTCCTGACTTCCATTAATTCTCATAGAATAATCGCGCTAAAATTCAATCACAAAAATTCCTTAAAATTCCAGTGGAAATGTGACTCGATAAAAATGTCCAAGAAGTGTGTCACAAATTCCAGCCCAAGATTTTTAAAGTGTACATCCCCGATATTTTCTCTAAAATAAACGAAATGAGTTTATTAGTCTCCACCGCCAACATGTTGAAACGAATAGTAAAATATCGACTAAAGGGTCAAATCTTAACTCCTCTCTCAACCCCAAAAAACCCTTGAATTCCAGATACGCCAAGAACTACATGCCGCTCCTGTTCAACCTCTACACAGTAAAGCCGAGTGGTTCCGACGAGGAGGGCCAGCGTCGAGCAGCCTTCGACACGATAAAGGTCTACCTGACGATAACCCCGATGGAAGTAACGGGCGAGCTCTTCGACAAGGCCCTGGGCAAGCTGGAGGCCGAGGGCACCGACGACTTCACGAAGCAAAGTGTCTTCGACCTGATCCGAGTAGTGACGCAGTTCACCGACAGAACGCGTTTGCAATCCCTCTACGACAAGATCGTCCCCCTCCTCCTGGAGGACAAGCACCCCAAGGACCAGAAGAAGGCTTACAGATTCCTGGAGGAGATCTGCGGGAGTCAGTCGGAGATCTGCAAGACGTACATTCTGGAGCATCGAAAGACAATCCAGAAGCTGATAATCACTGCTACCGAGAAGGTCTGCACGACGAGCAAGGGCGCCAGACTGCGATGCATATCCCACCTGGTGGCGAGTCATCCCCAGCTGGAGAAGACCAAGTTCTTCAAGGCGATTGTCCCAGAGATAGTCCTCTGCATAAAAGACTTGAACGAACGATGCAGAACTACAGCCTATCAACTGCTCAACATAATTGCCGACAAATTCCTGGATAATGCGGACAACTTCAAGGACTACATCAGCCTCCTGGTGGCAGGCCTGGCAGGGGCTCCAATCTACATAAGTGCGACGCTGCTAGCCCTCGCCTCATTGACTTACAAGTACAATGGAACCGTGGGAGTGGCGACACTCAAGGAGATCCTGGGGCACACGTGTATCCTGCTGACAGGGCCAACCAGGGAGATTGTCCTGTCAGCCCTCAGTTACATAAAGGTTTACCTCTCTGCCCTTCCAACAGCGATCATTGGCCCCAGCCTCGAGGTGATCGTCCAGGGGCTCGTGGGGATGACCGACGACTGCAAGAGGCACTTCAGGCAGAAGGTCAGGGACATCCTGGTGAAGCTGGTGAGGAAGTTTGGGACTGACACGATTGTGGGGATGGTTCCAGCTGGGGATGAGATGATGCACAAACGCTTGAGGAATATCAAGAAGATTGAGGCGAGGAAGCAGAAGGCTAGGGAGGAGAGGAAGGGGAAGGGCGAGGGGGAGGATGGGGATGAGGAGTTCAATGTCAAGAGGATGCCCAAGAGTGTGGAGGATATACTGGCGGACAGTGATGAGGAGTTTGATGATGGGGATGGGGAGGAGCCCAAGGGGAAGAGGAGCAGTAGGAAGACGTGGATTAAAGAGGGTGGGGATGACATTGTGGACTTTGCTGATCCCTCAGCGGCGAGGAGCATCACGGCGACGAGGCCCGGGGCCTCTGGGAGCGTCAGGAAGCCGAGGGAGAAGGATCATGGGTTCAAAACTGCTGAGGACGGTCGGCTGATCATCAAGGACAGCGATGATGAGAGCGAGGAGGGGGCGAAGAGGAAGAAGGGGAAGAAGCCGCCGTTCTTGGGGAGTGACTCGGAGGACGATTATCAGGAGGACGACGATGACAAGTCGGTGGTGTCCATGAGGGAGGTGAAGAGGAAGAGGAAGATGAGTGAGAGCGATGCGAGCAGTGTTGCTAATTCGAGGTATCAGGCTGGGGGGAGGGGAATCCACAGGCCGGTGAAGGCTGCGAGGGTCGAGAAGGCGCCTGGGGCGGAGTTCAAGGGGAAAAAGGCACCGGGGGATGTCAAGAAGAAGGGGAAGCACGATCCTTATGCTTATCTGCCGCTTACGAGGGCTTCGCTGAATAGGCGGAAGAAGCTGAAGAACGCCGGCAAGTTTAAGAATATTATCTCGGGGGCCAGGAAGGGGGCGCAGGCTGGGAGCAAGGGAAAGAGGAGGAAATAGATAATCGTGTATTGTATGTTTTCTAGAATAAGTATGGAATTTGTGTGATTACTTTTTTCTTTAGTGAATACAGATTGGTTTTGGAGGATGTCGTGGTTTTTGTCATTTATCGTTTGCTCCGTTTAATAGGGGGTAAGTGGGGTGAGATTAATGGGCTTTATGTTGTCGGGAGTATTTATGGTGATTATGAAATACGTGGGATTATTTATTTTCGTTGTTAAAAATAGATCCCGTTGTTGCTGATATGGGCAGTGAGTCATTTGCTCTTTGCTCCATTTGATAAATGATCACTCATAGAATTATGCGTAACAGGAAGTGAATGAAGCTTGGGAAATTGCAGAAAAATTAGTTTATTACATCGAGCGTACATTAAATAATTTAATTGTCATCCTGGAATCTCAATTAACTCCTGAAAAAATGGAAAATAAACCGTCATTAGAATTTTTTTTATTACAAAATGAAGTATTATAGCTCTTTTTATTCAAGAGTCTAGGAAAAATGTTCATTTTCGGAAAAGTTATCAATTATTCGAATCCAATAATTTCCGATTGGTTATTGTTGAGAGATATTTGATAGAAAAAAGTCAACAAATTTTCCAAGTTTTTCCCATAATAAAATCCAATAAAAAAGCTTAGAAAATTCATGTCCAAGAATTCTCATTCTCACAGAAAAAATCTTAGTAGAATAAGTTATACAGAACAATCAGCAGAAAAGTCGCCTAATTTTTAATAGAACTAACGCAAGCAAATAAAATTTTTGAATGGAACTTCAATAGAAATGATAGTTATAATGGATGAAGTAGAATAAAAAGGTCTGTAGAATATGATAAATCCTTACTTCTTCGGAAGCATAGACTCAAGCTCGCCGGCCTCATTCATCTCCCTGACAATGTCGAGGCCCCCAAGAAGTTCCCCGTTGACGTACAACTGAGGGTACGTCGGCCAATTGCTGAACTTCTTCAGCCCCTCCCTGACAGTGTTGTCCTGAAGAATATCGAAGGACTGATAATCGGCATTGAGCGAGTCCAGCATCCCCACGATTGTCCTCGAGAAGCCGCACCTGGGGGTCTTGGGGTCTCCCTTCATGAACAGCATGCAGGGGGCCTGGTTGATCAGCTTCTTGAGCCTCTCCTCGAGGCTGACCTCGGGTTTTGTGACGTACACAGGGGCTGAACCCTTCGGCGAGTGCTCCTTTATCTTTTCGACGAGGACTGAGGGATTGGCTCCGTCTACTCTGTCAATCTCCACGAGATCCTTCACGAGAATCACGGTGGGAACTGCGGTGATTTTGTACTTGAGGGAGATCTCTGAGAGGTCCTCAGCCTCGACCTTGGCGAACTGGAGGCCCTTGTGGTGCTCGGACTTGGCGAGATCCTGCAGGACCTCGTCCATTTGGGAACACTGGTCTGCCCATGGGGCGTAGAAGTGAATCACAAGCAGATCTCTCGATCTTAAAGTAGTGTAAACAGAACCAAAATTTTGAAAATGAAAATCTGAAGGCAATTTTAAACGGAAGTTTATGTGAATAAAGTCATTCTTGTTGAGTTGTCACTTGGCAGTCTTGTATTATTGATAATAACTAGTTCAGAAGTGACAAAATAGAACAAAGTTTTATGAGAAAATTAATTTTTCGAGATTAGAGAGAAGATTAAAATATAATACACTTTGTGTTTAAAACTTTGGCAATAATGAAAGAGATGTTTCTCCTTTCCTTTCTTTTCTTCTTTTTTTTGTTAAAATTGCTCTTTTGCGAAAAACGCAATGTACTCGCTTTTTTTTATTACTCCAGAGAGGTTATGACGATAAAATCCAGGGATTTTTCAATAAATTCAGGACAGTACTCACTTGATGAACTCGTTGAACTCCTCAGCAGTTGCCACATTTGTAACTGGCATTGTGTATCCGATGAATTATCCTCGAGAAGTATCAGAAAACTTGAATTATTGGGTGAGACACCGGTGAACACTGCAATGGTCCGCGGAAAACAAGTATCCAAGGGATCGCCATGTTCTTTATCAGCCTTGGCTCGATTTGACGTCACACGTGAGCGTTCCTAGAGGCTGCCAATACGAAAACACGTGCACAGGGATGTAGTGGGATCTGCGGATTCGATGGAAAATTCTATTGAAAATTCTATTAGTTTTTGAGGAATTCCGCAGCTTTACTGCAAATTTTTTTAATTAAAAAATGGTTTCATAGGAAGATCAGTAAAATTTAATTTTCCTATACTATTTTTTATACTGAGATTTTTTTCATATGAATTTCGCTATGTGAATTTTTCTAGTTTTTCCACTCTATTTTCCTTCTCTTCTCATTGAAAATATCAAATTCATAAAATTTGAGACGAGAAATTTCTATAGAAAATATTTCAATAGAGAAATCGTAAAGAAAAATAGCATTCTGCTATTGATTTTTTCTACAGAATCAGTACTTAGTAGATTTTTATTTTTCTGTAAAAATTTTTAGCCCCAAATTTATTTCTTTTTTACAGAAAAAAATCGCAGCAAAATAAGTTATCCAGAAAAATGAAAATCCGTAGACATTGTTTATAAACAAACGGGGAAGTTGCATAATTTTCAAATAAAATAAAAAAACAAATAGATATTTCAATAGAATTTTAATACAACTCCAGCGGAATCTTTCCAGTAGTCGAATTTTCCTCGAATTCCATAAAAAAAAACTTTTTCATCAACTGAAATTGAACGTTAATCAATTCTCACTAAACATTTCTCTAAAAATTATTTACAACTACAGAATCCGGGCTCCGAATGTTGGTGACCCGTCCTTGACAGCAAGAAAAAGCACCAATGAACCGGTGGTGTTCCGGTAGTAGCCGTGATACCAGTGGAATAATCCAATGATCAATCAGACACCGTTCTCCAGTATTACGGAGCACAAACTGTCGCTCCTCAAGTTCTCAGTCAACTGCTGACACGCGAGTGAGTCAGTCTCTCCGCGGGGGGAAGTAGGTGTGGATAAAAAAATAGCTAACAACTGGTGGCAAGCCGAGGGCGAGCAAGTGTCACAGCAAAAGTGGAATAAAAAAATCGTAACGAGGGAGTGGAGGGAGTAGAACTGAGTAAAAAAGAGCTTTCAAGCCAGATGCTTTCGCGCGCCGTCACGTGCGGTGGAGTTTTTTTTGCTACCGGTTACACGGACAATGTCCAAATTGTCGCGTACAACCGCCCTCGAGTTCATATCGACTTGGAGTACCGATGATGTTATAGAGGTGCTGAAGAAAGTGAGTAGATTGTTTAATCGAGGTGAATTGCCTCGGTTTTAGCGCTCGTTGTGGTGCGTGCGGGGGTGCGAATGTCGAGGTAATGTGATAGTTTGTGCATTGCCGGGGGAATTCCGGAGTCAGCAGTTACTTTGATGAGAAATATGAGATATCGGGGGGATAGTGTGGAGGGAATCGAAGCGGTGGGATTTTTTCTGTCGAGTTTATGCGGAATATCATGTTCGCAGGATGAAATTAGTGGAAAAACCGCACGTTTTCGCTAAGAAATTCTATTTAGGAGTGAACTTTTTCCAGTACCGTGTACCTTTCGGCTTCTTACGGATTTCACTTTTTCAGAAATGTATTAATTCCCAATGCTCCTCCGGCTTTTGAAAAATTTGAATCTGCCCAGAGGTGTTCCCTCGCGGCCACCCATCCTTCTAGTGATCACGCTCAGCGCTGATTAGATTCCCAAAGCTCAGGCGACCCACCACCGCCGTTTTTTAAATTTTTTTCTAAGAATGATTATTTAGATCGAGTTGAAGAATTCAGTAGTGAAGCGGTAAACCGGGTCAAGTCGATTTTGACTTTTGATCCGTTTTTGATGAATATCTCAAAACCTAAGAGAGATAGCAAAATTTTTCTTATGACCTTTTTTGTAGAATCATTTAAGGGCTATAAAACGGTCAGACAAAAAAATTTCTATCTCTTTTAGATTCCGAGATATTCGTAAAAAACTGGCCAATAGTCAAAATCGACTTAACCCGGTTTTTTACCGCTTCGCTACTGAATTACAGGTGCTATGTCACAGTGGGCATGTTATTTCCGTATAAACAAACCAATAAAAACGGAATTATGTTTTTTTTATAAGTATTCAAGAGATATTATTTGAACACAGTTGCGTTGCTCGTAATAATCGTATGACGGGATCTGTGCTGTCCACTATGTTATTAAATATTCATTGAGGTTTGTTATTTAGAGACAAGGAGATTTTTTTCATAGCATATTCAATTAGTACCGGAAAAATGGCGCAAATTGCGTAATTTTTAATGGAATTAGCGCAAGAAAATAATTTTTCAATAGAATTCTCATAAAAATTCACTAGAATCTATTGAATAGAATTTTTTCTTGCATTCTGTAGGAAGTTTTCGACAAATATCTTCGAATTTATGGGAGACATTTTTCAAACGGAGAGAAAAATTTATTAAAAATCACCTCAGAATTGATTTTTCAGGAATTTTGACCGGAACTCTAGTAAAAAGGAAATGAATCCCGTCAAAAATTCAGTGTTTTACTGGACGATTCAATAGAGTAGTTATTTTCCCTTCCAATTAGAATTCTATTTCAATTTTTTCTAATGAAATTCAAGTCTAGTTTCAAAAAATTTTCCTCTCCACGTGGACTCCCAGATATTTACACTAAAATAATTGTGAAGGAAAATAGTTCCTCCGCGCTCCCAACTTCCTTCCTGTTTTTCTCTATCTCAATAACGTAGTATTCTATTCCCGCATTTCTTCCTCATTCGAATTTGGTCGGATTGACGGAGAAATACTGGCCTCAGCCGCACTCAATTACGGAACGGGGATAACACAATTCTTATGAAATTGTCATCAGCGACTTCCTCGTTGCGTCAAAAACAACTGTGCTCTGCATAAAATCAAATGTCCGCGACGAATGCTAAAAATTCATTCTTCAGGACAAAACGGAAACTATTCGGTTATTTAATAGCCGTTGCGCAATTGTGTGTTCTCTGGAATCCTGAGAATTTCACCGGCTTTCCGGGACTTTCCCCGTGTATTTATCTAATTCTGTGGGTCCCAGTGCTGTCTTGGGACCATTCAGTCGTAATCGGGAAGATGAAAATGTTTGTGGGCTCGTACGTCGTGGGTGGACCAAAACAGAGTTGTTTTTCATTTCTTCCTATTAGGTGAAAAGACGACGCCATTTGAATGAAATTAATTTCATTCTAAAGGGTGAAAAAATAACTCCAAAATGCCCGAAAAAAATTATTCACCATTGATCATTTCTTAGATGAATTCTACCTTTGACGAGAGTAAAAAAATAATAATAGGATAATAATAAAATAATTTTCGCATTAGGCAGAAAATTTTTATTTATGTTTCTCAAAAATTTTTTTTTTTTGCATTTTACTCTTCTTTCTAATCTCGAAAAAATCATTTTCTCACAAGACTGTGCTATTTTGCCACTTCTGAAGTAATTATCATCAATAATACACGACTGTATTATTGACTTGATTCATCATCAAAATTTAAGTTATGTTTATACTACTTGAAAAGATAGAGTAAAATAGACTTTTCTTTAATGCGCAATAACTCGAGATTGGCCGGGTGAAATTCCCTGATTTTTTTTACATTTTGAAGGAAATTTTCCGATCTTTAAAATGAGTTCTGACTCATCAAAATCGTATCACTTGATCAGGAGATATTGATGATCTAACGAGGTGCATTGTATTTACCCCTGTCTCGTCAGATTATAATGTTTATCCCGATGATAAGAAAGGAATAAAAATACGTTTGACGTAAGTTCAATGATCTCGGAATGCGCACACACCTGTGCATTCCTCGGATAGCCCCGAGAATAAATATGATTTATTTTTTGCGTCAGAATGACCTGGGGGAGTGCTGTCAAGCGATACTTAAGCGACAAATCGACGGTGACGAGCTGTTGGTGAGTAAAAAAGTCACTCTGAAGAGGCATTTTATGGGCATTGCAGAGGGTTCTCGTGACTGTTTGAAAGTCTGATGGAGCGAAACTCGAATTTCACTGGGGACAGGCTCTCCAGACGTGGCCCGCATAAAGTAAATGGGCACAGTCGTGAATCATGACAGTAGCCCTGAGGAAATTAATTGGAGAGTTTCTGTTCAGTCAGTCATTCATTCATTCATTCATTCCGATTTTTTAGACATGAATTCCAGTTTAATGGAACATGATAATTTCCGATAATATTCAGCAACATTGACGACTGAAAGAAATTTAATGATTTTAAATGTGAAAAAATTTCGTAGAAGAATTTAATTTACTTTAATTTTTAATTAATCGAAAATTAATTGAATTATATTATATATTTATTATATATTTGTTATTTATTATATCTTTATTTAATTATGGTGATTTGGATTCGCTAGAAAAATCTATTGGCTATTGGACTTTCTGTTTGTTTTTTTTTTGCTGATTCTATTAAAAAATTCCGCAGATTACTCTCGAGTTTTTTTTTCAATTGAAATTTTCCATGAAAAGGATTCTATAGGAATTGCTCGCCTAATAGCCAAGTTATTTGTTTGATTTTTTAATGAAAAGAGATGAAAAATGGAGTGGAGAAAACTTGGAAAATTCATGTCGAGAAATTTCTATAAAACGTTTCCTATAGAATAAATTAATAATAATTTTTATGGAAAATGTATAGTGAACCTGTGAAATTTTTCAATAGAATCTTCAACCGAATGGAGATTCGACATATGTTTTACCGTGAAAACAGTAAAAAAATGTGAATTTCCAAAAATCCACTCGAATTTGTTAGAAGGTAATGTTGAACATCTAGTTATTTCGTTATTTTTTCATTTTTATCAGAATTTTTTTTACTCAAACTCTTTTTTTGCCGGATGGCGCCTCTGATAACGCGAGACTTCCGTCTGTCCCGGCGACAAAGTCCTGAAGTAGTTTTTTTCAACTTCTGCTCTCGTCCCCCTCCGAGTGATGCTAATGCGAGTAATTAACTGACGTCTTTTTTCGTTTCAGCACTTGACAACTGGTAAATTAGCACTCTGGAAGAGCGATTTGTCACGTGATCAAATATGGTAATGAAACGAGGGGGGATTCATTTAGTTTGAGGAGGAGAGAGTGGGAGAGAGGAATTTATCATGATTTATGCCGGATTTTTCGACTCCGGAGTGGAGTGAGAACGATGAAACAGACGCATTTTTCATGTACTTTTTTTCTAACTCATCGAATTTTCCACAACAAATGTCTTCGGATGAATTTCTAGAAATTGAAAACAAAACGACTCACAAAAATTACCCAACACTATTTTTGAAATATCATCCAAAACTCTATCTACAGCGGAAAACATTAAATTACAATTTTTCTAGCTCACAAAATTTCCAGTAGAAATATCCTCTGATGAATCTCTCTAAATCCGTTTCCTGACGAATTCCTCTGATCCCTCAGTGCCAAAAAATCAATTGACTATTGTTCGCGGCAGCGAACGGCGCTAATTTTATATTAACCAAAAAATTTAAAAAAACTGAAAAATTAAATTTCAAAAAAATTGAAAAAAAATCAAAGAACAATAAACAATTGATTTTTGGTCATTCCGGTCGTAAGGCAGCGTTTCCCGGACCGCTGCTTCCAGCCGATATGCCAAAAAATATTGTTCGTCATGCGGCCAAAAAAAGTTCTATTCGGCCTAACGACGAACCATCCCATTCTGCACTAATAATTCAGTAGTGAAGCGGTAAACCGAGTTAAGTCCATTTTGACTATTAGCCAGTTTTTGCTGAATATCTCGGAATCTAAGAGAGATAGCAAAATTTTTCTCATGACTTTTTTTATACCGCTCTATTGGCTCTACAAAAAAGGTCATGACAAAAATCTTTCTATCTCTTTTAGATTCCGAGATATTCGTCAAAAGCTAGCCAATAGTAAAAAACGACTTAACCCGGTTTACCGCTTCGCTACTGAATTCATTTTTATACATATATAATCGCTCCTCAATGCCCGAGAAATCGCACCGCAAAAGCGCGCGCTTTCAAAACTCATGAAACCCCCTCTTGAAATTGAAGGACGCTATGGAACTTTGTCGAGGCGATAATGCGCTCCCCGGAGGATTACGTGTCCTCGGCGTCTCATCCCCCGGCAGACGAGCCGATGAGCGACTCCGGCTCCTGGGGATCGGACTTCGACGACCACGAGGATCCCGAGGAGGCGCGGGCCGTCGCCTCCCACCCGGTCCCCCCGGCCGAACGTAACGCCAACTTCCGGAACAGTCTCGCGCTGTTCGAGCACAACGGCAAGCCCCCGAGTGCAAAAGCCTCCCTGAAATCCCCGGAGACACCCGAGAGCATCTACATGAACTGTCCTTCGGACGAGGAGGACACGACCTACATAAATGTCGAGCCCCAAAAGCCGCCCCCTCACCGGACAGTGCCCCAGCTTCAGAATCAACTCGACACCTCGCTCGCTGAAAAATTGAAGCAGGAGCTGAAGCTCATAATCCAAAAGGACAATTCGAGTGTGAAAAAACCAGAGCTAGCTCCGCGACCGAGCCAGCCGCCCTCAGTGCCCTCGAAGCGGCCCCAGATGACGACCCCCAGACCCCAGCAGATCGTGAAGAAGCCCCTGCCCCCTCCGGTGATCGCGAAAAAACTTCCCAAAGTCCCCGATCGCCCCGACGAGCTCCCCAGACCCCCCAAGATGCTCAGGAACTTCGATTTAGTCGCCAATTTGCCCACGAAAACCGAGGAGAGCGACGACGACTACGAGGCCATTGACGGCCAGGTGGCTCTCCAGCATCAGCAGAAGTTCGGGAGCAAACAGTCCGTGCTGGGCTCCGTGGAGAGCGTCTACAAGCCGTCGAGCAGCACGACCAGTCAAGAGAAAGAGGACGATTTCTATGAGTGCATAACGGAATCAGTTGAGTGATTATTTTGTGTACGAAATGAAATGGTAGTTTTTAGATCGCGTCGGATCGCTTTTTTTCATTTGGCACTGAATATTTGTGTTCTTAAGGGAGATTCAAGTGACTTCGAGAATCGGTGGCTTCCTGGTGGTAGAGAATTTGTAAATCCAGTGATTTTTCAGCCGAATTTGACATTTTATGATTTTTTTATCATGTTATCCAGGCAATCTCAATTTTTCGTACTAGCGCATTGAGAATTCATTTATTTTTATATTTTTAATTAATCAGTTAAGTAATCAATAATTCAGTAGTGAAATCGTCAAACGGTTTAAGTCAATTCAATTAAGATTTTTTTAAATCTTTTTTGTAAAGAAAAGTGAAGACTATCTATAATTCCACTTCACGGCTAAATTAATTAATTAAATTGATTGATCAATTAAATAATTGATTAATTTCTTAATAATGTAATTAATTAATTAAACTAATTTAGATCAACTTGATATTAATTCGATTAATCAATTAACCAATTATTACTTGAATTTAAATTTTAAAATATCGGGAATTTTTCAGTCACAAAATCACTTGAATAAATTATTTGATAATTACGGTAATAATTTAATGTATTATCATAAATTTGTTTACTAGGAGATGTCTCAAAACATCTCCTTGAAATCCGAACATAATTCTCCGTCAGTGTATAAGATTGATTGTAGAGATCGAGAAGTAGATATTAATTCGCATGACATTTCGCTATTGCAGCCGGACGACAATGCCTACTACGTCCAGCCGATCTCCCCGCCGATTATGCCAGCAGGTCCACCTCTGCTCCCGTTAAAACCGACTACACCTGACACTCCGGCCCCCACAAATCCTCGGAAAATGAGCCTCCAACATGGTTCGTATTCTCCGACGTTTTCATTGCGTTGATTAAGCATCTGGGTGATTTATTTCGTTTTGTTTTCACGTGAAATCTTTAGTTTATGACGATTCTGATTCTGATTAATTCTGCATTAATTCATTCCAACGAAAATTAAAAAAAAAATTTTTTTGATTCATCTGTTGATCCATTTTGTAAATCACTAATTGAAGGATAATTATTTTAAATACATTAAGAACACTGCGGAGTAACCGAGGAGTTCCAATCAGACTCTCCGAATACTTTTGACAGTTCTGACAAGCCCGGCGCTTAAATAGTTGCAATCAACGTTCACCTGGCTAAAAAATTCGATTTTGTCAAAAAATCCAAGATCTGACACTTTGACCCTTGTGACCCTTGGACCGACTTTCCCCCCGGAAAAATCCAAGATCCGACACTTTGGCCTCCGGTGAAAAATTTTTTTTTTCATTTTTCACTTTTTCCACATACTTTTGATAGTTCTGAATAGCCCGTCGCTTAAATAGTTGGAATCAACGTTCACCCGGCTAAAAAATTCGATTTTGGCGAAAATACACTTGCCCCGGAAAACCCGAAAATCTGACCCTTTGCCTGGGGCCAAAAAAACAGTCTCAGTTTTCACTTTTTCCACATACTTTTGACAGTTCTGAGTAGCCCGGCGCTTAAATAGTTGCAGTCAACGTTCACCCGGCTAAAAAATTCGATTTGGGCAAAAAATCCAAGATCTGACACTTTGACCCTTGTGACCCTTGAACCGACTTTCCCCCCGGAAAAATCCAAGATCCGACACTTTGGCCTCCGGTGAAAAATTTTTTTTTTCATTTTTCACTTTTTCCACATACTTTTGACAGTTCTGAGTAGCCCGGCGCTTAAATAGTTGCAATCAACGTTCACCCGGCTAAAAAATTCGATTTGGGCAAAAAATCCAAGATCTGACACTTTGGCCCCCGGTGAAAAAATTTTTTTTCAGTTTTCACTGTTTCCACACGAGATCGGCCGCGCATGCTGCGCTGCTTTCCTACGATAGGACAGGATTTTAAAAAATCTGTCATTCATTCCATTGGCGTTCCATTGGCGCTTGGACTAATCTAGTTTATAGAAAAACAAAAATCTATTGCAATCTTCTACAGAACTGTCGCAAAAAAACACATATTTTTTTGATAAAATTCTCCCAAAACTTCAAAAGAATTCTTATAAAATTCCAATTGAAATTCAGCACAATACTTCACGCATGGAGATGCGATAATGCGTGATATATAATACATAGTGAGCCCTCTGCAAGTGGAAAAATACAAAAATAAGAGAGGAGAGAGAGCAAAAAAATTGGCAACACGTGGAATGCAACTGGTGGTACTCACTGCCACTTGAGATTCAATTTTCGACGGAGTCAGTGTGCTCTGGTAGCACTGACTATCCACTTCACTCCTCCTCAATCAGACGATAAATATGAAGTACTCGGAAATCGTCCCCCCGGATCACTCGAAGATCTCGTAGTCATCATCCCCTCGTAATCATCCCCATCGACCACGCTTATTCTGCAATGAGAATGCCCACTGGCATGTGCTCATGCTTCTATCTTCGGATTACGCAGCGTTTATTGGTCGGTCTGACTCGGCGTTTAACTAACGAAGTGACTGACATGATTGTGAGGATCAAGAGGACCATCTCCAGGTGCTGCTCCACGGAGAGTGAATTATTTGAGCCTCCAGGTAGCCTTCGGGGCGATGTGATTGAATTTATTCTGGGACGAGAGGAGCCCACATGCCGAGGGACCACCGGAACGATTTCGGGGGCTCCAATCGGACCTCCTCAGTTACCTCTCAGTGCTCTTACCAGTCAGATCGGTCCTTCTCGCTCATTAAAAAATATTGTTGAAATTTTTTTTTCAATTTCTCTTTAATTGGTGCTTTGTTCGTTGCGATCGATTTTTTAAGCTATTGATGAGAATTTTCTTCGTGTTCTCAAATTTTTAAGGAATTCTCAGTGCTTTCACTAGTCAGATCGCTCCTTCTCAGTCATTGAAAAATATGTTTGATATAATTAACCGTTAATTAGTCCTTCGTTCGGTGCAATTAATTTTTTTAATCGTCGCAGTATTTTTTAGTTTTTTAGTTTTTTCGTCCAATTTTTTTACGAATTCGGAGAGTCTGATTGGAACTCCTCGGTTACTTCGCAGTGTTCTTAATGTATTTGAAATAATTACCCTTCAATTAGTGATTTCTTTGTAACAATTGATTTTTAAAATCGTTCCACAACGTTTTGAGGGATTTTTAAGCTTTTGAAAGTTCTCTTAGTTTTGCTCTCGTTCAAATTTATTGATTTTGAATTTTACTGGGGCAATATGGCATCAATTAGTGATCCAAAACGAATGACAACGTTGAACACTGGTATCCGGAAACAACCCTGTTTCTCCGAGTGCTTGACTCAAGCTGCACTCACTCAGGCGCGATTGAATCTCTCCAGTTAGTAAATATTCACAGAGAAAAAAAAATGGATTTTTCTGAACATTTCGCTGATTTTTAGGAATTTCACGCATGAATAAATTCAATAGTAAAACCCGGCGTTTTCTCTGAGAAATTCTATTGAAGTTCCATTGCAATTGTGTTAAGAAAATTCTCGTTTTTTGAGCCATTTTTATCTATTTTATTATTTTATTATCCGCGTCATTTTGTTAACGAATGTCCGATAGAAAAAAATCAATAGATTTTATTTATTATTATATTTTACTATTTTTTTTCAATTCATTTTTTCTATAGAAATTTCGGACGTAAATTTTCAATGTTTCTGCCGCTGTATTTTTATTGATTTCTCATAATGAAATGCAAGAAAAAGAACTGAAAATTCATCCCCACGAATTCTTGCTGAAAAGATCTCACCAGAATAAGTTATATAAATAAATAAACATCTATGGACACTCTTCTATGAACAAATATCTATTTAAAAACGCTCGGGGAAGCTGCAGAATTTTTATCAGAATTAGCACAACAAAATTGAATTTTTCAACGGAATTCTGATAAAATTCTTACTATTCTTGGAGAGTTGCAATAGAAATTCAATTGAATTTGTTAAAGGAAGCTCCAGGTTTTTCCATTAATTTTTTTCATGCGTCTGAGTCATGGAAAAATTCAATAGGAAGATTGGGGTAGAATTAGACGTTGAATTAAGGGTATGGAATTTATGGTTTCATGGGTGTGCATTGGGATTTTCGCAGAACGCCCGCCGGAGAAGAAACAATCTCCACTGCACCACTCTGGTAGTACCTCGTCTTTGTCGGAGATGAGGGCTACGAGACCGCTCCCACCGCCTCCTGACAGACTGACTTACGTGGATCAACCCTGGTTTCATAGTATTACTCGGGAACAAGCCAATGCCATTATTAGAGAACGTGAGTACAGCACTTTTGAAGAGAATAAAAAAAATGTTTTGAATCGAGAATTTTGTCCATTGTGTCAGTGTATTTATCTCGGTAATGAGTAATTATAGAAAAAATGTCAAGAACCTATCTGTAATCGATAGTCGAAGGGTTTTTTTCTTTTAAATATTTTTCCTTCTGTCACATCACATTATCTCAACCTCACCCTTCATGCCGAAAATAAAAATAATCACAAAAACTCATGAACTTTTGAACAATTCATGAACTTTTTATAGTTCATGAATTGTTCTACTGAAAAAAGGCATGTGATTTATTCCTTGAACAATACCTCCCATCGTAGAGATATTTAAGAAAAAAATAGGCAAATGATTTTGTAAACTCATTCTTCAGGTCCTCACAACGGTTATTTCCTACTGAGGCCTTCAAACACAAATCCGAATAACCCATTCGTCCTCACCCTGTGGTTCAACGACGGTGTTTACAACGTTCAAGTTCGTAAACGTCCTGACAACAGGTAAATCCTCAGCAAAATAATAATTTCCAAAGTTCAAAAATCAGCTCATAAAACAGAATAAGTCAGCCTCATTTCGAAAACCATCGAAAAGCCTGAAATTTTCATGAGAATATTAGAAATTCTCTGTAAATTCTCTAGATAATATCACTAAAAATAATGTGAATAATCTTGAAACCTAAAAAATCTACATAATTTCGAAAATATAATTTAAAAACTCATTGTCAAACTCGTTTTAAAAAATCTTTGACAAGTTCAAAAAAAGTCTATACTGATTAAAGTCATTAATTAATTACAGATACGCGTTGGGCTCCCCACGAGCCCAAGAGCAATCATTCACAAGTGTCGAGGAGATCGTGCAATTCCACTCCCGCGAGGAGCTGCCCCTCTGCAGAGGACGTGTGCAAACAGGAAGTACATTGCTGACGGATACGCCCCCGAAGAGATCGAATTCCTGAACAATAAAGTCACGCTGCTCAATCGAAGCTTAACGACGCTGGACTGATCTCATCATCGTCGCCTCCGCCTAATTCGCCTCTTTACGACTGATTTTTAATGAAACTCATGTGCCTTCGTGTTGTGACCCCTGCGTTGTCACTCACACATGACTTCATGCAAATTCATCATCTTGATTGAATGTGACAACGTCGTACGTCTTCGTCACGATTAAATAGTGTCCATATTTACTTAAGTGCGAATTTCTGCATTAGGTGATTGAGAGAACACATGGCTGGAATTTTTTCCAATAATTTTATTGAGAATTCTTAAGTAATTCTCGAGATGACGCGCACGAAAAAATTTCGTACAGGGAAATCTAGCGAATTCGATGGGGAATTCTATTAGATTGCCAGTGAAATAGAAATACTCTCAATGGAAAATATTCTAGGGAAACAGTCCATAGAATTCGATTTTTCTGTATGACTTGTCTATTGAGATATTTTCTATAGAAATTTATCGACTCGAATTTTCCAGGTGCTTTTGTTTATTTTTTCAATTAAAGGAGAGATTAAATGGAGTGGAATAAACTTGGAAAATTAATTTCAAGGAATTCCTGTAGAAAACGTCTCAATAGAAGAAGTTGTGTAGAAAGATAACATTCTACGGGTTTTTTTACAAAATATTCTCGTGCATGGTGACCACTGACAATGAGATGTGCTTGTACGTACCTACACGCCACTGAATGCGATAGGGAGAATCGTCAAGTATTCGAAACAATCCAATATCCAAAGTACTGGATATATTTATTCCTAGAGAAATTAGTCAAATGGGAAAATTAAAAATTACCCATTCAATTGGGATTAATGAAACTTTTCTACATATCTTTTCATGAATCTATTCGAATTATTATTGAGTATCATCCGAGCCCTGGACGATTCACCCTACTGTTTATAAATATACATTTACTTTAGAATAAACTATTTTATATTTAATATTTTATATACATCATTTTACACTTGTGATTGTCCTTGAATGTTCAAATCGAAAATTAATGAGAGACTATAGATTATTTTTATGTGATAATCAGAAGTGGATAAATTTTCAGAACACGCTTTTTGTCTCTGTGCATTGATACCGAACAAATAAAAGAATATGTGAAACACCTATAATTACCATTATTTTATTCAAACGATTTCCAGCTTTGAAATAGATTAATTTCTTTTCCATCGGAAAGAACAGTTTTTCCCCTTTCAGATGAGCCTAGACTGAGCACAATTGATAAATGTATTTCTGAGTTACGAATATTCTTATTCTTTTTATATAAAAAGGAGATGTCACACGTTTGTTCATAAATGCCTGACAGAGAAATCGTATACATGATGATAATGATCATGATTTTATGGATTTCGACGAATTTTTCAAGGACTTTTAATAAAAATTTCCATCCCTTTGCAATAAAAAAAAAAAAAAAAAAACATGGATTTTCAATAGAAGTTCTCATTGCTACCTACGAATTTTTCCTTACGAAAAACATCGATCCCAATGAACTTAAATAATAAAGTGATGAACCATATAAAATTTATCAAATTGTCAACTGTCCAATCTCGTTAAAAAAAAGTGAATAGTCTCTTTTAAAAATAAAGCGTCTGTGTTTTGCAGATATTATTTTATTTAACATTCGCATAATGCAATTTTCGTGGTAATCGTATAGAATCATTCAAGAATTCCCGCTAGTTTCTCTAAAAATGGCGGGGCCAATCAGATTGGGCCCGACTTGCACTCACATCATGCGGTCAAGCACGTGAGAAAAATGTCAAAAATGTGAAAACAATATCAACGACTGTTAATTGATCACACCATCGATCATTTAGTCATTTCTAGAATATAAACAAATAATGGATTCGTGCGTGGTTTGTGGGGGTGTTGAATTTTACACAGAATCGGGGTTCTACTTCTGTCAACAATGTGAAACCCAGCAGGAGGTAAACAATACCTGAAGATTTACTCCACTACTCAATAGCAATTTTCTTCTTCACTGACCGAATGATCGTTGGTTATTTTAGGGACGACGAGAGGAGGTCGTTGAATATGCAGCTGATGCGTCGACATATGTGACGAAGAAGAAAATTGATCGACGAAGTAAACTTGCTGATACAAAAGGTAACACTGTAATGAATAAATGATAATGATAAATGATAATGAATAATGACAAGGAAATTTTATTGTACGTTTAACAAAAACCGGAGTTTAATTTGAATTCAGAATTGGACAGCGGAATGTAATATAATTTTGTTCTCCTTTTATGTTAAAAATTAAAAAGTCTCAATTTCATTTACCATTTCATACTGTTTGAATTATTCGTAAAACCATCGAGAAATTGCGATTGTTGGGAAGCTCTCTCCATAAATGATTTTAAATTAATTAATTTTGCAAATAATTAATGCCATTAATGCAATATTACGAAGTATTTTTTTCTCGTAAAATGCCTTAATTTGTTATTTTGGAGTGAACGTCAACATGCCCTCAAACACCCCTGCAGCAACTCCAGAATAAAAAAAAAACATTCTTAATTCATAACTGTACAATGAAATCGTCTAATCAAGCCCCATTTGCCCTAGATCCCTGAACATTTTGCTTTGATTCTACTGAACCGTTTGAAATAATTCATAAAATGATGGGGAAATTGCTGTCATTAATAATTATCACCCCTCTCCATCAATAATTTAAAAACAATCAGTTGTGCAACAAACTATTTCTTCACTTGTAAAATGCAACGTGTTCAGTGTTCACGAACAATATAATAAATTCTCAGAGACAGCCCTGGGCTGGACATCTTGGGAAACCTTCAACTTCATCCTGAACGGTTGGACGAATGAGTTAATTCTTCTGGGGGCAACTCCAGAATTCAAAATAACAGTTCTCCAGTTATGGGCCACGTACTTGGGAAAGCTGCAAGTGGCCTTCAGGTCCTTCAGTGACAAAAGTCTCCCCCGATTGCCCCTCTTCTACCGCAAGAAAGACAGTGAAATTGTCTTCGGGGCTGTCTCGTCAAGAGTCAGGAAGAGGAAGAGGGCGCCGTCCAGTGGCACCTCCGAGGGGGGCTCCACCCACGCCAGTGATCTGAGCTTCGGACGCCTGTTGTCCCAGCGAAGGAGGAAATTGGTCGACCTGGAGTACCAGAAGTACTTGGACACCAGCGAATCGGAGACTGATGGCGCCAGTTCAGCTAATCAGAGTCTTCACAGCATGAAATCCGATGCTCTGCAGCCAAAGAAACGAAAGGTCCCTGTTTACCTCAACGCCTTTGCCATTGCGAATAAGAGGAAAGCGATGGGGAACTCCAAGAAGTGTTTGAGGATGAAACGAGGAGATCCCAGGGTTGGTAGGCTTCATGCACACAGAGGAACTGTGGAACATCTCACTATGCAAGATGTACTGGCAGTCGTCAACCTTGCGTTGAGAATCAATAATGAAAAGATTCACCTTAGTGATGTATTGAGGTAAATTATTCATTCATTTGTTCATCTATTTATTTATTTATTTAGTTATTTATGTATTTATTCATTTATTTAGTCATTCAGTTAGTTATTTTGCCAAATTTTTCAATTCAATTGCATAAAAATGTTTTTAAATTGATGTCAATTACGTTTTGTAAATATAATTAACATTCCTTCTCACAAATTAATAGTGAAAATTGTTTAAACTTTCATAAAATCAACTCGTGGTAAAATTTGACTCATTAGATTTGACTCATTAGATTTCAGGTGGAGGGACACATGTCCAGCAAAAAATTGGACCACTTCTTTCCGGATGAGGATCCTCTCCCCAACGATTTAAAGCGAACCGTATATACTCTGAACAAATATGAAGGCATACGCGACGCAACTGGCGACTTGGCTCATCTACTGGGAGTTTCACAGATCCCTGAGCCGAATATCGTTGAGTTGATTCAACGCTACTGCACAGATCTGCAATTACCAAGTATGTAATTGATCGTTTGAATATCTACTCCACAATTTTAAAGCGATACTTTTGTCACACGACTGCTTTTCCAGAGGGAATAGCTCTGTATGCGGAGAGGATGATTGCGATGTCACCACCGAAGCTCACATTTGAAAAATGGAATTATTCATTACCGCGTTACGAGGCCAAAGCCATGTCAGCTATTATAATCGTCATGAAAATTTTATTTGGATTGGATGGAGTTACAGAGTATGAAATATCGCGAGTGGTGGACAGAATTAATTCGTAAGTATTAATTAATTAATTCATTCATTTATTTATTAATTTTCATTTATTAATTAATTTATAATTTATTCACCATTCACAATCGTAATAACAATAATTCTATTCCTTGAACAATAATGGAACTATTCCAGAAGCTGATAACAGCAATCAAATTTGATCGTTTAAGTTTATTTATTCTCATTTGTTTACAACCTAGAAATTATTAATTTCCAAAATTACAATTCACTTGAGTAAATACATAAAAATCGATGAAAATTACAAATTCATTGAATCAATTGATTGAATGAAGATAATTCATTGGGTAAATGGAGTCAAAATCTCCTTGTATAATCGTCCACGGGGGCATCTCCACCGTCGATGACCCCTGGATAATGGAGAAGGTCTCGGCATGTGTGAAATCGGCGTCTAGAGGCTACGATGCTCTCGTGTCGAACCAGAGCTCTGTGGATGCTGTGGAGGATGCACTCTGGTGGCTGGAGAATGATGAATTCTTGAACTGCGGCTATGGGTGTGCCCCCAACGATCAGAACCAAGTTCAGATGGACGCGAGCATCATGAATGGTACGACATCCCAGTGCGGCACGATCCTGGGATTGAGGGACGTGGAGCATCCTATTTCCGTTGCGCGATATGTCATGGAGAATTACAGGAATAAAATATTCTCGAATGATTTGATGAAGAGGATGAAAAACATCCCGAGGTTCTGGATGACTCCTGGGAATATGGATCCTGTTTTTGAAAGGAATGAAGAAGTGAAAAGTAAAGAGCAAGAATTTTAGTGATTTTAATATTCATTTTGTTATTCAGAGTTTATTTGGACATTTTGGAGGTCTCAATTTTTTTGACTTTTTAGAAGTGTTAGGAGACATTGTAAATATCTGAAAAAATCATGAAGTTTATTTCTTTAAACATATTACGCACTTTAATTGAATTGTCTATTTTACTTGAAATTTCGATGTTCTGCTCTTTATCAGTTTTCAAATAAATTCAACTGATCCACAAAACTCGAAATTTAATAAATTACAGCTGTGGCTGCATCGCCTGGGATGGGTTCAACCTAATTATTGGAAAATTGATTTTTTCAATTTAATATTGAGCGTTTCAATAAACAATAAATTTTCTAGCTCAACAATAACTTTTTCCAAATAGTAAAAATTGCAGCTTTTTCTGCTGCTTATAAACTGAAATTTTTTCGGAAAACTAAATCTGGAATTGCATTGTTGTTTTTACTAAGAAATTATCCATGCCTTGCATTTAAAAAAATCATGTCTCATGAGAATTCTCTCTTCTGTAGATTTCATCATGAACTTGAACGGAATTGTCATTTTTTTTGACAAATAAACTTGTCAATTTTTTTCTTGTCCCTTTTTGTTTTTTTGTTTTTTTTTTTTATGCTTATTTTATATCGCTTCGAGTCTGATGAGACTATATGGCGATTGATCAAGACTTTAAAAATGGTTAGATCTCACCATTCTACCCGGCCAGGAATCGAACCTGGAACCTATCCGTTGTGAGGCAACGGCCTTAACCACTACGCCAGGCCACATCCCCCTTTTTGTTGACAAATAAACTTGGATCATCTCCAAAACCCCAAAATTAAATCAGATCACAGCTGTGGCTGCCTATCCTGGGATGGTTTCAACCTCGTAGTAGGTGCAACAGGAGGTGGTCCCCGAGGAAAGCCCACTGGTGCTGTATCAGACGCCGGAATAATTGGCTCTGGACTCTTCGCCTCAGACACTCTCGCCTGCTGCATCACAGGCCCAGTCAACTCCCTGATCAAGTTCAACTCAGCCAGTGAAGTAGTCGAAGAGGCGGAGGAGCTCGATAGCTGCCCCGAGGAGATCTTGCAGCAGCAAATAGACAAGTTGAATCAGCTTGACGAGACTGCCGGGGGCGTCATGCTGCACTCCAGTGGATATGCTGGGGTCTATTTCACCGCTCAGTGCATGCCTTACGCAGTCATTAAAGACGAGTGCATTGTGTACGGGTGGGATATGTGCCAGAGACATTATCGGACGTATTCTAATGGAGACGAGAAAAATATTTGCCGATGTGAAACTGAAATACGAAACTTCTTCTAGGTGTTTTTCTAGGTGATGACTGTTATGGAGATGTTCGTGTGAATTCAGGACAGGCACACAATTCATTGATATCGTGTAAATTGCGTTTTCGAACATTATTTTGTGCAAATTGTTTGAAAGTCAGATTTTAATAAAGAATGCATTAATTTGTCTCATAATTTTCACATTTTTTAATATTTTTTCATATCAAAAAGATGTTTTTATACTCGAAAAAAATATCTTTTATTTCCATGATAAGTGATTTTACGAGGAGATTTCATGAAATTTTCAACACAAATGTCATAATTAAATGTCAAACGAATAAATAAGTCGATGGACATTTCGCTTTGCAGCTTCTTGAATTTCAGAGGAAAAACAGGCACTTAACTTCAAACACATTAACTTGTCCTATAATTCCCATATAAATTTCTTGGTTTTCGCCTAGTTGTTGGCGTTTTTCATATTCTAAAAATGTTTTTACGTTTCAAGAAATATCTTCCGTACAATTGTCATATTTTGTCGTTCCATTCAACAAACAAAAATGTCATACAATTCATTTTTTTAAATGAGTAACTCAATTGGGATCTCATAATTAATTTCTTGAGTTTCCATTATGTTTCAAAATTTGTTTAATTCTGAAAATGTTGTTTTAAAAAATATTTTTCGTCCAATTGTCATTTTTCATCGTTCTATTCAGCAAAAAATGTCATGCAACCCACGTTTTAAAATAAATAACTCCATGGACGTTTCATTTTGCAACTTTTAGAATTGCAGAGGAAAAAGATGCACTGGACTCTAAGCTATTCAGCTTCATCGAATGGCAGAGGTACATTGAGTGTCGTCGCAGTGTGATAATGAGCCATCATTCCGCCACGAGGTACAGATTAGATCCAGAAGCACCATCTCAGAATGTCAACGAATATCTGAATTACCTGAGCAAATTCGTGACTCCTGCGGAGCCTGGGGTGCTGCTGAAGCAAGTGACAGAGAATATTAATAAGAACATGGAGAATTTGGCGGAGAATCTCCCGGAAGTCGAGCCGGTGAGGAGCTTCCAGCCCTCGTTGACACCGATGCACTCGTACCTCCAGGAGCTGTTGATGGATGACGATGTGGACCTGCCGAGCATTCTCAGACAGGACTTCACTTCTGCGAAGGTCGGGTACATGACCAACACTGAGACGTGAGTATCTCATTTAAAAAAAATGAATTTATTCAGGAAATGATAAACCGTTGACATTGAATTTAACTTCTTGTGATTGGGAATTTATTTTGATGATGAAATGTCACAAAACTTTTCTCGTAATTTACAGAATTCCCAGCCAAAACCATCCAATGAAATACCAAACAAGCTGTGAAAAATTTATTCAAAGAAAATCCCTTCAAAATCCTTTGAATTCACAATATTGTGAATTTTAAATGAAATTTGAATTCAAAGTGTTCATGAAATTGATATAAAAAATTGAGTTCGTTATGTGGAATGATCATTGATATTTTAATGCCAGCTGGAATTGTCACCAAAAAACGTGCCAAATTAAACAATCCCCTGAACATTCAAGGAATTGTACAATTCATCAATAACAAAATGAACCTAAATCCCATGTGAACAACACCTTCACAAAAAATCACTATATTTTACTCAAAATTTCAATCTATTTTTCTATTTTTTCAATCTCATTTCATCTCCTTTCATCCATGAATGTCCTTTCTTGCACATAGAATTCCCAAATATTCCTGGGAGAATTACCACCAACCATTGAAGTTAATATTAAAAAAAAAAGAATATTGAAGTTGTCTATTCCATTTCCTGCAGCTTCAAAGACCTCTCAAAAGAATGCGGAATCGACCTCGAAATCATCGACTCCTCCGCCAGCTTCGTCGAGCGGATCGTCCCGATCTTCGACCCGGAGATCTACTACCCGAAAACCGAAGACCTCTCCAAGCCCACCCCAGTGGTCATCCACACGAGAGGAATCGCGCGTCGTGACGATCCCTTGGAGTACCTTCACCTAAAAACCCCTGGTAAAATTACCATAGACGAGACTAAGCGATCTCTCTACTCCAAAAACCTCAGGCACTCCCAGCGAGCGAAAAGACGAAGTGCACAAGACTTCGACGATTTCGCCTTCGACGAGGTGCGCAGCAATGGAAAACTGGACATCGCAGAGTTCGACGACAGCGATTCAGAGGAAGAGGATCCCCAGTCCTCAGTACTCAGCGACGAGAGCCTCTTGCTGTCGAATTACGAGAGACTGAGTCTGAAGGGTGGGGCCAGGAGTCATTGGCACAGAGTGAAGATCACTAAACTTCAGCAATCAGAGGAGAAACGGTTTTCAGGTGCCAGGAAACAGGCGGAAGCCACCGAGAGCTGCGACTGCGTCATGTGTGAGAATGAGAGCGAAAATGAAGGGGAGGATGAGGACGATGACTTGTCGATCATCAAGGAGGTGTCCAGGTCTGGCTCGAACGATGAAAAAGACGAAATTTCGATTCTGAGTGAGAGGAGGAGTGAATCGGGAGCAGAAAAGGCGACGGCATTTCGTCCGTACAGGGATTATTGGCTCTACAGGAGAGAGGCCACGTCCAACAAGGGGTCACATGTCGAGTGGCATCGCCTGGAGAGAGACCTGCCGGTGAATTTTCGGTGGCTCCTCAACGAGTGCGCGGGGATGATCCAGATTGAGGGCGGGCTGTTGTATCAGGAGCTTGCGGTCGTGGAGGCGTACTACGCGGACTGCGTGGTTCAGGATTATGATCTGGAGAGGGCGAAGAAGTTTTACGGTGTGACGAAGCATCGGTATAAGGCGATGGTTACCACGATGAGGAAGAAGTGGAATAATGTGGATAGGAGAGTTAAGAGATCGTGATTTTTTACGGCTGGATGGGACATTGAGTAGAACGTTTTAAGTAGATAATTAAAAATTACGGGTTTTCAATTGGATGAACTATAGTTTGTTGTTGGGGATTGAAGAAAAGGAAGATTTCTGCCTTTTGTTTATTGAAGAGAGGCATGGAGCAATGCAGTTTAGTTTGAGCGAAATTTCAAAAGATTAATTCTAATAAGTTTTTTTTACATTTTTTGTTAGAATCCCTCGTTAAGAGTGTAATTTAATGTAGAACTGAGTGTAGAAAATTTTATTATGTGAAGATCTGACGAATGAGATGATCTGAAAAAGCAATCAGCTGATAGTTATGGTAATTCATATTTTGAGAAATATATTTCGGTATAAAACACTCGACAAGTGTAATTTTCAATATTTAGTTAATTAAACATTTAATCATATTTAATAGTCACAATTTTATTCTCTTATTTTATTCCCAAATTTTTTCAGAGTTCAAGGACGTTTATCCAAAATCGCAGGTACTTAAAAAAATTGATTTTTTTTACTGAGAGATGAAGATATTCCCTTCACTTTGATAGAAATTTCAATTCCCCAACCCATGTCCATTATTTAGAAATGAAATAGACAAAATGCACCAAATACATGAGCTAACTTGCGCTTATATGGGATAGAATCATTCAAATATTTCCTCTTTTTGCCCGGGTACCCCAGATTTTTCTCCGGCCATTGGATTTAGTATGATTTTACACATTACCTTCTATTTTTATTTATATTTTTAGAGTCTTCTAGTCGGTGAATTATCAATTTCAACATAAATTTCAGAAGAGCCCGTGTGTAAGGAAAAATTATTTTATTCATTTCTGCGCTTAATTTTTTTTTACGTCAATTAATTTTTTTTAATGACAAAAATTAATTTTTTTAACATCAAAGAAGTCAGCTTCATATGTGGACGTCCGCATGAAAAGGGACCACTTTGTCGATTCTAATTTCCGAGATATTCACGTTTTTGTCTCAGCAACTCCCATTTACACTCATGTTAACGTGTTTTTTTCATTGGCTCCGACGACGTCATTTTTCACTCTATGAGGATCATTTTCGGCTCAAAATGTGCGGAATGTTATAAATATTATCAGAGTATACATAACTCCATATCGACAAAGTGGTCCCTTTTCATGCAGACGTCCACATATATTCTACTATCAGCCAACAAAAATAATTTTCCTTGAACATGAAAAAATAAGATTTACTGAAAATGGCTAAACATCCTTAAATACCTTATTTGCAGCTCTCGATTGGCCCCACAAAAAGCGTCACAACAAAAAATTTGCCATTTCCCCCCGATTCCGCGATATTAATTGAAAACTGACCGACAATCCAATCTAGATCCACTCGAACCGTTTCCCGCTTCGCCCCTGAATCGCATTAAAAAAATTCCGTATTGAGCACTTTCGAAAACCCCGGCACCTGTTCGAAAAACAATTCCAGCAGCACCACTCACAACTGTTGCGCTCAAAACGCAAAGGTCGCCGGCATTATTGGGGGTGTTGCTTCGGCCTCACTCGGCTGAAGTCGTCGTGCGTCTTTCTTTTTCATTTCCCTCTTTTTTCCTCCCCCCCCCACCAACCAGCGGACCGAGTGGTGTGGAGGAGCCGCCGTGAGCCGCCTTGCGCTTGTGTGCCTGACACATTTCACTGTCGCCCGTGTTCCAGGCACAATCGCCGTTTCCACTGAGAAAAAAAATTGATAACCAATCGTCCGGGGGTGACTACCCAGTGTAACAACCCTCGAGGACACCCTCCGGCCGTCGGCATCGCCAATGGCCGCGGCAACAGCCCATGGGACCCCGTAAACTTCAAATTCACCGTTAAACATTCTGGAGTATTTCTTTTTTGTTTCTCGCCGTCAGGCTGAACGACCCCGGCGAGTTTGCTCCCCAGTTGTTTCGCCTTATTTACACGATTACGTCCGAATTCTCATGTGCGCAAGTGAATTTTGTGGTACAAGTGATCCAGTGGGAAGAGTGATTGATTGACTTGTCTGTCTGACCAGCGAAAACATCAAACAATTTTGCTCCCTCGAGTCTCGACTATTTCGGGGTATCCTCGGTCGTCACAGGGGACTCGCTTCCTGGACATCGTCTGGTGAGTAGCAAACATCATCTTCGGGGGGGTTTCCAGCTCTGGGGAATGTCAATCAGGTAATTGAGTATCGAAGTGGTGAAACGGTTTAAGTCGACTCATCTCCCGGTTGAGTTTTTGAGGAATATCTCCGAATCTAAGGGAGATAGCGGAATTTTTGTTATCACCTTTTTTGTAGAGCCGATTGAGAGCTACAACAAATGTCATTACGAAAATTTCGCTATCTAGCTTAGATTCCGAGATATTTATTGAGAATTGGGCAGTAGTCAAAATTAAATTGTCACCGGTTTCGTTGTGTTTATCCGTTGTTTGGCAACAATTGGGGGAGGGGATTGTTCGCTTTGTTTATTGCACATCAGCTGATTTCGGGGACGCTGGGGACTTTCCGGGCCCGTCCCCTTGGTGCATCCTCTTTTTTCTCGTGCATGCGACGTTGATGAGTGCTCTGGCACTCGAGGAGAAACTCGACGAGAATTGCAACATTTGCCGATGGAGTTTCCCATTATTTTGCAAATATGCGTTTTTATTGGGCGCTTGTTCTTTATTTTTATTCTGAGAAAACATTGCACGGAAAATAGAGGGGGGGGGATCGGGGGAGAGAAATTTTATTTCAAGAATTTTTGTTCCGGAAATGGGGGCACTTGAAGGATTAATTCGCTTTTTTAAGTGTAATTTTTGGAAAATTGGAAAATTGACAGCGAAATTTGTGGGTTGTTGAGACCTTTTGAAAATGATCGCTGTTCAATCACTGGTATTTGACACCTGAGGAAATATTTCTGTCGATTAATCAAATATTTTCAAGTGATTATAGTTGAGGAAATAATAAGTTCTGGGGCTCAAGGCAATTCGGAAACCCCTTCAATGGAATTAGTTTTTGGAAACTGATTTTTTTGCGTTTTTTTAATACGAACAATTTTTTATTTCACTTGATTTTAATTTATTCAAATATATTAAACGTAATATAACTTGGAGTAATGTTTGAATTTGAGTGAAATTTATGATTTGTTTTTTCTTGAAATATTTCGTTAACTCTGTCTTCATTCGAAATTTATTTATTAAGATTTTCTCAGTTGATAAAAGTCACACAATTCGAAAATCCCTGTTTTTTTAACGCAAAAAAAAAATTCAATTCCAATTGATTCCAATTCATTCAATCGAATTAAACGTAATACACCTGAAAATAATGTTTAAGCTCGAGTAAATGCAGAGTAATAAATTCTAGGGGCCAGAATAATTCTCTAGAAAAGTCCTGAAACTAGTGAATAAAATAATTTTTAGGAAATTGAATTTTTCAATTTTTTAAATAAAAAAAAATGTTCAATTCCTCTTGATTCTAGTGCATGTTCAATTTTGCAAAAAATTTATGAGTTATTTTTTCTCGCAATTTTTCGTTACTTTTTCTCCGAATTTATCATCGGAAAAATCGTTGTTTTTAAAATTTATATCGATATGATTTAAAGCGACCGAACATGCGAATACAGGGAATAGCGAGATTTAATCGGGATTAACTTTTTTTTGGAGCATTTCAACTTTTATTGGGATGGCGAGAGGGCTTTGGAGGTATAAAAATGGCAAGGAGCGTGACTCTGTCACTAACGATTCATCATCCCCCAAATTGCTCGGTCTACTGGAGACAACACGAGTGGCTGGGGAGTGTCCTGGCGATCGTAACTGTTGAACTTGGGTTCAACACAAGGGACACCGTAATTACGTTTGAGGTTGAAACGTAAATGCCCCATGGTGACGAGTAAAAAAAGGAGGGTAGAGTACTCCAGCCCCTCGTGAGTATTTCTGGGGTCAACTGGAGTCTGACGTTAACATTAAAGAGGATGGTCCAGGGGTTTTGAGGATTTTCGCGGAGATGAAAGGTCAAAGGTGAAGATTTTTCGACGAGAAGAGACCTTCGGTGCAACAAATGCTGCATTACTAACGACTCTTCAAATATTTCGTTAGAGGAAATCGTTAATTTACGGAATTTTTTTTTCTTTGAAAATACAATTTTATCTACATTAATTTAACGAAATATGAAAATTCTTCATATCACTGGTGTTTGACGCATTAGAAAATGTTTTTATTGTCGAATAATTACGTGTTTCCAAGAGAAAAAATGAAATAATAAAATAATTCTAAATAAATTCTGTTAATTTCCGGTGGAATAAATTTCTGAAATTGGATTTCTAAAGTTTTTTGAATGCAACAAATGTCAAATGTTAATTGGTTGGATGAAATTAATCTTTGAAAAAGCCATTTTTAGGATTTTTAATGCAACAAATTTCAAATTAATTAATCAATTCATTCATTCATTCATTAGAATTAATTTAATCAAGCAAAAGATGTTAATCCGCAAATCAAATGTAACTTCACCTAAACTTCTCTCAAACACAAATATATCCGAGTCATCAATCTCCACTTCTGCATTAATTTAGATTTTTATCCTCAATTAATCAGTCGAATGAAAAAATTAATAACTAGACAAAAAACGAAAAATGAATAAATAAAAAAACCAATAATCAGGTACAGTCCAATTACTAAAGCCAAAAAGTGAAACAAAAACCTAGAGGTCAAGTGCAGCTCCCCCAACTGATAATTTACGAATTCGAACGTGTTCATAGGCCCTCCTTCCATCCTGCAATCAGTCTCCAGTCGAGGTAACCTACGTGATTGAAATGGCCAAGTTAAAGTTTAAGCATTTGTACTCCACTCGTCTTGTTTTTCCGAAGCCGAGGTTTAACAATATGTCAAACGGCAATAATCAGCCTACCATTGCGTAAATTTTAACATGTACAAGCAATAAAAATAACAGCAGTTACGCTGAGGCCACCACTAATCCAAATTTATCCATAAAAATTCTTCGACCAGAAATTAGCAAGTACTGTACGAGTGATTTTGCATTACGACAGCACACGTTCAATCGCTTATGCCGCAATTTTTTTTCTCTCGGAAGGCTTACGTCAAAAACAGACTGAAAATAGGAGAGAATATTCTTGAAACGAGAGGAATGACTGAACCGAGGAATCCTTTCATGCGTCGAAAAATAATGTTACGTAAAAGTTTACATAAAAGTGGAGAATTTATATAAAAAAAAGTGGTTGCCGTCATAATCGACAGCTGCCGGGGGTGAAAATGATGGGCAGATAGCGGAGGGCACGGGGGATGTGCTTAATCTTCGCCAAGTCGGCTGGGTACGACCTAATTATCCGATGTATTCGCGATAGAAAACAGTTGTACTGGTTCGAGGCCCTCAATTGTGAAACCCGCACTACACAGCGCGTAGAGGAGTGAAGACAAGCTCGTTGGAGCCTTGGCGAAGGAAGCCGTGCAAGGAACTACAACACAAGGACAAGCTATTTTTCGGCCAGTAACCCAGACCCGCGCTGAGGAAACAAAAGTTTTTGCGAAGTACGTCTTAGCTTCTACACGTATGAAAAAATCGTATAGAAATTTTTTGTACGAATTATTTCTATAAATAAATTTTTACATCAATTTTTGTTTTCATACTAAAGATGTCTAAACGCTAGAGAAATGTCACAACTTCATACGAAATGTTTCTATACATGTGGCAGGGGATCATATAGGATCAAACCTGTAGAAATCGTATAGAAATAATTTGTATAAAAAATATCCATATAGAAATATCATACGAAAATCCTAGAGAAATTCTATACGCAATCTGTATTAAAAATTTCTATACGTTTTTTTCATTCGTGTATCAGGGTAACATCACCAAAAACATTTTTTGAGCGAAAAACATCGCACACCGATTTCTTGTGGCAAGAAATTCTCACTTTATCATGAAATGCTCATGTTCAAGTCATGAACAGATCACCGACATCTGACATTGTATGACGCATCATCCGGAATTCTTATCCCAAGAAATTTACCCCCAAGAGATGAGATATTTGGCGCAAGAGATTAGTTTTGTGATATTATGACGATATTTCTCTCAGTGCAGGAGTTTCTTGATAGAAGTAAAGGCGTCCATCTCAAAAGCCGTTTTTCTCAGAGCCAGTGTGGGTGGTGACGTGAGGAAAGGAGCGGAGAAAAAGAAAAACAAAGGGATTGAGTCGCGGGGTGTGCGGCTATTGTTGTTAATGGCCTCTATTGAATCTGAATTCAACTGGTTTTTGATGGATCGATGCGAGAGAAAAAAAGATGCTAAAAATGAGGGAAAATGGACGTTCGTTCGGCGGGAATTAGAGTTTCGAATGGGAGTGGGAATAGTAGTTTGGGGACTGCCAAGTGGGGGAATTAATTTCCAAGTTTTTTTATTGCGAAAAGAGAGAAATTCACTCGAATTGGATCACGTCTAAAATTCATTGATTTAATCGAGATTGAGTGTTATTTGTTGAAATCGGAGAATGACGTGGAAAAAAATTCATGTCTCCATGAACTTTTTTATTTTGTCATTCATTCGGATTTATTTATTTCTCAATTCACGTTTTTCATTCATTTTGATGGCTAACATATTATTTAATGTTGACAGCTTCCATTTCCCATGAAATGTTGAATGTTGAATTATCGAAATCCCTTGAAATTCTCTAGGCATTATAATGAGAAATGATAATGCAATAAAAATTGTCAACAAATGTACCGAAAATTTTAACCAAAAAATTTCAACAATCAATGTTCAAAAGGATCAATTCCTCGCGTTCCCGAGAGAAAATTCAATTTCCCTCCAATAAATACCTCGAAGCAGAAAAAACATTAATACACGAAACAGCTGTGAAACTTTTCTACAGACCAGACTTCGATTGTTCCGAGGAGATTTACGATAGTTGTTGACGTCCACAGGTGCAGCCGAGTATTAATCTTATTACGCATTTATAAACTTGCGAGTCTTCTTCTATTGACATTCCCGAGAATTAGTTTTCAATAAAAATAATGCATCACCCAGCGGAGAATTCTCCCTCGCGTATGATTTATCTGATTCAACGAGTCGTTAATGCCGCACTTGATAATTGACGTTGATTAGCTGGTCAATAATTCCCCTGCAACTCGATCTCTTCATTTGCTATTGAAGCCTTAATTAATCAATTTCGATCGGCGCGTGTATGGATTCATTTCCTGCGGTTACATGCGGTACATTCAAAGCTTCACATGCCGTCCGAAGAAGTGTGTGTGTGTGGTTTTTTATGGGAAAGGGAGAATGAATTGTCTCACTGAGGTGACTTTCCTCATTTAATTACCCCTTATCGTAATTGCTATTCTCATATTCTAATGTATTAAATGTACAAGAATAGAAAGTTTACTTTTTGCTAAAGACAACGATTTTTCTCATGAATAGTTATAAATACTCAATTTTCCGGAAAGAAAAAAAGCCAAAATATTCTCTAAAATATTGAAAAAAAATTTCTATCATTTTTGACGAAATGGATGTTTACAGAAAACATGAAAATATCTTTCAAAATAATTGGAATAACATTTTTGGAAGGTCTCGGGAGAAAAAAAAATACTGAAATCCGGGGAAAAACTTTGAGCGATGAATTCTCAGCCAAAAGAGGCTGGAAAAATCTGAAAGATGACTTGAAAAATTTTTTCCTTTTATAGAAACCGGATGAAACCAGTTGAGGGTGATCTGAAGGGGATAAATAGTTCTAAGAAATGTTTAAAAACCCGAGGTGGGGGCGCCGCCATCTTTGAAGCCCCTGGCGGCAGATGGAGGCTGTATCCAAGCAAGATGGCGGCGCGAACACCTGTCTCCCACCTCTTCGATCATTTCTTTAAATTATTTATCCCCTCATTTTTTCTTCCCGTTTTGACTGAGAATTCATATAAAGTCATATGACGCAAAGTTTTTTCCGCATTTCAGTGATTTTTTAGTTATTTTCACGCAATTTAATTGAGATCCCAGAGGAACAAAGCCGGCATTGGAAAAAAAACGAATTCCCAGTGAATAATGATGTGCCCTTTCCCCTCAACAGATAATCGAATCACCCAGATGCAGATGAAAATAAGAGTAAGATAATAAATCGGCAAGGATAAAACATCAAGACGCGTCACGCAGGAGTTGTCGGTCTATGGGGGGCGCCGCCGCATCAGCGGACGACCCCCTGTTGCAACACGAATCATCAAGGTACAAATTGTTGGACTGGGACATCACCTGCCTCATCAACCCCAACGATACTCGGCATCAAACAGATGAAGAGCCCCTCTGGTATCATGAGGCAATCCAGCCTCACAAAGCTCGGCTCCATGATTAATACTGCTGTCAACAAGAGGGCTGGTAAGTGATGTTTCGAATTAATGCATTAGTCAAGTTATTCGCGCATTTGAGGGCACTCACATGACAACAGCTCTGAAGTATCCGCTACACGCACGAGACATCACTGAAAAATCTAGTGAATTCGCCAGAACATTCAATTGGATTTCTATTGAACTTTCGAATTCGATTTACTGCATTCGATTTTTCTATGTAATTCATTTTATTGAGATAATTTTCTGTAGAAATTCGTCGGTTCAAGTTTTCCAAGCTTCTCGTTTGGTTTTTCAAATGAAGATGAGGAAAAATAGAGCGGAAAAACCCTGAGAAGTTCGTGAGAAGAAATTCCTATAGAAAATGTCTCAACAGAAAAAATTGGATAGAAAGATGAAATTCTACAGATTTTTTCAGTAAAACTGTTTCTATTGTACATTTTCTAATAAAAAAAAGCGCAGTAAGTCTGCGGAATTCTTCAATACCCAAAAACCAATAGAATTTTCAATAGAAGTCGAATAAAAATCTCACAGAATTTTCTATCGAATTCACTAGGTTTTCCTATGAAATTTTTTCCTGCGTTTAATGAGCGCAAGACGATTTCTCCATTTTTTGCAGTTCCCATATCGTTTTAGACAAAAGGTCTGCATAATAAATTCAATTAATTTGCTATTCAATCGAAAGAACCGAAAGCAATTTTTTCGAAACACCTCATTATCCGCAACGATCAGGATAATCCTCATGAGGCTGAATTACCCCTTCCTTCCGTCAATTACAAACGTAAATTTTACATTGACCTTGCACTGTTAATTCCGCATGAACGATAGAGAGATGGATATTAGGTAGGTGGAATGGAATTCATACGCGCCGAGGATTAACGTGGCTTGGCATTACCATTTACCATAGTGGGTATGTGGTTCAACCCGTCTAGCATATTCCGCATTACAGACTCCAGTATCCCTTCCGCGGCACAACAATTGTCTTCTGGAAATTAAAGGCCAGACGAAATAACAGAACTATCGTCTGAAATGCGGCATAAACGGCCAAGTGGAAATCAGAATCCCTCACCTTTGACCTTTCCAGAGATTATTAATTTCTATGGGAAAATTTCAACTGTGGAAATTCATTTTTTACGTTAGTTTTAAATTATTTTATTAGAGAGAATTGCGAAAATTCAGTGAAAATTTTTTTTCATCGTGAGAAATCGAGATCATTTTCACAATAGACTCCAGTATCCTTTCCGCCACACGACAATTCTTCTGGAAATTAAAGGCTGGACGAAATAGCAGCACTGAGACATTTTTTTTTGCCGAATATCTATTTACTTAAGAGAAGTATTTATTTTTTCAATGTCGCATTTCTGTAGTTGAGTTATTCTCAGACAATTCTCATTAGGTTTCAATTATGAGAATTATATTGTCCTAGAAGATGATCATGTTGGTTATGACCTTGAGTGAACTCCCTCAATAATTATAAACTTTAAAAAATTAATCGAAATTTTTCCCTCTAGAAAATGAGAAATTTAGGAAAATTGAATAATTATTGGAGGAGTTCGTCCAAGGTCATGTGCAACATAGTCATCCTCTGGACCAATATGATTATTAATAGTCAGACTTGCCTGAGAATGAAAAAATTGATGCTTCTCTCAAGTAAATAAATATTTAGTTGGAATAATTTTTTTTCTCACTGAGAAAAATCCCATTTTCACCGTGGAAATTCTTTTTTGTTACATTCGAAAAATTTGGACTGCATCCAATTATTTTATTGGAGAAAATTATGGAAATTCGATGAAGCATTTAAAACGACATTTTTTTATTTTAAAAAAATTATGAAAAATCGAGATTATTGCCCAATTACTGACTCCAGAGGATTTCCGCCGGATAATACTGGCTTCAGCAAATTGAAGTTGTCAACCTAAAACAAGTATTCCCCGAAATGAGAAATAAATGCCGAAGTGGGATATAAAATCCCACGCCTTTGACCTTTCGCGAGATTATCAATTTATATGGGAAAATTTTAACAGAAATTTCTCTACCTTCATTTGGCATTCGCAAAATTTGGTTTATATGATTTTTTTATTAATGCATGAAAGGCATGTATTTCTGAATTTTTCTCGAAGTTATCAGGCGCTAATTTTCTCAATTTTCCATTCTCTCTCAAAACAGAAATTTTAAAATTACGTGTCCAATTCTTCCATTCAATTTTCTCATTTTTTATTCTCATTTTCACTCCCCAAAATTTGATCCCATAGAATTATTTTATTCACCAAAATAATTTCACGAAAATTCCATAGAAATATTTTCATTTTCACTTTCAAAACCCCTGAAATATCTGTCTCACGTTCCCCCAATTCCGCGCCTATTCCTCATTTCTCCAAATAAAAAATACCTCCGCGATACATTCCCCTCGTCCGTCGCACCTGACACGAAAAACCCCTGAACCCCGACCAAAAATAAGCTCCAAAGCCCAGAGGAAACCCATCGCAATTGTCCTCTCGCTTCGAAAATTTTCAACAAGTTGACCAAGACAATTTGCGTTAGCTTTTGACGTCTGAAAACGACTGGCCTGCAAGAGTGCATACAGATGCACGTGAATCATTTACGACCCATCGAGAGAAGTACACACATCGGTCAACTCCTTTCACGCTCCCTCTGCGTCAGAAAAAAATTGAAACAAAAGCGTTGGGGCATTTTTCCATCTCCCCTCCGCCCTCCGCCGCAAAGGGGGGCATTCATTCGCGACCGCCTCTGCCCCCCCCTCCCTAAAAAAATTCAAACAGTCTGATCCAGTATGAAGTAAGTCGTCTAAGTAAACAGTTGTCAGCCACCTTCAGGGAATTCCCCAAAAGCACGTGGTAAACACTCGTTTATTCCGAAAAAAGGACGGGGGAGGGGAAGGGCAGAGTGAAATGGAACTTTTGTGTACCCGAAATGATCAAATTGAATTCTTAACCGAGTGACCAATGGCCAGTGTGTGTGCGTCGCTGGGTGAATGTGCAAACGTAAATAATTCTCTCATCCCGTTCCATCGGAACGACCGTTATTTCCCCGAGACCTACAGAACTCGTCGGTAAATAGATTACGGTTGGAGGTGCCTGCACGATACGTGCACCGGGAACAAGGTGTAGAGAGGTTGTTTGTTGTTTTTTTTTCTCGTTGTGTCCACGAATGTTGAACAATGAGTACAACGCGAAGTCGTGTGAGGCAGAGAAAACCAATGTCAAATCTCAACAGGAACATCGGGACCGGTGGTAAAGCCGCGAGATTACAGCAGAATGAAATTGTGCAGGGTTATGATTACGAGGCGGAGGCTAATTGGTACTGTGAGTATCCTGAGGTTATTTCGGTTTCGTGTTGTAATTGACGAAGGGTAAATAATGAAACTGTGGGAAAAGGGAGGTGAGTGAAGGGCAACGTGACGAGTGTCTCGTGATCAAACGATGCGATTTGCGTGGATTATGGGGGCACTTGAAGCTTTGGGAAATAGCTTCAAAATGGGGTGCCACTGAGGGGATTTCACTCTGCCGATCTCGAGTTATGCGCAATTGAAGAAATTACATTTCACCCTAGTTTTTGTAATTCAGGTTATCGGGCGTCAGTTTTTTGGGAATATCTTCGGAAATAAGGGAGATAGCGGAATGTTGGTTAAGAGCTTTTTTGTAGGGCGTAAAAAAAGCTACAAAAAATGTTCAGAGGAATATTTCGCTATCTCTATTAATTCCAAAGATATTCACCAAAACTCAACTAGATATTAACTCAAATTATTTCCTCATTTCACTTTTGAAATTAATCGTTCCAAACGTTTTGGATACGAATACATGTGATCGTATTTTTATTCACTCCACTCGTGCATCGTTGTAATAGCGAACTCCCGGTGCCCCATGTAAACAATTAACTCTAGTCTGGCCACCAAACGCGACCCTGCGATTGGTCATCTTTGCGGGTATTCCTCACCGTGCTATTTAGACTTCACCCAATGGGCAATTTCATTTAGGGGAGGTTGGGGTAAAATGGACACTTTTGACTTTTTTAAAAATGTTAATGACAGGTTGAAATGGTGATGAAATTTGATATTTTTTTTTTCAGTACAAAGAGCAATTCTTTCCCTTTGTGATGAGCCTCAACTGAGCTCTATTGATGCATTTGTTTCTGAGTTATGAATAATTTTAAAAAAGTCTAAAGTGTCCATTTTACCCTACCCTCCCCTAACTCCTGAGTGGTCGCATAATGAGGGAATCCCCGCCGATTTTTTATTTTTTCTTTTCACACAAAAACTTGGGAATGAAAAATCCATGAAAATTTGTATTTCAAATTTCCTACTTTCAAATACATGGAACACATCTTTTCCTCGATTCAAATCGAGTTCTTGGATTATCTAACAGCTATTTCGCTTCCACGCCCCCATTCCCTATTCATTAAAAGTTCAAAATTACCTGTGAACGCGGAATCAATTTTTTCATTCAACTTTTTTTTCTCGAAATCGTAAATTAAATCTTAACATGAGAAAAAAAATTCATCTGTCCGACATAATTTGCTTTCTTTAGGAATTTAGGGGAATATCTTCTTCTAAAAACTAGGATAATTTTTTAGACACTTCAACTGACAGCGTCATTTTTTTTTAATTTTTCCGGTTAGTCAGTCAATTGTAATTAAATAAAAGCGACGCGCGGGGGGTTTCCCTCATAGGGCGACCAATCTAGGGTTGAGCTTCGTCCCTGCGTTTCAAGGTGGCAGTCACGATCGCGGCAGATGTTGAGAGAAAAATCTGAAGTGAGTAATATAAATTGAAATTGAATTGCGCCACGGCATCTTCGTTAATACGACGAAAGGCGAGTCGATTAGCGAGCATCCTCTAATGCGCCCGGGACGAATATACAGCCACCGACGTATCATCTCGCTGTCTCCCTCACCTCGCGCTGTCCATCTCCTTCGTACTTTCGGCACTGCCACTATCCCCCTATTCCCCCCTCAACAGCATTTTTATAATGCCCCTGATGGGGGTTATGTGTACCAGCGGAGTAAGGCCTCGTTTCAGTCCATTGTCGAGTGATTAAAGAGAATATATTCTCATTGGTTCAGGCACTCGGTCCAGAACACTCGCTGATTCTCGTGTCCGACGATTTTTCATCATTTCCCTTCTCGACGGCTTTTTTTATTTTGAAGATGAGCAGAGACAGTTCACCTTCACCACCAGTCACCGCAGGCTCGAGGAGCCTCAGCTTGAGACTAACTAAACGACAACTGCGTGATCATGGACCATTGTTCTCGTCTCTCGAGGAATTGCGTGATAAGCTTAATGAACTTTTAGGTAAAATGAACAGATTAGGAGGTAGAGCGAAGGGTAGGCAATTAATATCTTCTTTGATTGACACTCCGTTGTGATGGGAATTTTTTATTGAGTGGTTGTGAATAGTTTCGTAACATAGACCCTTATGGCTAAATATCTGGAAGGCTGCATGCATTTGATTAACCAGCGAACCTCTCGAAAGTTGTGACACCAAATCACTCCATCGACTTCGGAAAACTCTTGATTCGTGGAGGAAACAGGGGCGTCTGGGCAAAGGGGAGACATCCAAGATACGGAACGCCTCGAGAGCAGAGGAGAAACAGAAAAACTGAAAAATATTTCAGCCCTGGAAGAATTATGTGAAAATAATTTAGACTTTGAGAAATTCTCCGGTAATTTCAAAGGCCCTGAAATCACTGAGGACCACTTGGGCATCTTGAGAACATCAAAAATCATGAAATGCATGGACGGTCAAAAAATTGTTGCTGTAATTTTTAGGCAGAATGAACGAACTAACGAAGTATAGGCGATGAATATCCTCTTTAATTGAAACTTCCATGTGATGAGAATTTTTTTATCAAGTGGTTGTGAATAGTTCCGTAACATAGACCCTTATGCCTAAATATTTGGAAGGCTGCGTGCATTTGATTAACCAGCGAACCTCTCGAAAGTTGTGACACCAAATCACTCCATCAACTTCGGAAAACTCTTGATTCGTGGAGGAAACAGGGGCGTCTGGGCAAAGGGGAGACATCCAAGATACGGAACGACTCGAGAGCAGAGGAGAAACAGAAAAACTGAAAAATATTTCAGCCCTGGAAGAATTACGTGAAAATAATTTAGACTTTGAGAAATTCTCCGGTAATTTCAAAGGCCCTGAAATCACTGAGGACCACTTGGGCATCTTGAGAACATCAAAAATCATGAAATGCATGGACGGTCAAAAAATTGTTGCTGTAATTTTTAGGCAGAATGAACGAACTAACGAAGTATAGGCGATGAATATCCTCTTTAATTGAAACTTCCATGTGATGAGAATTTTTTTATCAAGTGGTTGTGAATAGTTCCGTAACATAGACCCTTATGGCTAAATAAAAAATAACAATTGCAGGAGAAAGTACCCCTTAACCCAAAGCACATTGATCTTCATCAGCGCTTCCTGTATATTAATGTGCTTCGATCTGTAAAAATGTCGATAACTTTCGGCAGGAAATTTCACTCTATTGGCCCTTACGAATCACATGTCCATTGCCTCAAAAATCACGTGTCCCTCCAAAGTTCCACCACCAGTTCCTCCCGTCCACTTCGAAAAGCCCTCGCCGACCCGCGCAAAGTATCGCAGATTCTCGTGCACAATCGTGAGAATTCGTGGAAGAAGCAAGTGCGGCAGTGGCGCCCGCCTCAGATGCGTCGTGCGCCGCAGGGGGGGGGGGGGTTGTGCAAAGGGGAGACATAGAAAATATAGACCAAACCAGAGAGTGAAAGAGAGACGAATGTACCCATCGGAGAAACTGAAAAACCGGCGCGGCACACCGAGCAAAAATGGCGGCCCACTGATAATTCCTCGAATTAATCCCCAAGGAGACCGAAGAAAAAAAAATCAAAAACCATCTCGAATAAAAAAAAAATTCCACTGCCAACATCGCCTTATCCGTTGTCTCGCGTTCTCCATTCAATACCCCAACGCTCTTGAATACAAATTGGAGTCACGTAATGACGTCACAACCGACGTTTTCAAAGACGAAAAACTTGCGAGTGAGATATTGAAGTGGAGACGCGTTAGACTCGTCTTTAAAAATTCACCGAGTATTTCCCTCAATTTTACGGCAAAAAAAATTGTCGAAAATATCACCAATACACAGTGCTGCACCCCAGAGTGGAAGGATTACGTGTTGTGATAGATGAACGCGTGACAGTGGCTGTTAAAAATATAAAAAACAATTGTTAATGCAACGAATATGTGACACGCGCCGCGGATTATAGCACCACTGTGTGTCAACTCCCTCTCTCCCCCCTCTCCCTCCCCCTCACCCCTCATTCGCATATTCACAAAGTTGAATAACAAACAAAATCGGAGAGATAAATTTCGTATTTTCACTGGGATCGCTCATTTTTAAACAAGTAACACTGGGCGATTTATCATTTTCACTAGCCGAAATATGGCCGGTAAGTAGTAACGCGATGATCGGATGTATTGTTGTTAAATTCGGGGTAACAGTGCAGTTATGGTAAATTTCTCTGAATCTCCAACCACCTTGCTGGTGCCGGTGGCTGTGGACGAAGGTTAAGCCTCCCCATCCCCACCCAATTCTCAATTATTCTCCGTCAATTACTCAATTAGTGATTCTGCGCTCTGCGGGGCATCGCATTTCGAGAAAATTTCAGCTGCAATGTCTCAACGTTTATTTTATTTCGGTTAAACAATAATATTCGTATTCCATTGGCCTTTCTTTTCTTGTGCTGCCCCTTCCGCTCCGCACAACTCCAGCGACAATAGTCAGTCCCTCCATCCCTCCGCCATCACGCGTACCACGGCCTGGTGCAGATGTGTCCGTCGACGACGAGGACCGAGTGACGGTGGCGGCCTAAAAAATAAACCTATTACGTTGAAAACAGCACAGTGACAAATAGGAGCCAAGAGAATTTCCTTAATATTTCAATGATCCACGAGATGGATTGCGGCGAGACATCAAGTAACCATAACCAATCTTTGTATTGTTCTCGGTTTAGTTTTTTTTTTTATTCTGCAAAGAATGCAGAATTGATGCCGTGGATTTTTCAAACGTGATGGTGATTTCTTGAGTGAGAGATGTTGTTTCGGAGTTTTGGGGGCTCTTTGAGGGAGGGGTTTTGGGGCTCTTGTCATTGTTGATGATTATATTTTGTTATTGGGGGAATTGGGGCACTCGGCTGTGGATAACCCCTAATTCTTACCACGCGTCCAACTCCTGTGGCCTTGTTTCGATCTCTCAGGGGCTCATCGTCGCGAAGTGGGGTTTTTCGATCGATTTGGGCTTTTAGTCTTCGGGGGGCTTTTGGGGGGGACACTGGGGCGAGCCATTCATGGGTGTTTTTTGACATTGTTGCAGGCAATGGTGACATACAGTGGTGTTTCTCGCAGGTGAAGGGAACCCTCGAGGACGACGTCACCGATGGTAAGGCTTGTGCTCACATTTTTCAAGTTTTTGGGGATATTCAGGGCTTGGGAATGGTATTTGCGAGGATTTTTTGGATAATTGCTCTTACGGACGACTGCAGAAAAAAGCCTGGAAATGTTTTTCAGAAAAAAAAAATACTGGGGAGGATGTGGGAAAAGATTAACAGGAAATCTGTAGAATTCGGTGGAAAATTTTATTGAAAAATTCCAGATAAACTGAAGGCTCTTTGTTCAGTAGAAGTCCAAGGGAAATATTCCATTGAGAAAATCAATAGAACACGATTTTTCTGCACAATTATTCTAGGGAAATTGTTTCTACGGAAATTACTCGGCTCAAATTTTTTAATTTTTTTTTGTTTATTTTTTTTATGAAAATGGACGAAAAATGGAGGGAGAAATATTTGGGAAATTCATATCGAGGAATTTCTAGAGAATGTTTCAATAGAAAAAATATAGTATAGAAGATGAAACTCTATTGTTTTTTTTCTGTAAAACAGTTTCTATTGGGAATTTTTTATTTGAAAAATGAAAATTGTAAGGCTTCTGCTCCATTTAAACATTTTTTTTTTATTGGAATTAAGAATCTGGAACTGGTATTTGCGAAGATTCTGACATTTCCTAGAGGATTCTATTGGATTTGCATTGAAATTTTTTTCAGTTTTTGGCCGATTTTATTGAATAATTCCGCAGCTTATCTCAGAGTTCTTTTTCCTGTTTATCCGTTCATCTCCCAAAAAAAATCCTGGACATCTCTAAAAAATAAAATCGAAGCAGAAAAAAAAACATCTCGTTTAATAATTACAGAATAATAATTACAGTGACTCTTCGTTTTATTAAACTTGACGAAAATTCCAGGACAAGATGTCCCTTGACAGTATATCCCAAAAAAATCTTTCACATCTTCCCGAAAAAATATAATCCAATGGGAAGTACAAAAATCAAGAAAAAATAAAACAGAAAAAATGAAAACATCTCAATGTCAAGCAAAAGCAAAATTACAATTACCATCAATTTTCGTTTTGTTAAAATTGAGGGTTTGGGACTGGCATTTGCGTAGAGTGCTTCGTTTGTGTAGCTATGATGCTGCGATATCTTATCGTTACTACCAAAATGATGCCAGTGTAGCCTTCGCTTGTTGACATTTTTAGCGAGATTAGGATGGGGAATTTATGGGATACATACTGGAGACGTTTTTCGGCTCGTCTCCATGGATTTTTTGTTTTGTTTGGGAGATTTGCAAATTGGTCGGAGGTGGGTCATGCAGTATAATGTTATTGATCTGTTGCAGCTGATATAATCTCTTGTGTTGAGTTTAACCACGATGGCGATCTACTTGCTACCGGGGACAAAGGCGGTAGAGTCGTTATTTTTCAACGTGATCCGATTGTAAGTTTATGAATATTTAAATTTTTTGGAAAAATTTTTTTTGAATTTTTTTTGAGAATTCGAATGCGGCTATTAGGGGAGGGTGGGGTAAAATGGACACTTTCGACTTTTTTTCAATTGTTCATAACTCAGAAACAAATTTATCAATTGAGCTCAGTTTAGACTCGTCACAAAGGGAAAGAATTGTTCTTTGTATTGAAAAAAAAAATTATTAAATTTCATCAACATTTCAACCCCTCATTAACATTTTAAAAAAAGTCAAAAGTGACCGTCTTACCCCAACCTCCCCTACTCGAATTTAAAAGAATGTTCAATTAAAAAAGATAATAATTATAATTATGCACAATTATTTTCTAAATTTCAGAGTAAAAATAGTATACCCCGAAGAGGTGAATACAACGTGTACAGTACATTTCAGAGCCACGAGCCAGAATTTGATTACCTGAAGTCCCTCGAGATTGAGGAGAAAATAAATAAAATAAGATGGTTGAAGAGAAAAAATCCAGCCCACTTTTTACTGTCAACGAATGACAAAACAATTAAACTGTGGAAGGTCAGTGAACGAGACAAGAAGGTTGAGGGTTACAACACGAAGGAGGAGAGTGGGGTGATGCGTGATCCTGCTTGTATCACTGCCTTGAGGGTGAGATGACAGTTTAATTCTAATTGATTGGAGTGATGATGAGTAATGAGACTCACTCATCGGGGTTTAATTGTTTTTTTTTCTATGTGACAACTAGGTTCCCACGATTAAGCCAACGGAGTTGACGGTCGAGGCGTCACCGAGGAGAATATTTGCCAATGCACACACATACCATATTAACAGTATAAGTGTCAATAGCGACCAGGAGACATACCTCAGTGCCGATGATCTTAGAATTAATCTCTGGCACCTCGAGATCACTGATCAGAGTTTTAGTAAGTTGTTTCATTTTTTAAAGCATTCTGCATTAATTCCCTTTTGTTATTATTCAACTACAGTTTTTTAAAAATTTCTTTCTTGTAAATAAATAATGGGAATTGTCTACACTTGTACTTTTTCCCAACGATTCGAAGTAAAGAATCAAATTGGGACCTTCAAAGTGTGAATAATAAACTCATTGATTATTTATTCGAGGGTCAAATGGGGCTGAAAGAAATTATGTTTAAAAAAAGTGGAATATTTGAGAAATATTATTCATAATTTACAATTTGTTAACTTACAGATATTGTAGACATTAAACCAACCAATATGGAGGAACTAACGGAGGTAATAACGGCAGCAGAATTTCACCCAGTCGAATGTAATTTACTCGTGTACAGCAGCAGTAAAGGTACGATAAGATTGTGCGACATGAGATCAGCTGCACTATGCGATCGTCATAGTAAACTATTTGAGGAGCCCGAGGATCCGACAAATAGGAGCTTCTTCTCGGAAATTATTTCTAGTATAAGTGACGTCAAGTTAAGCAATTCCGGCCGTTATATGATCAGCAGAGACTACCTCAGTGTCAAAGTGTGGGATTTACACATGGAGACTAAACCAATCGAGTGTTATCCTGTAAGCAAATTAATCCTCAATCAATTTTGGGAGAAAATTATTCAGTGAAAATAACGGAATTATGGGGAAATAATCGAATGTGATTTTTCAAGGTTCACGAGTATTTGAGATCAAAATTGTGCTCGTTGTACGAGAACGACTGTATTTTCGATAAATTCGAGTGCTGCTGGAGCGGCAATGACTCTGCGATAATGACTGGCTCGTACAACAATTTCTTCCGTGTATTTGATCGTGCGACGAAACGTGATTTAACACTCGAAGCAGCACGCGACATTGCCAAGCCAAAAACACTTCTGAAACCACGTAAAGTAAGTGGAATTTTATTCATGACCCAATTTTATGCTTTTCTTTCTTTTATTTAAGGATCTCAAGTAGTTTGACTATTTTTTCTCCTGAGAAATTCTTTTATACTTTTTTATTCAAACATTAGAGCTTTCATTTGAGCCCCATTTGACCCTAAGTTTCCGGACATTGCACAATGATTTTATTTTATTAAAGAGTTGGAAATCATTTTAAAAATCTAAAAAAAATAAAAAGTTTAAGTTCAATCATTTTTAAATTGCAATAATTGCATTAATTCTACAAAATATAATTTTAATGACGTTGAACATTCACGATTTTTTTCAAATTTTTCTAACGGAATTTAATTGACAAATTTGAGGATGGAAAGAAAAATGTTTTATTTTTTTTAAATAATTCATAAATATAAAGTCAGCATTGATGATGTTAATTTGTTGTTGCTAGAGATCAGATGCATCAGATAGTTTTTCGATTGAATTGAAAATCGTGATTGTGAAGTTTTTTCTCAACATTTTCGTTCCACTTCTCTAACTGTACTCCTTGCACTTTCCAAGTCAAATATTGATTGTTTGGTGTCGTTGCAAGTATATACATATCTAATACTCGATATTTATGTTCTGTGCAGGTATGTACAGGTGGTAAACGTAAGAAAGACGAAATAAGTGTCGACTGCCTGGACTTTAACAAAAAGATACTCCATACTGCATGGCATCCCTCGGAAAATGTTGTTGCTGTTGCGGCGACGAACAACTTATTCCTGTTTCAGGACAAACTCTAGCACATTTGCGTACAGGTGATTGGAAAGTCGTAAAATATTTGCAATTCTTGAGAAGCCACAGATTTTTCAAAGTGATGAAACAAAACATCAAAATGTTACACAAATTTATTCCACTTGTGCAAAATACATTTCATAAATATCTCTCTTATGCAAAAAAACCCCTTTATCAAATTTTCAAATCAATTCACACTCAATAATTCTTCTTTCTCTTCCCACAGATTATTCAACGCTATATCCTGACGTGAATGTGTCGTACAGAGTTGGAAATTTTGAAACAAACCGAAAAAAAAAACACGAAAAATGAAAAAAAAAAAAAATTAAAAATCCGCCGGTCAAGCACTTTGAGTATTCCCGGCTTATTTTCTTTGCGGATGGATGAGTGTCAATCTCAGATTGTCTGACACGAGAGGAAAACCCCCCGATTTAACGAGAAAGAGAGCTGATTAACATTAATGAATACTCGCGCACATGCTGCACACGTGCATAAAAGACATTGCCCTAGGGTCTACCGAGACAAATAGCTGATAAAGGAATACGTAAATTCATACTGAGAATCAAAAAATTAATTAGAGAGCACAATTATTGTTTTTTCATTTGTACTCTTGTGTGCGTGCACGAGTGTCCGGAGTTATGATGCCCGGCGTCTCAGTAATGATCTGTCAGTTTCCTCCGTGCATCCGTAGAATGAGAAAAATGGTAAAAAAAAATTAATTATTAAAGTGGAAAAACACTCAGTAAGAAGAAACAATGGGCCGTGGACGCTGTGTGTCCGTAAGCCACGATAGCAAATTAATTTAATCCTCATCAAGCGTCTCATCCCCTAGTTTTTACAATTTTATTTTTCTTTTTTTTTTTGGTCATGATCACACTTCATGTACACCACACCGGGCATCATCTATTAACTTCGTCGTTGATTTAGGGGACAGTGGGGCGAAATGGGAGCTTGACATCTTTTGAAATGTCAATAATTTTTTTCCCCTCGTGGAAAGGACAATTGTTTCTCTTTGTGATGAGCCCCGACTGACTTAAATTGATACATTTGTTCCTGAATTATAAGCATTGTTGAAAGTTAAGAGTGCCCATTTTACCCCACTCTTCTCTGTTATCTTCAAATGGTAGCAATGAAATTGTGAAAACTTTTTTTTACGAACAAATGTGGAAATTTATTTATCTCATCGATATCAATTTGTTTCTATGTAGGGCCTACATCAGCACACATTTTTATTTTTATAATAAAAGAGTGAATATGAGAGTAATAATGTATGGTTTAATCACGATGAACGGTTTGGCCGTGTGTGGTGTTCGCCTGTCCATTTACATTTCATTCATTGTAAGAGATTTTTTTCCTTCTTTTCGTGAGCGATAATTGAAAATTTTTGAAATGAGATCGTGGTGAATAGCGCAATGCGTGAATTATAATGAATTGTATAAAATAATGAAGAAAAAAATCTGTTTTTAATGGTATGGATCATTTTTATTTTTGAATCTCAGTTTTTCTCCTCGTTTTCGAGTTATTTTTTTGTTCAAGTTTGAGAGACATTGGGGGACCTGCGGGAATGGGGCTTTGTTGATGGAGGTTCTGGCTCAATGGGTGTCGCTCAGTGCGGCTGTTCAATTATTGCGAAATCGAGTTGTGCAGACGCGAAGTGTGCTGTTGTAATACGTGAGCTGTAATTTTCTATCGCAAGGAGAATATATGGACAAAGTATTTCAATGAGTATTTAAAGTTTTCGTTTTTGGTGAAGTGTTTAGAGCATGATGCGAAGGTTTTAGGAATGAAGTGGTGAAATATGAACGGATTTATTAATTTTTCCATATTTTTTTATATGAAATTGACCCAATCGTAATTTTCATTATGAATTTTCAATCAAAAAATAAATACTTAGCCGCCAATGAGGAAGAATTTTTAATTGATTGAATAATTCGTGGTATAATTGAGTTGAAATTTACAGTTTTAATTGAGTTTATCATCAGCTTTTTAATCTTCAATGACGAAATTCTTTGGAATTTCACTTGATAAAAATGTCCAGGCAAATTCGCAATTTTAGCCAGTTTTAAAAATTTTTTCCAAGGAAACTCTCAAGTCTCGATTAGCCGGCATTCTTCGTCTCAAATGCGTCGAGATTGTCTCATTTTACCACTTCATTACAAAATTATCTCCATTAGACCTAACTCTCTCGTTTCTCTTCCTCCCCTAATCTCTAAAATTTTTTGTCACCAAATACTTTACATCCCTTAAAGAACACATAAAAATCTATCGAATCTGCTTATGTCAGGGCGGAAGGTAAGTTTTTTCCCCCGAAATCCCCATCGGACCCAAAAAACCAAATTAAAATGACTCGCCCGTGTACTTCCGCTCTCCTGACCCACAAAACCGTGACTTCTTCATCTCGTACTTGGCTCCCGAGCCAACACCATTGTGATATACATAATTACGTGTTAATATAACGAATTTAGATAAACATGAAAGGAAGAATGGCCCGAGAGAAATGAATTTCCATAAATCCTAGCAGTATTTTGTTTCCGTTGGAGAATCGCGAGGTGCACATTCCCATGCAGCAATACAACAAAAATACCAACAATTATGTCAGCGCATATTACGTAAGATATATTCATGTGCTATTGTAGTTGATACCCGAGACGAGAAGTAGATTCCTTTTCGTCGTTAAAAATTCTGTTTATAAGTGGATGAAAAAAAAGTATAAGAAATACGAGACACTAATTTGTACAATGCTTTATAATAAAAATATGATGAAGCAACACTGAATGGCCCATTCCAATCAATTTTATAAAACATTTTATTAACAATCATCATCAATGATTGACTTAGACCTCTTAAAAACAATCTATTAAATCTAAAACAGCTGCTTTTTTTATATACAATAAATTATTAGTGAGAATTATTGACACGGGGACTTGATAAGTGCTGATCAAGTTCAATTAGCAGTTATGGCTGGGCCCAGTTGACGCATAAGTTCGTAGCACTCCTGCAGCCTCTTACGATCTCCTATTCTCTCGAGTGTCTTGGCTGCTTCAGCGAGCATTCCAGCTCGTTCACCAGGCGAGGCCAGCAGCAGGGCTGGCAGGTGTCGACAGGCAAGACACAGGGCGGCTGCGTGCTCTCGTTCCCCAGTCGCATTCTCCTGCGATCGATCTTTACCACAGATTATGGAGGATCGGGAGTTTCTGTGGTGGAGACTACGGTCTAGAAGTATTTGGGTTTTTACTGGGGCTGCACCGGCCATTATTCTTGCTGTCGCCTCGTACAGGAAAATTCTTGGGAGAACCGACTGAAAATCGAGGGAATTCCATTAACAAAACGTTAATTCAATTTAATATTCAGTATTACTAATTCTTAATCATTAATATATTGATTCATATATCATTCAATTAACAATAATTTATTAATACATAATTCATCAATATATTACTTAATTGATATATTAATGAATTATGAAATTAATTATCATGGACTGAATGATTTTAAAAATACATTAATTAATCATTATTACATTAATGATTTTTTTGAATCATTAATGTTTCAATGATTTGAATTTCAATTTTTGTTGGAAATTTCGCCAGTTATGAAAAGAGTCTCTCAAAATAGGTCCTTTAATAGTTAAAAAATGATGAGAATGACTCGTCTCGTTTTACTATTAATTGGAGAAAATAGTTGATAATTACAGGAATGTCTCGACTGAGTTTTCTCAGACGTGCCAAGTCATGTTGGAATCCAGCGAGGAAAGTGCTAGTTGTCGTAGGTGTTGGGCTTGTCTGGCTGTCCCACAGCTCCTGCCACAGAATAGTCCTCAACTCCAGGAGCCAGTCACAGAGCCACAAGTGAACGAGCTAGATGTCAAAAAAATTGTAGCATTCAACATTTCAACCCCATGAGATGCAACTATCCGCAATTAAAAAATTCTATTTTTCACACATAATTATTCCACTTCGTTGCAACGATTAGATTGCCCTGAGGGGCTAGCGGAAGGAGCGATGATTAAAAATTGGAAAGAAAAAATCTATACGGCAATGGAAAGAACTATTTATTATGTCTACAACGATTGGATTTATAAATCTCTTTTTATTGAATGGAATTATGAAATAAGAGAATTGAATGGGAAATACTAGACCCGTATTTTCTTTATTAATAATGTCTTCATCGATTTTAGTATCTTGCAGTCTAATTAATTATTGAAGAAGTGGTGAAACGAGATAATTGAATTCTATTGAAAATTTAGCGTTTACTGACCCTCTCGACTGTAAAAAACCCCAACATCATAATCATTTCGTTTCATGCTATCGCCCTTGCACTGAACCGTCAAAGGCCTTCTTAATTCAAAATTTAACATTTCATGGAAAAATCAATGGAAACTTTAAATTTCAGGCTGAGTATTCCTAGAAAATCAGCCAAAATCCGGAAAAATCAAGTAAAAAATGTTCTCTAATTTGCAATGAATTGAAAATTCAGCATTCTATGATACTGACTATTGTTGTCATTGAAAATTCAAGTAATTTGAGTAATTGTCGTCGTTCTGCTGCTCAAAAACGTGCAATTCCCCCTGCAATTTGAAATTTGATGATTTATCCCCACTAAATCTAATAATAAATATCACTCCCCTGATATCATTGCCCAGCTAACAGTGCAAAAACCTCCCTCCGCTCCCAGCAACGTACGTCTTGTCCCCAGGGGATTATTTCACCCCAGGACCAACTAAAACCATTTCTACCAATCTACCATCTCATCCTCTCCAAGTCGATAAATCCTGCCACAGGAGTTGCACTGTAGAAGTATTGCACCGCCACTTATCATGCAATGCAACTACAATGCACACTCGTAACAGGCTCAAGCTACCAGAGCCAGAATGAATGTCCCCCCAAACCCCAAACCTCAAACCCCAAACCCACCTGAACATTCTGGGACGGCTGCTGCTTGCAGTGATAATACACCAACGAGTGTTCCAGATGCCTCCCAGCCTGATCGATGAGCCTGATGGAGCTCCTGCTGCCGGGTCTCTTAGCAGCCTGAACAACACAGAGAACAGCATGAGGCAGAGGGCTGCCCCCCGAGCTCTCATTGAAGTTCCTCTCATACGGGAATTTCGTCTCAGCCATGGTCCAGGGTGTGGAGTCCTCCTCCCCGAGTCTCCAGCAGGCAGCAGCCCAGAGGACAGCCCCCCACCACAGGCCGACAGCATCCTCACAGGTCTCCTGGGTCCCCTCGTCCCCCGAGAAATGGCATTCAACGTCAGCCGAGTCAATGACAGCCTTCGACAGCTGTAGCATCGCCGAGGCATGAGCATCCCCATTGGCAGCAGTTCCAGCAACTAATTTCAGACACTGACTGATCAAGTGCTCCCTGTAGGCCCTCGCAGCAAAGGACAGGGCGTCAGTTCTGCTCCCCTGCGACGTAAACTCATCATGAGACTTACTGTCCCTGACATTTCCCGACGAAATAGCTGAAACACTGGACCCACCACTGCCAGGACTCTTGCTGTCAACAGGACTCGTGGATTGAACTGCTGGCCTCGAGTACTGCCACTTGTTGGAGGTGAGGAACCTGAGGCCCTCCTCAGTCATCAGCCACTTGAATTTAGGAGGAACAACTGGTAGACTCGACAACAGAGCCTTTCCCTTCGAGACGTAGTACTTGTGTACGAGAGGAAACATTGACTGCTTGAAGGCCAGTGCTGCATTGATGTAGATCTCAGTGAGACAGATCCTGTTGATGTTCTCACCAGCAGCTTCAGCGTAGTTCACCGAGGACAGCGCCAGGAACAGCGTCCCCTCCCTCAGGCCCTGGGACAACCGAAGACTCAGGATCCTCTCGTAGGTAATAGCCAGCTCTGCTGCTGACGTTTCAGCCTGATTCCTCTCGCTCCTCTCAGACAGCCATTTCCTAACGTTCAACACCCACCTCCCTATCCACAGCTTGTGGAGAACCTGGCGAACAATCTGCCAGAGTGTTGCCATGTAGATTTCAAGCCTCGATGAGGGGAGGGAACGCCCGAAGTAACGGAGACAGTGGCCAAGGTCTGACTGGGCCTTTGCATTCTCATTCAGTGACATGTTGAATTCAGCCTGACGTCGCCAGCGACGCAGCTCCAGGAAGGTCTTGCTCTCGGTGGGAATCACAGGGTCTCCATAGACTATCAATCTGCAGAGGCCCCCAGCCAGAAGCAGAATATTAATAAACCAGACGATCATGTTCTCCAAACTCCACATCGTTCTGTTCGTGAAGTACTCCTCGCTCTCCCTTCCCTCCTCATGTCTCAGGATGGTTCTTCCGTCCACTCGAGTTGCTGCGTAATCCTCTTGGGAGAACGAAAGCCTTCCAAAATTGTGCATCACAATCCCCAGGGGATTGAACGCCAGGAAAATCAGGAGGAATGCACAGAGAGTGAGACGAGTGTTGTCCCTCAATCCTGAGATGGTTTTGGGGGATATCGAGGGGGTTCTGTCGCTCATCAACGGGTGCTGGAGCCCCTCGGGCTCCTCCTTGATTGACGCAGGCGAAGCAGGAGACAGTGGGGGCATCGTGGGGACTGGAGACAGCGAAGGCTCGCTCGTGTCAGACCTCGGTGGTGTCAGTTCTCCAATGGACAGCAGCTCCCTCAGGTTCTGCCTCTGCGCTGTCATCTTCAGGGTCATGTTCTCCGCTTTCAGTTTAGCATTTGAGTTCTGGAGGAATCTTATGTAGTCTATGGTCTTCCTGAGAATGGCTGATTTGTTGAGCTTAGCGTCCACTCCCACGATCATGTTCTTCAGCTCGATTATCTTGTCGTTTATGGAGGTCCTGTATCGCCGCTCGATTGCGTTGTGAGCACTTCGCTTCACCTCTCGCACCTTGGGGACACCCAGGGGCACTCCGTTAGTGCTTATTCGGTTTATCTGGACCTTGTCGGTGTCCAGGACCACTGGAATACCCGTCGCCAGGACTGTGCCGTTGGCTGTGTTCACCAGGGTGTGGATCTGGTGGGGGACTGGGGTTGAGGTGACTGTTTGCGAGCCTCGGGGGTAAACCACGGATTCGGACTTTATGAGTTTTGCTGGCAGCAGGAGCTGGCGTTGGTGACCTGCCACTGGGGCCAGCGTCACCACTGGGGATTGAACGTTGAAGTTGACGTTTTGGGGGATTGTGTACTGCTGGGAGGTGAATACTGCCGGGGCTGGCTGCTGCAGGACTGATATCCTCTGGGGACGCTGGCTCGGCGCCACTGGGGCCTCCGTCTGCTGACCTGGGGGCTGGGGCAGCGGGGAGGCCTGCTGGGGGGACTGCTTTCGGGTGGAGGCTTCTGCTGGGGGTATCATTATCATGTTGGGCTCCACGAATTTGTCCAGGATGTCTTCTTCCTTGAAGGAGGTCACGTTGCCTGATGTCATCGTTAGGAAGTCAAAATCACTCTCCATGGGGATTGGCTCACCCAGGTCCGAGAGGAAGGTCTCGTCACTGAAGAGGTTCTCGTTCTTCATCAGCTCGCTTTCACAGTTTTTTAGTAAATCTGGAAGTTATGAAATCATCTCCAATTGCTGTTCAGTTTTACATAGCTGTGGAGTCTCCGAAAATTATGATTCTACAATCAAAAGAACGATGAACAAAAGCTGAACATTTTCTATGAGCGTTCTGGAATAATATTGGGGAATAAAGCCAATAGGGAGGAAATTGCAAGCTAATAATTTGACGTAGCTAATGGCTGTGCGAGACAACTGCATAATTCGCTCCATTAAATTAAAAAAATATATATTATTTTTGTAAATAAAATTATTCATCTATCCAAGAGTGTTTTAAAAAGTCCCCCAAAAATCCGTAAAAAAAATTTTGAAAAATCTATTCTCCTGACGAAATCATCGACATAAAGATAAAAATGTTTTCAAAATTCAAGATGTTATTTTTATCTCTTGACGAACCTATTGACAAATACAAAAATATAATATTATTTCTGTAAATAAAATTATTCACTATTCAAGGGTGTTGTAAAAATTCTCCCAAAAATCGATAAACAAATTTTTTAAAAATCCATTCTCTCAAACAAATCACTGACACGCAGATAAACTGTTTTCAAATTAAAATGTTATTTTTATCTCTCGGAAAACCTATTGACGCGTGCAAATGCCACTTGCAATTGAGGAATGCTCCAAAATAACAGAATAAATTAACCCCACTAATTAAACAAAATATAACGCCAACAACGTACCATCGAATCCCGTCATTTCATTGAGATTGAAGCTATCACTAGCTTGAAAAGTGGGAAATTCGTTGCTCTCGTGGACCGGAGCCCAGGCCCCTGAGTCCGCCATCGTGTCCCAAACCCCCGATTTCCCCAGTCACTGACACGCTCCAGTTCTCAATTAGCACCAAAAACGTCCAATAACCATCAGCTGTTTCCACTCCTCAATGGCAAGCCATTGTCATTTCAATATCCCGGTATAATCCACAAAATTTCGGGGGTAATGGTACGTCTGGGGATTTGTGCGACACAAACTAAGAAGCAAAGACCAAAAAAATTACAAACGATCATACGACCTCGACAACAACCAATCGCTGGGCCTACACGAGGATCAGACGATATTGCGTCACAATGGAATCACTATATCTATATCTACGAGAACGTGTGCACACCACGGACTGAATGACCATCCTCACAGGCATCTCAACACAAAAGTCAGAAATATTGCGAGGTGTGTCAAGAGAGGGCGCCAGAGCACCGAAAATTATGAAGATAAAGACCCGATCAATTAGCCCCTCATGTATAGATATTCCAAATTTTTATTTTTTTCCTCATTGAAGTAGTTTTGAAGCAAAATTGCGAGCTAATAAAAAACATTTGCTAGTTAGTACTTTTTTTTTAATAAATTTTTGAAAAATCACCCCTGAAAAAAAGGCGTTATCCCCCCTATTTCATTATTTCCAAAAAAATTTATCACCAATCGGTAGCAAATTGTTTGAAGTTTTTGCGAGTTAAGAAAAAATCGTCAATGCATTCCTATTATTGTGTAAATTAACAATTCCAATTTCAATTGAAAACCTGAGTTGATGACCAGAATTTATAGCAGAGATGTCAGACAAGATGTGAATGTTTTTTTTGGCTCAAATGAAAGAGCGGGTCGAGAAATGGCGTGCAGAAGTCTTTAAAGATGACAAATCTCTCTAAAGATGATGTCTGTTTTCAATTGAAAAGCGCAATTGTGACAACATTTTCCAGTGGGTTCTAGGAGTCTCCCCTGGTTCAACACCATCTTTAGAGGTCCTAGCACGCCATTTCTCGACCCGCTCTTTCGTTTGAGCTCAAAAAAACATTCATATCTTGTCTGATATCTTTGCTACAAACTCGGGTCTACAACTCGGGCCTTCAATTGAAGGCCCGAGTTGTAGGCCCGAGTTTGTAGCAAAGATGTCAGACAAGATATGAATGTTTTTTTGAGCTCAAACGAAAGAGCGGGTCGAGAAATGGCGTGCTAGGACCTCTAAAGATGGTGTTGAACCAGGGGAGACTCCTAGAACCCACTGGAAAATGTTGTCACAATTGCGCTTTTCAATTGAAAACAGACATCATCTTTAGAGAGATTTGTCATCTTTAAAGACTTCTGCACGCCATTTCTCGACCCGCTCTTTCATTTGAGCTCAAAAAAACATTCATATCTTGTCTGACATCGCTGCTACAAACTCGGGCCTACAACTCGGGCCTTCAATTGAAGGCCCGAGTTGTAGGCCCGAGTTTGTAGCAGCGATGTCAGACAAGATATGAATGTTTTTTTGAGCTCAAATGAAAGAGCGGGTCGAGAAATGGCGTGCAGAAGTCTTTAAAGATGACAAATCTCTCTAAAGATGATGTCTGTTTTCAATTGAAAAGCGCAATTGTGACAACATTTTCCAGTGGGTTCTAGGAGTCTCCCCTGGTTCAACACCATCTTTAGAGGTCCTAGCACGCCATTTCTCGACCCGCTCTTTCGTTTGAGCTCAAAAAAACATTCATATCTTGTCTGACATCTTTGCTACAAACTCGGGTCTTCAACTCGGCCTTACAATATTGAAGGCCCGAGTTGTAGACCCGAGTTTGTAGCAGCGATGTCAGACAAGATATGAATGTTTTTTTGAGCTCAAATGAAAGAGCGGGTCGAGAAATGGCGTGCTAGGACCTCTAAAGATGGTGTTGAACCAGGGGAGACTCCTAGAACCCACTGGAAAATGTTGTCACAATTGCGCTTTTCAATTGAAAACAGACATCATCTTTAGAGAGATTTGTCATCTTTAAAGACTTCTGCACGCCATTTCTCGACCCGCTCTTTCGTTTGAGCTCAAAAAAACATTCATATCTTGTCTGACTTCGCTGCTACAAACTCTGGTTATCAACTCTGGTTTTCAGTTGAAATTGGAATTGTTAATCTACACAATAATAGAATTGCACTGACGATTTTTTCTTAACTCGCAAAAATCTTCAAACAATTTGCTATCGATTGGTGACAAAAATTTTTGGAAATAATGAAATAGAGGGGATAACCCCTTTTTTCAGAGGTGATTTTTCAAAAATTTATTTTAAAAAAAGTACTAACTAGCAAATGTTTTTTATTAGCTCGCAATTTTCTTCAAAACTACTTCAATGAGGAAAAAAATAAAAATTTTGGATATCTATACATGAGGGGCTAATTGATTGGATCTGAAGATAATGAGGCAGAAGAGTGTAGATGGCGCCATATTGCTCTGTTCACCTGGTGCCAATTTTTTTTCAATTTTTTTGTATGGCAATAAAAAAAAAGTAGATAATGAGGTCTCACATAAATGAAGCAAAGATAAACAAACTATATTTATTCAGTCAAACACTTATTAATTAATCTTTTAATACAAAAGTTGGAACGCCATTTATTAATTCCTTTCCCCGAATAAATTCCCCTCCGCGCCATGAAAACTTGATTGTTTTTTAACGAGGAATAAATATCGCGAAATCTCCAGGAAGCCATTCCTCCAAAAGAACAAAACAATCGTCCACCTCCGCGAATTCCCCTCCCCTCAACACGTAAACAAAGAAGAAAATCTTGAAAACGAGAATATTTCTAATTATCGAAGTGAATGAATCAAAAAATCCCTTAACAAACGAAAAAAAATCGAACAGAACAATTCACATTTTTTCCTACAAAGTTCTATTTTTCATTCGATTATTCATAATAATATCAAAAACTGTTATTATATTTAACTGAAAAGAATGATTATTATTTCAAATAATTGATTTTTCAGTTTTATAATTATTATATTCTATTATTATTACTCTTATTATTATTATTATTTGTATTATTATTATCACAGGTATATGAAATACCAATAATAATAATACGAAGCTAACCCAGGAATTTACAATGAAATCCAATTAATTCTAACATCATCACTTTGATTATCCATCAATTAATTTGCCTCAATCTACTTAATTTTACCTAAATTTCCCTCTTCACCACAAAAAATTAACTATTTATTAACAAGAAGAAATATCCCAAAGTCTCCAATAAGACGTTTTTCAGCGAATACCCCCTCCCCGCCGCGCGTAAACAAAAAACGCCTGCATTTGACTCCAGTTGTCAGTATTTACGTGTTCTCCGGCACGACAGCACCGTTCCAACGGGATTGGCCAATTCCTCGGTTAGTGCCTCGGTTATTCTGACGTTAAACTTGGTGAGAGTGGGGTCGCCCAGCGCACTGTTGACGTTTCTTCAAAACAAAGCAACGTCTGTCGGCTCGCGAGCATTTTATCCCGATAACCCGTGGCAAGTGCGTCGTCCGCCGTTGAACTCAGTCTGAAAATCACTGAACAAATTATTTCATCCGCATTCTCGGTGTCCCTGGATTACCGCCTCCCGTAGTCGCGTGAACCCGTAAAATTCAGTTGATAATAAGCAGACGATCACCAACTGTTTTGTTGTTTTGTTGTTGAGGGAGTGAAGTGCAGACGAGGGAAATGTCGTCGACGGCGAAATTCACGTCGGACGAGAGTCTCGGCGGTGAGTACTGCGGAGCAACATTTTTTCAACTCCCCTCGCAATTTTTTCATGGCGGTACGTGGCTTTCACTGGGACACAGCTGTCACTTTCAGACCGCCATTTCGCGTGGTCTTGCATTCGCGATTTTACCCGCCTAGACGCCGACGTAAACAAATCCCCAACTTCTGCGCCGCAAATGAAAGAGTTCATTGGGGTTCTCTGTCTCGCTCTTGGTACACGGGTAGATCGATGCGCAATTGAAAAAAAATAGAAATTCCGATGCAAGCGTTAATTGATGGGATAATAAATAATTGTTTTTCACCTGCGGAGATTCGTTGTGATGAGAACAAATGAGGGACGCGTTTCGGAGCTGCAGGGATTTTAGGTGCGAATAAAAAATTTTTGGTAGTTTTTTTTGCGGGAATTTTTCTCAACTTTCTTTTTTAGTTGAATGGAAAATAGGCATTTCCATGGAACTGTTAATTGATGTGTTTCGGATTGCAGGAATTTTAGGCGCGAATAAAATTATTTTTTATGTGCATTGTTGAATAAAAAAAGGAAATTCCGATGCAAGCGTTAATTGATGGGACAATAAATAATTCGTTTTTCTTCTGCGGAGATTCGTCGTGATGAGAAGAAATGAGGGGCGCGTTTCGGAGCTGCAGGGATTTTTGGTGCGAATAGAATATTTTTATTATTTTTTTTGTGGGAATTTTTCTCAACTTTCTTTTTTAGTTGAATGGAAAATAGGCATTTCGATGCAGCTGTTAATTCATGTGTTTCGGATTGCAGGAATTTTCGGCGCGAATAAAATTATTTTTTATGTGCATTGTTGAATAAAAAAAGGAAATTCCGATGCAAGCGTTAATTGATGGGACAATAAATAATTTGTTTTTCTTCTGCGGAGATTCGTCGTGATGAGAACAAATGAGGGGCGCGTTTCGGAGCTGCAGGGATTTTAGGTGCGAATAGAATATTTTTATTATTTTTTTGTGGGAATTTTTCTCAACTTTCTTTTTTAGTTGAATGGAAAATAGGCATTTCGATGCAGCTGTTAATTAATATGGTTATAATAAGGAATTTGGTTTTTCCGGCGGAAATACGTGATGGGAAAAATGAGAGATGTGTTTCGGAGCTGCGGGAATTTTAGGTGCGAACAAATTTTTTTAAATTTTTTTTGTTGAAATTCTTCTTATCATTGTTTTTCAGTTGAATAAAAAGTAGTCGTCTCGATGGGACTGTTAATTGATGTCGTTATAGTAAATAGTTTTTTTTTGTGGAGATACGGGGTGAGAACAAGGAAATTCCGATGCAACTGTTCATTGATATTGCGATAATAAATCATTGTTTGTTTTTTGGAAATGCGGACTGATAAGAAAAAATGAGAGATTTGTTTCGTAGCTTCAGGAGTTATTGTTGCAAATGAGAGAGTCGTTAAAATTCTCCAAGAGATTTGCAATCGCATAAAAAAACAAAAACTCCGATGCAAATGTCGAATGAAGGGGTTAATAACAGTAAATCGAGCAGGTTTTTTTTATCTGTGCGTCAGTGGCGGAAAAATTAAGAATGCGTTTAGTAGCTTCAAACAAATTAATCGAGGATAACAAAATTTATGCCTTCTTTTAACGACAAAAATAATGGGATGCAAATGGAAGCGGTGAGAGGGTATGACGTGTTGCGCTTGAATGTTGACACGGGTTGATAAAAATGTCAAGCCTCGTGTGGTCGGACAATATCAATTAAATCAGTCAATCGTATCGGCCTTCCTCTTGGATTATCGATTCGCCCCGCACAATCCACCGGGAAAAAATATTTACTGCGACTATCGTTTTTTCGTCCCTCAACCCCTGTGATCCCCTCGCCATCGCCCTATTTAATCCCTGGCGCTTGTGCTCTGATTATCGGCATTTCTTGCCTAAGAATTACGTTGGCGCACGCCTCCATTTGGAGTTACGTATCAGAGTCCATCGCTCTCACCGAGAGCACTCGCCGCCTTCACTTTCCCTTCTTATTACGAGTCCTTACATTTTCGCTGTCATTAGTTTCGTTGGAGCCCTCATTACTTCCCCATGGTCTCAGATAAGATAAGCACTCATTACGCGATGCACTGGAATCTCAATGATAACGGAGTGTCATATGTCCACGAGTGCAGCGATGATAGAAAATGCGGGGGGTCGTATAACTTNGGGGGGGGGGGGTCACGCTCACGACCTTGATCACGTTCTCATTCTTTTTCGCGATTTTTCCCACTGAAATCCGATTCTCTCATGCGTTCACTCGATACAATGCTAATAGCATCGGTCGAGCATTCGTCGATGATTGGAATTTCCGAGTGGTACGACACGAAATCGTCAGGCTTATCTATTCCCATCACTTTACATAAAGCAGGAAATTGAAATATGAAAATAATGCCGCGACGCAGGAAGCAACCGACCGGGTGTTGATTGCAGCTCAACGAAAATCGTGGAATCATTTTCTCGAGGGGAGAGTTCAAACGGTTGAGCAAAATGAACATTTTCGATTTTCCGAATGAGGGAATTATTGATGAAAGAGTTATTCATCACATTTTGAATGGAGTGTGATGGATTATTGGGGTATATTTAGTTTATAAGATGTGATCACGTGAAACTGACGTTTTTTTCAATTTTATTTCAGTAGTGAAGCGGTAAACCGAGTTAAGTCGATTTTGACTATTAGCTAGTTTTTGCTGAATATCTCGGAATCTAAGAGAGAAAGCAAAATTTTTCTTTTGACTTTTTTATAACGCTTTATTGGCTCTACAAAAAAGGTCATGACAAAAATCTTTCTATCTCTTTTAGATTCCGAGATATTCGTCAAAAACTAGCCAATAGTAAAAATCGACTTAACCCGGTTTACCGCTTCGCTACTGATTTCTATGTTCAACTTTGGTTTTCAATCTGAAACCAGAGGTATCAAAGTTAGGGATGCAACGGAGAAAACTGACCGGTCATTTTTACCGTCATTTGACGCGTCATTTGACGGTCACTGACCGAACGCAAATTTGTGACCATTTAGGTCATAAAAAAATGACAAAATTCTGTGTCACAAAAATGACCAAATACTTTTATGACGGTCACTTTGCATCTAGATAGACGCCACTCAATTTTTTTTTCTTTCGATGGGGTGACATTCGCCACTCATAAATGTGTAGTACGGTAGTACCTAGAGAGGGGCACATGACGTGTTAGACAGAGAAGAGTTGAGAACAGGATCCTTTCTCTCTCTGTCTCAACTCTCTAGGTATGATATATATGTCTATGGAGAGTGACGCGTAGTGGAAACATCGCTCCTCAACTGATCGGCTGATTCACNATCAAAGTTGCCACATCTGCTGTGAACTCTGGTTTTCAATTAAAAACAGACATCATCTTTAGAGACATTTGTCATGTTTAGAGACCCTAGCACGCCATTTCTCGACTCGCTCTTTCATATCCCTCTCATGATGTTTCAATATTTAAAGAGCTGAAGACAAACTTTTCACGTTCAACATTCACCTTTGTTCTTCCCAACAAATTCACCCCATTGTTATTCTGTAATTACTCTCCTCCCTGGGAAAATATTCATTATTTTCCGTCCATGCGGCACGTACTACCAGAAGTAAAAGGGAACAAAAATAAAACCATGATACGATTAAATGCTAAATTTAGTCGTACCCACGTAGTCTGTAGGAGGAAGATATGCTGAAGTGAGATGAAGTATATCCGTTTGGGTGTGCCTGGGGTTTATCGTGCGTGCTCTCAGTATTGTTTATGCACATCCCAAGCATTGAGGAGTGGAGAAGAAAAACTCAGTCCAATGCTGAATTCCAAGATCCCTCAGAATTCTTCCACGTCCTTAACACGTTTCATAAAATTTCAAATTTCGAATTCATGCTTAATTAAAATTGCACTGTTTTCTTGGAAAAGGCTGTTGATTTAGTCTTAATCGTCAGATAATATCATAAATAATTGACTCCGAAATAACCAATTGGGAGAACTTTTGTGGGAGTCAATGAATTTTTAGTAAAAAATATCCCTCGATATCCCAACGCGTTTTACGAAATTAAAATTTAAATCTATAACTGTTCTCATCTCCGTGATGTTCATTAATAATAGGAGGGTCAAAGGATATTGGAGAAATAATCACGACGTCGATTAAATTGTCATAGTGCGACGTTTCGCTAAATTATTTTAGCTTCATCAGGCGCTGGAAAAACAAAGATTGAGAATAATCCCGGTTCCCCTCCTACCGCATCCAAATTCCATCCATTCATTTCCTGTGACGTCACAAAGATGTGGAACGCTGTATAAATTCCCTTCTTTAATGTAATTTATTATTAAAATTTAAAATTCATGTTTAATTTGAAGGACATTAGGTGGGAGGAAGTGTAACGTGAAAGGATGCACGCGATCGAGCTAGCGCTTGGCACGGCTACGTGACTGATGTCAGGGAACGTCAGACACGTGTGCTGCTACGCGTCACTACTTGCTACGTTTAGTATACAAATAAGAAGACACTGCTTTCAATTTAGTTTTTTTGTCTCGCTTGTCCTTGAATGGAGAAGCCATCGCGAACAATACGCGTCTTTGTTAATTATTTTTAACTCGGGGAAAAATCATTTCTTTCTTTAAACATTGCAACTTGGCTTGAGAAAGGATGAAAGAAGTCAACGGCGAATTAGTTCTAAACGCTCTTTGTTGAACTCTCGTCGTTGCCAATGAATACAAAACAAATATCCCAGACATCGCGTTGACTTTCTCCAACGATTCGAGATAATGTGAAGGCTGTGCAAGGAATAAATAGAGTGCAGACCATGAACTGGCAGCAATCAGAAAATATAACGAGTTTTTCCACGATGATAAAACGATCATTACCTCATTCGGTTATCGAACTGCATTTGCGCGACAACAGACAGCCTTCAGCCTAGAACAAGCTCAAGTTGACTGAACTCGTTCGTTATTCAGTGGAAAATTCGCATTGTTGGGAGGCCTCGGGAGTAAAAAAGCAACTCTTGAAATGAGGAAAAAACTTTGCGGCGTGAATTCTCAGTCCAGGGGGATGGGAAAATCTGGAGGACAGCTTGAACAATTTGTAATTTATCTAGGAATTGGATGGACTGAGTTGAATCTGATGTGAGGACGATTAATAATTTTAAAAAACATTAAAGAAAGCGAATCCATCTGGCTTGGATACCCCTGCCCTCTGCCGCGAAGGGCTTTAAAATTGGCGGTGCCCCACCTCGCATTTTCAAACATTTTTTAGAACTATTTATCCTCCTCAGATCACCCTCAACTCACTTCATCCGTTTTTTATAAAGTGAGCAAATTTTTTAAGTCAACTTTCAATTTTTTTCATCCCCTTTTGGCTGAGAATTCATGACGCAAGGTTTTCCCTGTATCTCAATTGATATTTTTTACTCTCAAGGATTCTTACTCAAGTTCATTAAGTCGTGAGGACGTAAACAAACTGTTTGATAATCCTTCTGGAAAAAATTCTAAAGTCGTAACTAATTGCACAAATCTGTTCACCTTTTCTCAATCATTTCATTCGTCCTAACGAATATTTCGAGGATTTTTCCTCATGGATTTTTTTTTTCAGAATCATGGGTGGAATTGAACGCAGCTCCAGCTGACAGAGTGACACCCCTTCCATTCGGCAGTGGTGGCGAAGAGTACCTTCGTTTACTTCGCGAAGCCCAGCGTGACTCCACCCAATCATCAGCAAGGCATTCCCTGGCCTCATCCAGGAGAGACACCCCGAGGGACAGGTCAGACACAAAATAAATTATCCCAATATCTATCTGACTCTTGCGACCCCAATGACTAAAACCCATGCCTACATGCGTGACAAAATTCAATAGAAAACCTAGCGAATCCGCTAGAAAATTCTATTGGAATTCTATAGGAATTCTATTGAAAAATTCTACTCGTTTTTTGCCCTGATTGTGTTGCCTATAGGAAAAAGTCAATGTATGTTGAATTTCTTTTCGAATTTTTATCTTGAGATTTTTTCTATTAGAATTATTGGACACAAATTTTCCAAATTTTTTCTGCTGAATTGGATTTTGTTTTAATTACAGAATGCGAGTGGAAAAAACTTAGAAAACTGATGGCCAAGCATTCTTATTGAAAAAATCTCATGGGAAATATAATTCCAATAGAATACCTATAGGAAACCCGTAGAATTCCCATAGAATGCCAATAGAATTTTCTGGCGAATTCGCTAGGTTTTCTGTTGAATTTTTTCATACGTGTAATCCACGCCTCCAGTCGAAGTGCCTTGTCTCCGACATTTGCACATGGAGAAGTTTAAAGAAGGGCCGAGAATGACTCCCGTGAATTGAGAGTGAAAGATTTGTTGGAGTTTCTTTGTTGTTGATATCTCTGGCAAAGCGCTTTATCGGTGCAACAAAGGGAATTGAATCGAACGGAATATCAAATACTCTGCTTGTTCGTTTCAGCCCGAAGAGTCCACCTAACAGTCCGAATACTGAGCTATCAACTGATGACGATCTCAAAGGTGTCTACATAAATTATGGTTGCTGCAAGGTCAGTTTTTTTCGAGGGGAATAACTTTTAATTATCAATTTTATTGAATTTCCCTCGTAATAATTGCGACTGACCTTTGATGTGACAGAGTGAATCCCTAACAATTGACCATGATTCGAATGAAATGTAGGGAAAGAGTGGAACTGTGGTCCTCCAATAACATTCCCTAGTCAATAATATTGGGGTGGAAGAGCCCTTGCAATTCGTTTTCGAAAAATTACATTTTTGGGGATTTTCTTCAATGTAAATGAGACAAACTTGATTGTAATTCATTGATTTCATTCAGCTAAATTTTATGGATTGGATAATTCTCAAATCAAGTACTAGCCTTTCTCCTTTAGCTCCCAGTTTACTTCGCAATTCATATCATGTTTTATCTCCATATCTCACAATGTCAATATTTGATATGAATATCAATGGAAATCAACAATTTTTCTGCAACTGTTTTTCTGAAGAAGAAAATTGCGGGTGTATTTTCATCCATAATCAATAATTCCGTTATCCTTTCTCTTTATCCCCTCTGCGAAATTATTTCTCGCGCGCGGAGTCGTCCTTGACTATAACAAAACCAACGTCAATGTCGTGGCCTGCTCATAATCGATTAACGTGTGTCCACTCAATTCGTATGCAACTGCAACTTTACATTTTCCAGAATAACCGAGAGTGGAGAGTGTGGCACAACTGATTCGTGGAATTTTCATATGCGTCACGTTTCTCCGAGGGGTCTTAGAACATGACTAAACGTTATTTCGTGTGTTGCACTGTTGTGGCCTTGGACTAATGCATTTGCCGGGCATCGATCAATTCACCTCTCAGCTCAAACGAAATGTTCATTTACAAAGTTCCATTTCACCTCGGTTTTTTAGGAAAATCTCCGAATCTAAAGGAGATAGCCGAATTTTTGTGGGAAGATTTTTTGTAGAGCGAATTGAGGGCTACAAAAACGGTCATGACAAAAAATTCGCTATCTCCACTAGATTTTGAGATATCCGTTGAAAACTGACCAATAGTCATAATAGACTTGAACCGTTTTACCGCTTCGCCCATTTGTTTTTCCCTGCATTGTTTTTCATCTCGAGTTTGTTGTTCACATTTGTGCGACTCACAAGTGCGCATCGCCACGTGTACAAACAAGAGTAGACGATATCAAGTGGATGAACAAATATAATGGTGTCGGGTGTCCCATTTCTAGACGTATTGTGCGTAATTTTTCTTTAATTGGTAACTGAAGATCCGTGTTTACCTGGTTGCACACCTGAGGTAGATTATCGTGTAGATAGGCATTTAAGGAACTTTATTCGTGCAATTTTTTCTCTGTATCGAATTTGGATTGAATTTATTGCATTCTCATTTCTTTATTTTCATGAATTGTGGGAAGTGAACTTGTTGCACAGAATTTGAAACACCCAACGTGGTGTGATGTCAGGGAACTTTTTATAACTGACGATAATTTCTTGAGGTTTTATGGTCTTTTGAAAGAACAGAGCAGGCAGCTTTTATTATTTGACAACTGAATTTAACAGCGAAGTGGAGTAACAGGGAATTTTGTGTTTTGACACAACAATTTTAGAAAGATATTTTGAAATTTGTAGAATATTAGCCATTGGAGGGACTCACAATTGGGGTTTTGAATGATATTTCATTATTTTTGAATAGGAATATCGAATTTGATTTATTGAATACGATTTTAATTCTGATAAATAGTGGAAAATGCAATTGTAGGTGATTTAGGAATTCTCATTGTGACATCATGCAGATGTTCATAGTTTACTTTAGTTATTTGAAAGTTCTCATTACTCAGTTATCGTATTTCATCACCTCTTGACGACCATTTTCATGCAAATGTGAAATTGAATAGTGAAGCGGCACTAAATCCGTGAATTATTCTTGGAGAATATTAAAAAATCCAAGAGCTGCGGAAAAATTTCCGGGAGGCAATGAAAATTAATCATCTTCCTCAAATTCGCGAATGTGAAATAACTACTTACACATTCGCGAAGTGAATGCAAAACAGTGAAATTGTGCTTTCCCACATGTGTGGATAAAGAAATATTCCCATCATTCCGCCAAACCGGTCCTCCGCGATCTTTTCTTCTTCGAAGTGGTGGAGAAGAACGAAAAAAAAAATCCTCAAGTTATAATGACTCAGATGAAGTTGACCATGTTGAGTCAGAGGCGTTGTTGACGCTCGTGGCACAGATAGAACCGTATTTCCAGCCAATCATCGTCTTCGATCCACGCTCACGCCATCCGCGAAACCCGTTTCGAACGCCAACTCAACTCATCCATTCAATTAGAAAGACATGTGCTTGAAATGTTGTAAATACAGCAAGTTTCTCGGTGCATATTTATACTTCATGACATTGTATTATTTATTGAAGGCTATTAGCCTCAATTATTACATTTGACTGTGATTTCTCGGACGTTTTAGTCTAGAGGTGAAACTTATGAACTCTTTATCTCTGAATCTGATGGAGAAATGACAATTTTTATAAATAACTCTTTTGCAATTGTGGATAAACCCAAGCAGAAGGCCTTGCCAAAAATTTCGCTATTCCTTCTTAATTTAAAAATAGCCTTTAGAAATTAAGAGTACATTGAACTTGAAGTAGTTTTCAAGCGTTATTCTTCTGAATATCTCAGGATGGAATAGTGATGGAGAAATTTTTATCAGAAGTCTTTCTAAATCTAGCAAAATTCTATCTTCCGTCAATTCCGGGCTATTTCAGTAGCGAAAGGGCGAAACGATTCAAGTCGATTTAGACTTTCCCAGCTTTCAATGAATATCTCGAAATCTAAGAGCGATAGCAAAATTTTTGTTACGACCTTTTTTGTAGCGCCCAATTCGCTCTACAAAAAAGGTCATTACAAAAATTTCGTTATTTGCCTTAGATTCGGAGATATCCGTCGAAAATTCAGCATTTCTGTAAGAACTTTTCTCCCGGATTGATTCCCAATTAATTTTCCAATTAATTAATCTCCAAGAGCTGTTGTCAATATTAAATTAAACTCCCCAGGGATTTCCTGCAATTGACAGACAAGTCTCCATCATAACGTTTTTTAGTTGTCGACTTTCTCCCCAAAAAAGGTCGTCATAAAAATTTCACCAGATGTAACTGATATTGACGTGAACTCCATTGAACTCGTTTTACGACTTCCCAACTGATTTATGCGCATTCTCATCACGCTGCATCAAATTTAGTATCAAAACCCTCTCCAGTGCAGCTGCTAAACCTCCAGTTTGCGGATAAACGACACAGCAAAATACACTTTTGGTGCCAAGTTTCCATTCCCACGCAGTGAGAACGCACCTCAGCAATCCAAAGTTGTTTGACTGAGTTTTTAATTAAAGATGCCTAAAATAGACTCAACAGCTTATAAAGCCAGCAGTGAAGCGAGACAATTTTTCACTGTCTCACTTCATTTTTCCTTTTTTTTCTCTGCGACGCAATAAATTCCAACGACACGAGGTCACTCGCCCGGTCGCTTCTCTATATGTCCAGGATTGATATAGATTTTGAAAGGATTGTTGAGGGAAGATTTTTTTTTTTTGGCACTGGCCTCTATTTGAGTTGGAGATAAAGCCATTTGGAATAGAAGAAGAAGGAGATTTTTTTTCCTATTGTGTTCCGGTGAATCGCTCTGGTGATGCCGCAGAATTTTGCGCTGATAAGACTCGAAGCCGAAGATTATCGGCGCCTCGCTGGGGAAACGGAATTCATTAAGGCGCAATTGATTTTTTATTGATATTGATAATGAAGCTTCTGGTAATCGGAATTTTATTTGGTTGCAAGGATGCTGGGGACTTGCTGGAGAGGGGGTCCGAGTGGATGTACGACGAGTGGAGCTCACGCCCTGATCAAATCCCACCGAAGTGAGTTTAGTTCTTTGGGGAGGATATGAGTTTTGAGAAAATTGCACTGTTGGAGATTTTTTGTTGGGGCTCGGAATGAAACTTCGATGGCTCTCAAAATTTTTTTCAATTTATTTTTAGTATTTGATGATATTCTTTACTGCGATGCATTTTTCGGGATCAATTTGTAGTTAAGATTAAGATTAGTTAAGATTTTTAAATGTTGGAAAGCATTTTTAGAATTGCAAAAAATTGGCAAATCTAATTTTTGAGGGAGAATTATGAGAAAATTAAAATTTTGCAATTTGACACCCTAAAAAATTTTATCAGAAGTCGATCAGAGGAAAAAATAGATTTTTGAAAATTGTTCGAAAACTAGAAGTTTTTGCACTATTTCCTGATGATGCAGGCAGATTTAATTGATTTATCAGAGACTAATGTCCCATATTTTTCAGGGACTGGAAGTTCAAGCATCCACAGGGGATGTTCAAGAGGAAAACATACTCTATTCGAACTGCTAAAGTTGGGAAGAATGGACTATTCTCCAAGGAGGTTCTTTACACACTGTTTCTGTCCAATCTGCTGTCACTCCTCATTGGGACTGGATTTGGGTGAGTCCATTCGATTCACTATCGTCAATTTTATAGGGAAATTGTGAAGATGAAAAGCTCTCAATATTTTTTTCTGAATCGATCTACGAATTTATACGATCATTGAACGGAAATTAATGCTTAATTATCGATATGACGAAATTGTAAAAAAGATATCCCAACGAGAAAAATGTTGCTTTTTTCTGCTGATCGTCCTCTCTAAACCTTTTTCCCTGAAACATACAGTAAGAAGAAGATAGAAATAGAGTAATTTTATTCTTTTATCTTAGGGTTTGGCTGACAAGGCGAAGTATCCTGATTTCTCGTGTCGCCATCGAGTGAGTGGCGAACCCTCTCCACCGATGAAATTTCGAAAAGCTGAAATAAGTGGGACGACGGAGTTGTGAAAAGCCGAAAGAAAGATTGACATGAGAATATCTTAAAGAGGGGGATGAAAGAAAGACTGAGTGCCCGCGGGGAGTGAAGCCCATTTTTTAATGTAAGGAAAACTAATCACTCTGCACATCTATTCTGTAAAAGGAGCCCTCAGGACGCAACAAAAAACGGGACAAAAGTAGCCCACCTGCAGAGACATCACGACAATTACTGATTATTATTTTTTTAAAAAGCAATATCGTAGTTTTGGTTTGATTGTAGACTTATCATCTTTTCCCCGATCCACATTTTCCTCGCTTCAACGAGATGGTCTATATATTTTGGGGTGATAATGCTTGTTGATGATTTATCTTTGAAGATTGTTTATGAAAGTGAGAGAGATTGAGTCGAGATTGAAGATGAAAAACTATGAACATGTCCAATTTTATACAATTTCTATGAATGTTTCTATCTGCGATAGTATGGTAGGCGATAGCATGATTAGTATTTATGCATAATTTTTATTCATTACATGAGGAGTGAGGATTTAATGGGCTGGCATTGATTACCAATTATTTTTTCTGACGAGCCTTCTCTCGGTATTTTTTTCAATCGAAAAAAATTGAAGGAGGGAATGCAATGATTGGGAGTCATTAACTGAATTGAATGAGAGGCATGACCTCTAATTTCACTACGTAAATTACATTCTGTAATTTGAAATACTGTGGGTTATTTTTTTTTAATTTCTGAAGAGTCTATTCTCAAAAACTATTATTTCCATTTGTTGGTGGAGACCATTGGAGAATTTTCGTGTAATAAATTGGGTAATCAGTGCCACCAGTTCCCTCAAACAAATCGACGTTTACTGATTGCATTCGAAAATTTTCATATCTTTATTAATAATTCCTTCTCAATTCTGTGGGTTAATCTTGAAGGAAAATCAGCCTCAGGCGGTACAATTTGGTTTTCTCGATTTTTTTCTTTTTTTAATCATTCGTAATTATTATCGAATTAACATTTATTAAGATGTAATAGTCGTAATGTAAACTGTATATTTTAGTTCTTCCTCTAGTATACGGTGTTTGATGGGATAAACGGAGCAGAAATCGGTGAATAAATTGACGTTGGTCAACAGTCGTTTATCACATTGATTCATTCAATCTGACGTGAACGCCGGTTTTTATTTACTCTAAATTTTCATTCGAATATAGGTATAGTTTCGAGAAAATATATAACTTTGTGTTTTCACGGTTTGTTTGTAATTGCATATGGAAAATAAAGCATTTTGTAAATTTATAAATATCAATTTATGGATGAAAAACTAGTGGTACTTGATATGAGAAAGATTATTGAAATAAAAATTGCAGAAAGTATACTTTTTTGCTTGTTCTTTATTTATTTGTGGATAGATGTTTCATACAACATGCCTTGATATTTTCTTGAGAACGCATTGGAAATTGTCATTTAATCAACTGAATTTATCAACATAATTCCATATTCATAGTGAATATTATTATATATAATATACATTATAAATATTAATATATCATCTATAATACATTACTATATTAATCATAATATTAATAGGGGAGGGTAGGGTAAAATGGACACTTGAGGTTTTTAAAAATATCCATAACTCAGAAACAGATTTATCAATTGAGCTCAGTCTCAGCTCATCACAAAGAGGAATCATTGTTTTTCAATTGAAAAATAAAATGATTCCATTTCATAAACAATTCAACATGTCATGAATATTTCAAAAGTGCCCATTTTACCCTACACTCATAGCATATTATCATGTCCATTCAATTGAACCGTTTCCCGCCTAAGAGCGCCCCCTACCCCCTCGCCCAGCACTAAAATTTAAAATCTGCAGTCGAGAAATGTGTTGTGAAGCCGGTAGCATCGCCTCTCGCCCCCAAAGCACCGAAAACACCCCCTGAGAACCCCCAGTGCCCCACAATCGTCCCTCCCCTGCGCCATGGACAGCAGGAGCACCTCCAGAGACGACCTGGAGGCGTCGATAACCCTCCTGAACCAGGAGAACCTCCAACGTAAGTCCCTTTTGAGGTTAAGTACAAAAACAGCAACACCAAAGCGCATTTCCCTCCACCAGAGTGTCCTAACTCGAAAGAACCCCGAGGTCGCCCAGGCCTCTAGCTTCTCCCTGACCCCAGTGAAGAATGACACCTCAGAGGTCGACCTCTCGCTGTCCCTGCGGCCCTCAGAGCTCGCCAAATACTCGAAACTCTACAATCTCTCGAGCCAGGACTCTCTGGACGCCTCCATGAGCCTCAACCGGAGCAACTGGTCCCTCCACGAGATGATGGACGACAGTGCAGCCACAGGGATCATCCTCAAGTCCGACAAGCCCTGGAGGAAAGCCAACTCGAAGCTCTACCAGGAGTTCCTGGAGATTGTCCAGTCGCACGCCTCAGAGCTCCAGATATTCGACACTATCGCAGACTTCATCCAGATCTGCACAGACACGCTGGAGATAATGAGGGGAATGCAGTCCAAGGTGAACGACGCTGAACTCTCCGAGGAGGAGGTCAGTCTTGAGAACGAGAGGAACACCTGGAGGCTGATCTACTGTCTCTATCAGAACCGTTTGGCTTCTGTTAATTATCAGAGCGAGATGGAGACTGATGTCAACAGGAATATCTCTGAGAAGGACGTCATCGCCAATCTTCTGAAGAATGAGCCTCAGGTAGGTGGGAGTATAATGAGTTGAGGGAATAGTCAATCATTTTTAGTGGGAGATAGGGTGACCTTCAAGGCCTTTTACATTCACGTAGTAGTGCCAATGACACTGGCTGGGAGTTATAAAAATGAACTTATCAGGATGCAAGCTATCATTACCAATCTCAATATACCATTTTGTCGATTTTGTTTAGGTAGAATATTGATTGATTAAATTTATTTCATAAATTTTTGGAATGAATTATTCGATGTAAATTTTTAATTGAAATGGTGAATTCATTTTATAAATTTTAAGTGGTTGATATTCTTTATGTCACAGAAGTAGGGGAGCTTGAATTATTAATATTTTGAAAAGTCTCTATATTGCCCCACTCTCTCCTGTTTAAAGTGATATAAACATGACTCGAATTTTGAAGATTAAAATGTAGAAAAAAATTCGAAATGCCAGAAAAAATAAATAGAAATTACACTGATAGAAAAAATGGGAGGATTTAGTTGGTGTTAAAGAGGCGTTTTAATTATTCGTACCAGTTGTTAACAATTAACGAATGATGTTAACAGTTAAAAATCCTCGTAAACGTCAACTAAATCATTCTATGAGTGCCCTAAACTACACGCGATTATTTTTTCCAGCAAAGATATTCTCGAAATGAATAGAATAATTTCAAATAGAGTTTTATTTGATTCAAATGCGCCATTAGTCTTGAATTTAACCATTGCATTCTATATATTCAACTCGAAAAAATGGGAGTTACGTGAATTCATTTCTCATTTGTTTGAAAAACTGAATTAATACCAATCTTACCTTTCAATCCTCTCACGCCTGCCCCCAGGTCCGCGAGTACCAACTAATAATCGACTGGCTGGAGAAGAACGCAGTGGACCAGGCGGCAATGCTCCCAAAGATCGAGTACTTCACCGACAAAACAGTAGCCTGGGAGAACACCCTCCACCAGCTCCAGAACCGCCAGACCGGCATATCCTTCAGCTCAGTTCGTCCCCTGGTGACGTGCCTGGACCCAGACGCCCCGATCCGCGAGGGCAAGCCCCTGCACGATCTCGACAAAGAGGACGACACAAGACTCGAGAAAAGAATGTTCATAGAAGTGAGATGTGGACGTCTCCAGCGAGCCCAGGAGCTGGCAATTCACTGTGGCCAGCCCTGGCGGGCAGCTTGCCTGATCGGTTGGCAGCCCCACCACGACCCCAACTACCAGAGCCCCTTGACAGACACCAAACTCCCCATCGAGGGCAATCCCAACAGATCCCTCTGGAAGTTGAACGCCTGGTACCTGTCCCAGGACAACAGATTTGGGGCTTTCTATCGTGGGATCTACGCGAGTCTCTGTGGGAACCTGAAGCAGTTGCTGGCACTCTCCACCTCCTGGCAGGACGCCCTCTGGTCCCACGTGAAGACCCTCATGGATGTCGAGGTTGAGTCCGAGCTCCAGGGAATTATGGCGAAGAACTACGTGAAACTCCCTGAGGAGTACTGGAAGTCCAGGATGACTCTGGAGGACGTCTTCGACAATCTCCAAGCCTCCAACGACCCCGGCATAAGGAGGGAGGCCATGAGGCCCGATCACCTCATCCAGAAGTACCTCATTCTCGATCAGATCCCGAAGCTCATGGAGATCGTCGAGGGCTGGATTGAGAACACTCATTGCAGTCCTCAGTTCATAAGGTTTCTTGCTCATCTTGTCCTGCTGTTCAGGCAGATTGGGAAGAGCTCCGATGATACTGTTGGCAACAAGGTGCTGCTGAAGTATGTCAAAGTGCTGATTGAGATTGGGGATCCAACGCTCATTGCGTTCTACACGGCTAGTCTACCTCAGCAGGAGCAGATTGACAATTATGCTGGGTATCTGGAGGGCGTCAGGGAGTTTGAGGTGAGGAAGCTGTGTCTCACTGCTGCTGAGGACGCCAATTTGAATGTTGAGGCTATTACGAAACTCGTGGTTGAGAATGTGAGGGGGAAGAATGTTGATGAGGGGGTGGATTGTGAACTCAGTGGGAGGATCACTGAGGCCGATGTCGAGAAGATTGAGGCCCTGGACTGGCTCACTTTCTATCAGAGCCAGAGGGATGAAGCTCTCTGGCAGGCTAATGCACTCATTCGGTAGGTGAAGTTTTTTGCGGGGAACGTGGGCTTCATGGGGTTGTTTAATGGATATATTCGTTCGCCTTCGTATGTAATGCGAGAAAAATAAGGATTGGTGGAAATTAATGGGGGACTTTTGTCAGACTAGTCAAGAAGGAATTAATTGAGGAATAGAAATGGAAGACTCGTTTGGTATTCATAATGATGGAGGGAGAATTGGAAAATAATAGCCTAGAACGGTGACTCGTGTTAGTAATTTAGTAATTTTAGTAAAATAAGACTGGCCAGTTCTATTCAAAAGATTGAGAAAATTCAGAAAATTATTGAAATTTTGTTATTCAGATTAACAAGGAGGATAACAAATATTAACGAAAAATTAATTGAGGAATAAAATATTAACAATACCGTCCAGTTCTCTTAAAATTATTAAAATGCATTCCTTGGAGTTATTCATGCATTCTTAATTTTTTGGAAAAATGTGGAACTGTTGATCTCAATTGTTAATCCACTTGAAAATTAAATTGAATGAAATGTTCAATTTTCCCATTGAATTTTAAAATCTGTAAACTATTTGATTCGAAATGGATTCAAAGGCTAATGCAGTTGTTAATTAAATTAAAAAAATTCTAACAGTTATTATTCCTTCAAATTCGTTTTCCTCTTGCTTTTCATCTTTTCATTACCGTTAAAACCCTCACAGGTATTTCCTGACTTGCGAAAAGATCGATGCTGCCAGGAAGGCTTTCAACAAAATCCCTGCTGATTCAATCGAGGTCATTATGATGGAGCATCCCTCGATGGAGACAACTGTCTCTCAAGTTACAATGACCAATGAGATTCTTTACAAGGCTTCGGCGTCTATCCGGGAGTATCTGTGTTACAAGGCTTACTTGGACGCTCAGGAGGGCTTTCAAGAGTGGTTCTCGCATTTTCATCAGGGGAAGCCCTCACCGTTGGAGACACTACCCTCTTTTGCTACCTTCACTGAGAAAGTCGCTTATGATCACAGGAAGGCTCAGTATGAGGCGGAGATGGAGAGGTGGAAGTGCACTATGCAGCATCATACGAAGGTAGGGATGAGATCTCTCGTTGTTACTTTATTCATTAAACAGGAAGGCATTCTTTATTATTGTATTGAATTTTTTTCATATTCTATTTTACTTATTTTCATTATTTTGTTATTTATTATTCTTATTATCATTGTTATTATCATTTTTTGTTGAAAATTTCGGCAACTACGTCACATATCTCAACATTTGTCTCTGAAATCACTTGTTTTTAGGATAAATTCCATTGTTTGTATAATACTTTCCAATGTTTGATTTGATTTTCACGTTTTGTTTGTTAGATTGTCTCAATGAAGACTGAATTTAAGGATTAAGTTTACTTTTGGCAGAAGATTGATGAAATAATTAAGAAATTGCTTTTGGGAAATTACGAGTATTTTCTCTAAATAAAAATCATTTGTCCGGAATCGTAATAAATTTATTGATATTCAGAATTTTACCAGAAATCGACATCACGCCTGAAAAAATAATAATTGATGACGCGGAATATTCATGATTTTTTTCAAACTTTCTCACGCGATTTAGTTGACAAAATTGATGATTGGAAACGATACCAAACTATAAAAAATACTTGATATCCTTAAGGAGAAGTCAAGATATTTTTGATGGATAATGGATTATCTGGTGGGAGTAAAATTCTCAAGCCATTTTCCTCTGTAACGCCTCATTTTCCAGATGAATTCCGTTAATTCAATTCATCATTCAGTTGTTGTCATCTTACTAAATATAAAATTATCACCACAAAAAATTGAAATGGGAAAGAAAGTCAAGTAAATTATTCGTCATAAATACCTTCACCAGTAAAAAAGGCCCTGGAGATTATCAATTTAGACAAATTCATCATTTTGTCCTTCAGGCTGTCAAACAACTACTCTTCAACGTTCTCCTCTTCCCGGACGGAGGTTGGCTAGTCGATAAAGGTCCCGACACTCTGGGTGAGCGTCCAGACTACGCCCTCCGTCAGCACCAGCTGAAAAAGCTCAGGAACCTCTGCATTCCCAAAGTGACTCTTCTCCTCCTAAACGTAATGTCCGAGATGAATGAGCATGCAGGTTGCATTGAGCTCGCCGACACAATAGCCTCAGAGCAGTACAAACTGTACCAAGTATTCTCCAAGGAGCGCATTCGCGAGGTCTACAGGAAGATCTGCGAGTCGTCAGTGGCCCTGATGGACCAGAAGAAGGACCCCTGGGGCTACCCAAGATGATACCAATAATTCACCCCTCATTTTCATTCACTCACAATCAGTTGAGTTTACAAAACGATTCTTTTTTATTGTCAACCACACAAAGTGAATATAAAATTTTCATACATTTGTTAATTAATGGTAATTATAATCATCGATAACTTGTAATAATGAAGAAATTAATGATAATAATAACAGTGGAATGAATACAACGAGTTATTTTTCATTTTATATTGAGGATTTTAAACACTGACTGAAGCTTATCGGAAATTTTTCCACTCGATTTTTCTTTCGTTTTGATGAATTCATACGCTAATTATTCTATAATTTCAATGTTGTTGAACTGAATTAGCCTACTGTGCTCTGATAAATGGCTGGTTCGGGTCAGCATGGACGAAACAATTTTTCGTTCGTAGATTTTACACTTTTTTTAATCATTAAATTTCATTAACGACTGAATGAATTAATGCAGTTGACAATTATTGTACTTGATTACACATTGAGGGAGTTACAGGGAATTGTAATTGATAAAACGTCAACTGTGTCCTCAGTTATAGCAGTAGAAGGCGCACAAATGACGTGTGACAGTGCGTAACAGAATGAAAATTAATGGAAATTAAATCGTTGGGGAAACGATGGGAGGACGAATAAATTTTTTTCAATCTAACGCTAGTACGATATCCGAAGACGACTGCAACTGTCGAAAAGATCCTACGTTATACATATTATTGACAAAAATTCACTTCTTCATTAATCATTCTCCCCTCAATATTTCAGTGGTTTTTTTTTCAATTACCGAAGATCGAAAAGTTTGATCAACTACATTTAAACACGTTCCACCACCTTTTGATCCTCTTTAGTGTCTACGAGCGAGTAAAAAGCCTCAGGAGTTAATGGTACAATCACATGAATGCACGAGTGAAAAAATTTAGTGGGAAAACCTAGCGGTCTCTCTGAGAAATTCTCTTGAAGTTCTGTTGGAATTCTTTCAACAAAATTCTTTTCGCTTTTTGCGCCATTTCTATAGAAGACTAGGCAACTCTACTGGGGATTTTTTAGAGATATTTGGTAGAAAAAATCCGTGGTCTTTTATTTTTCCAAGTTTTTACTGCTGTTTTTATTTCAGCAGTAAAGGGTAAAACACTTTTAGCCATTTTAGAGCTCAACTGTGTGACCTAGCGTCATTTTTCATGGAATTAGCGCAAAAACAAATAGAATTTCTTAGAAAAAGCGCCAGGTTTTTCTATTGAATTTCTTCGCGCGTGTGATCCTTCGTTCGTAGTCACCGTACTAATTTCATTAAACAAATTCCACGCGTAAAAACATTGTCTCATTCTTCCACCGACGTTTTTGAACATTGAAATATTTATACAGTGACCCTGCCTCGCTTTATTGTCTCGTTAATGAAGTCAACACGGTGACTGGAGACTTCTGCCTTTTTTGAAAATCAATCCTTTTTACAGTTTATTGAGTATGATATATGTATAGCAAAAGACGTTATCGCTTATTGTCTACACGATAAATTCTGGGTTTAATTTCTTCAATTTCTCACTTTCGTAAGAAGCTAGCGACCCTGGACATTGATGGGCTGCCTCGGGGGTGGGTTTGAATTTCTCCGAAGGATTGTGGATTGATATATTTAATGATATTTTTTAGGCTCGTCATTGGTTGGGATTTTGTTCGGTGTGAAGTGAAAATTTATTGGATGTTGATTTTTTTATTTTACTTCATTTATTCTTTTGACATTTTTTCTATGGAAATTTTTATGCATGAAGTTGTGATTTTTTTTCCTGGATTTTGTAATGAGAAACAAAGTATTGAGAGTAAAGGAATTTCTGCAAAAACAGAAAGAATTTTTTATGGAATCTCAGTAGAATTTTTTACATTTTAGGTTTTAGTTTTTAGGTTTCTCAATTAAATATTTTCATAAGAAGAAGATGTAGTTATGGGAATTTGTCAATGTTTTTCTGTAAAAATTCTTGCGCATTAATTCTGAAATTTTTCTCCCTTGAATTCTGTATTGAGATGAGAAAAAAATTAAGGGGAAAAACTTAGAATATTCTTATTCAAGAATCTCGTCTAAAAAAACTCTTCTGATATCTTGTTCCTAAACTTTATCAACATTCCTCAATTATTTCCCCACTTCGCCTCGAATACCCCAATTTCCTAATAGATTCCCTTGGAATTTGATATTTTTTCTCCTTCAGAGATCACCTCTGGAAGCAGCCCCACCCGATTAATCGTCCGGGCCGTCATATACACGACTGACATGTCATTTTATTGTCAATTTCACAGAAGTAGGAGATTTATTCCGCTTACACCCTAAATAGATTTATATTTATCTTGTATATATATCTTTATTCCTTACTCCTAAATCAATTAACTTATCCTGAAATATGTTTTCTTCTTCCACATTTTTATTTGTCAAAGTTGAGGAGAAATTTTACTTTCATTGGTTTATTACGGGAATTATTGTCCGTTAAATTTAATCCGTATTGTCTCATTCCAAATTTTTACACATTAACAATGAATTTAAGAATATTGGTAGATTCGTGCCTGTTGGATACGCTTATTGTCGAATCGTACAGCTATTTCAGTAAGCTTAGGATCTTAAATGTTATGTATACCACGTATTTGAAAGTTTCACTTCACTGGATGATCCATAATTTTTACCCCACGATACGTCAAAGAAACAGCTAGAGTTTTAAAAAATGTTCTTTTAACTCTGAATTTTTAAATCGATATCTAGGTCGTGAGGACTGGATAGTATTCATTAGTCATTAAAGCCTGCAAATTTCGAGAACGACCCACTGGGAACCTTGGATGGACACTCGGTTGGTAGTTTTGACGATTGATTTATTGAACAGCGGAATAAAACGTGAGAAATCTAGTTGTTGATAATTATACTTATTTGTCTAATTTGATTATGTATTCCTTTGATTTCTTGGTTGATAGCTTTATCCTCGCTTCAGGACTGTCTGGAAGACGTTAATAATGAGAATTTTTTTCCACATTTCTTTTTTCTGTGATTTCAACAGTTTTGATTGCTGCATTTCTCTCGGGAACAACTGGTTTTGAGAGGAAATGTCAAAAGACTTTTTTTGTAGTTGAAGAAGTTTTCCATGAAAAATGTTTTTTGACATTTTCTGTTTGAACTATTACACTGTTGAGAATTCTTGGTTGAAATCTTTGCTACAATCTTGGGAATCTTTATCATGTGGTAGTTACAACTGGATTTTCAAGGGATTTCGTAACTGAAGATTCAAATTTTATGGAAAAATTGGAGGAATATGTCAATTTTATTTAAGCTATTCCATGAAAATTCAATTCAGGTCAATATATTCACGAAAATTCCACTAAATTGATAAGTCAGGTGAATATATTTCAGAATTTCCAATTCATTCAAAATGCAGCGTAATTGGTACTCGACATTTCTGCTTGATACAAAAATAAAGTAAGGAAATTCTCATCATTTTGCAGCTAAAGAATTTGAAATTTCATTGAATTCTCTGTGAAATCTGAAATTTCACTATTTTTCCCCCCTAATAAAATTCAATGCCACTCTCCCAGAAATGACTAATCAATTTTTTTCATTTTCCAACAATGTAGTTGCCAAGACAATAGCAACCTAGATTGAAATGTGAAAAAACGCCTTGTTGTCCTTGAAATTCTCACCAATAACCGTCCCCACCAACAATTAGGCTCAACAATCCAATTGGTCGTCCCAAAAAATTATCCCCCAATAATAACTCCAATCGAAAACCCAACGAATCCGAATAAGTGAGACATGAAATCCTGCACCCAAGGCACGTTTTATACTTTCACTCTGTTGAAGTAAGGTCCACACATCTAGACATTACATTACTATTTCTCCAATACATCACTTCATAACCATCATATTCCATTCACGACAGATATTGATGCTATGATAAATGTGTATCAATAAATGTTTATAATTAATTACTCTCGATAATAATCGGACATGAACGTCGGAGCGACATCACATCCTTACTTTCTTCAATGTTTTATGTTCAAATTGATTATACATACTCATTATTGTCAAACAGACAGCATTTTATCTTGTTTCCTCAATCGTATAGATTCTCTATCGATTTTACCCCTTATCAATATATATCTTTAATTATAAAATTATTATTAAAATCATTCTCTAATTATTTTGTGCAAAAATTTACACCATTTCACAGTGATTTCCACTGGCATTCCACTCCCCATTGAAAAAAAAATGATTTATCAAATTTTTGTTTAATTTTACAATTAATCAATTCTTTCATTAATACTTTCAATTGTTGCTTTTGTTGAAGGAAAAATTGATAATCATCATTATTATTGTCAGAATCCGCTCGATATTGTCGATTACTTCGAGAATAAATTTTTAAAATCGAAAACGTGACATTTCGATGCAACTTTTATTGTCTGAGGGCCCTCAGTCCCTCACGTATTGTCGCGCTGCATCGAAAATCTTAGCTTCATATTCGTATTTTCCCTCTGATATTGTCAATAATTTCGATTGATTCTTCCCTCACTCGCGGACGTGTATAATTCAATAATCTCACCCCATCGCTCTCATCATTCCCCTTCCCTACAGTAATGTATGTATATATAATAATATGTATATATAATATATGTATAATAATAATATGAAATATTGAATCTGATAGGTCTTAAAAATATCTCGCCAATCCTCTGTATAGCCTTTCCATTTTACAGTTTGATTCTTACGCTAAGTACTTTCTTACAACCTTGAATTGCTTCAGATTTCCCTCAGTTACTTTATCTTATTCATTTTTGTTCGTCTGTGTTCTGTTATTTTCTGTGGCTTTAATTGTACGTTGCTGTATGAGTGGTTAATTCATATCGTCAACATCGTGCGAACCTGTCGATTCATCTCAGGAGGACGTAGAGGCTGATTAGCACAGTCATGAGAAAACTGGAGGCTGTTGCAGTGGTGCCACCGGTACCGTGACGAGAACTGTAACCGGATTCCCGGACGTTGATCTTCCAGCCGAGATTCTTGTGAGAGTAACACTGGAAGGTAATTATTAGATCAATAGAATTCAGGGAAATGGGCTTGAAAACTCTTGAACTGTTAATCATTTTTCTCTGACTTTTTTTTTATTTTTGAAGGTGTGAAATAAAGCTCTAGGGGAGCAGAGGTAAGTGGACTGAATGTTTTCCACTTGATCTTTACCCCAATCCTTTATTTTTGTTTCTCAACCAAAAATCTCGGTTTGTTAAGAACGATTTGCGATGAACTGAGTTAAAAAATTCACACAATCATTTTTCAAGCCAAAACATTTGTGAGACATAAAAAAAAGGCAGGACAATGGAATTCAGGGAAATGCACTTGGAAATTTCAAACTGTTATTCATTTTTTTTCTATTTCTCTAGGTGTGAGACATTAAACATTTCTCTACATTTAGAATCTCGGAAAATATAATTTCAAGTAAATACAATCTACAGGATTCTATAGGATTTCCGTAAATGATATTCGGATATGTCAATACGCATATTCTCTCTACGAATTATTTCTACACATGAATTTTCACATAAATTTTCGCTTTCCGAAATATCGCGACTCCATGCGAAATGTTTCTCTACCTGTGGCAGTGGGTCGTACAGGATCAAGCCAATAGAAATCGTATCGAAATAATTTCTACAAAAAATATCCATTTAGAAACATCCGAATATCAGATACGAAAATCCCAGAAATTCACTACGCAATCCGTGCAGAAATTTTCTCTCCGATTTTGTCATACTTCCAGTGCCCTAAAAAATAAAAAATAAATCCTCGTTCCTACCTGGTAGTAGACAAGATCGGGAGTGTCATCGGTGACCGTCCAGAGGAGTTTCGCCGGTTCCCCGGAGTCGCACTCAAGCCTGAGAGTTTCGAAGTAATTCTCGAACGTTGGTGATACCGAGCTCATGTCGATGGTCTTGTGGGCCCACTCGCAGTACCGCCCAGCGGCGGTCGGCTCTGGATACCCGTCGGGGCTGTACCTGACGCCCGCGAAAACCTTCTCGTTCATCTGCTGGGGCTCGCTCTTCTGTCCAAATCCGCCCTCGGGGCTGTCAGTGATGTAAAATGGGTGATAACGCGCGGGATTCGCCGGATTGTTTCCCCCCTCGACGACGAAGGTGTACGTCTGGCCCTTCTCAACTGTGATCTCGGGGATGAGAAGGTCGTTGATGTACCAGGCGATGCCCCAGGAAGGCTGGCCAGTGATCTTGGAGTAGCCCCTTTTGCCCCCGGTCGGGCCAATTCTAGCTGTGAAGTTGTTCTCGTCCATGATCATCGCTGGGGGCCAGGGGATCAGGTTGTCGTCGGGATCGTCTGGGAGGTTGTACAATGAGTTTGTGCACTCGTGGATGTGCCTCGAGGTAAAGTCAATGCGAATGTCCTCGACGTTCTTGTCGCCTGCCTCGTGGGCGTTCGCCTCCGCTCTGTCATTCAGCGCTCCGATGGCCACTATCACGCTTGTCTCACCGTTCTCTGGGATCATTCGGTCTGTTTCGGGCTCGTTTGTGCGCAGGGGACGCTTGTAAGTGACTGAAATAGTTTTTTTTGTTTAACGCTCGGGTGGATCTCTCGAACGTGATCTTGCATGTTTTTTTCATTTTGATAAGCGGAAATGAGCTCAAATTACTAGACTGTTGGACATTTTTTGAAATTTGTGTAAGAGGTGCAGTTGAATTTTCAATGGTCGGAAAGGGAATTCAATTGCAGAGTAAAGAGTCTCTAAAAATTATGATTGTACAAAAAGCTTAGCATTTTCAAAAAGCGTTTTTTAATGATATTGGGGAATAATGAATTAATGTGCCTGTCAGACCGTTAGTTACCATGATAAATTATCCATTTACTATTTCCTCTCTATCGGTCTTATTTCTTAATCTTTATTAAAAACGCTCTTCGAAAAGTCAATAGATTTCGGGTTTCTGTTGGGAATTTTCTCTTGAGATTTTTTCTATAAGAATGCTTGGGCATCAATTTTCCAGGTTTTTTCCACTCGGATTCTGTAATGCAAATTAAAACAAAATCCAGTGGAAAAACTTGGAAAATTTTTGCCCAATAATTTCTAATAGAAAAAATCTCAAGAGAAAAATTCCAACAGAAATTGCAAATGTATTGAATTTCTCTCATCGAATATCTGGTAGAATCCGCGCTAAAACAAATCGAATTTTTTAATAGAATTCTTGTAGAATTCCAATAGAATGTTCTAACGAATTCGCTAGATTTCCTATTGAATTTTTTCATACGTATACTTCCATATCGGGCTGTGCAATCCGATATTTGTAAGACGAATGACGATACAGAGCATTCCGAAATGTACATACCAGTGGTGATGCCATTCTTCCTCCCTCCATCGATCAAAACAACATCATTCCTGCCCCCGATCCTCTCATCGGCACAGACTCCTTTGCTGCCATCACACTGCGCCAAATCCGACATGTAGTAATCCTCAGCCATGAACTTCTTCTTCCTTTTGTCGTACCCAACAACCACCACATCACCACCTTCCATTTGTGCTTTACCCTCACGTCCAGATAGACCAAAGGCGACATACTGATCCTCCTTTATCCGTCCTGATACTCGAATCCATACGTCCTCACCCATAACTTCCCACTGTACTTGAACACGACCTTCCAATAATTCTTTGCAGTTGGTTAATTCCTGCCCACCGGGTCCTGACATACCGCCGATTGGAGGACTATTGCTCGTCTGTTATTATTATTGGAGAGAGAAAATCATTATTGAATGAAAGTGAATCGAATTGCGATGAGTTTTGTCACTGACGCAAAAATTGTAAATAATTGAACGCACTCGTTGATGAATGTAAATTTTTACCGAGTGAAGGCAAATATTTTTCTGGGGATACATCTCCAATTTTTAGGAATTCTCGATTAACTGGAATTACTCGGAGCTTTGGGGATTCAACCACTGAAATTTAAAGTGGAATTTTCCAAGATTTGGGATTTTTCCTGCGCGTAGAAAACGTGTAGAAAAATTTCATAGAAAAACTTGGGAGATTCGATAGAAAATTTGATTGGATTCTATTGAACTTTCTAGTAGGTTTCGTCCGACTCTATTTGCACGTTTTTTTCAATTGAGATGTTCAATGGGAAATATTCTGTAGAAGAAAATCAATAGAATTCGATTTTTGTGTAGTAATTCGTTGAGTCAAATTTCCGAACTTTTTTCGTTTGATTTTTAATTTAATGAAAGTGAAAGAAAAATAGAGTTGAAAAAAATTTCAAAGAAAATTCATGCCGTGGAATTCCTACAGGAAATGTTTCGAAAATTCTTCAACAGAATCAGTCAAAAACTAATGGAATTTTTGATAGAAGTCCAATAGAAATCCAATAGAATTTTCAATCGAATTCGTTAAGTTCCTCGTTCTTGGATTTGTCAGTCGTTCTATTTTAGAATGTCGTAGATTCAAAAAAACTGATTTCTTTCTCTGTGTAACGAATGCAATTGTCCAGCTCACATTCATCACAAGCGCCATTTGACAACTAGTGCGTTAATGTACTATTAATTCTGTGAACAACTGATTTTTTGTTGTTTTTTTCAAATAATTCTTTCACTTACGGGATTATACCACCATGGCGGCTATTCCAGAGTAAATTAGAAATATTTATTCAACTGAAATATGACTGCACAACTATATGGCGAAAGTCGATGAATTTACGAATTTCATGGAGAGTTGCCTACTAATTTTCAAGACAGTGACACTGAATGCGATTTAGGGGAAAAATCATAAAATTTCAGGTTTCACTGAAAACTCAGTAAAATTCCAGAATTTTAAGCAGCATAAAAACGACAATTCCTTAATTTATTTGAATTTCCAATCTAATATGAATATTCAGTGGCAAATTACTTCGAATTTTCTAAATGGCATTCAGTGTCTCTGCCCTAAAAATTTAAGAATACATTTACCGGATTTATCGGATTTTCTATTCATTTTCAGGGAAAAATGGAACTGAAATTTACAGCTCTGTTTGATTTTTCCTCGAAATTCTAAATTTTCAATGACGAAATTCCTTGAAATTTAAAAGTAATAAAATTCGATAAAAAAATTTAACAGCGCAGTGCAGTCGGTTTGAAGAATAACACATTTCTCTAGCACACAAAATGCTCAACAAAAAAGTTCTCTCGATGAATAAAAATTCAATTTCAAATGATTCAATAACTCACTGTAATTTTAGTCTGTCCCAACGCCGGCGGCACATCCAGATCTTTCGGTATCATCACATGTCCAAAATTATGTTTGTACTGGACACACCACACCGACAGCCAGTCAATATCAAACACCGTTAAATTTCCAGGCAGCACGATTTCAATATCCTCCCCCTGGTACCCTCGTAATTTCGTCAAGCTGAAAAATATCGGGATAAACATTCGGCATTACATTGATTGCAATTCCCCTCTCCTCCCCTCGCGTTTTTAATCGGCTTTACCTCCCAATTTCATTCGGAACCTTGGTGCCCATGATATTGGGCTCGGAGCCAGTTCCAACCCAGAAGTAGGCGTCCGGTCCTGCCCCGTCGTAATGCAAATTCGGTATATAAATCGTTTTGCTGTCCAGTATGCTGATGTTGCCGCTTCGCAGTCCGTGAGCGAGACGAGAGAACTCCGGGAGAATTCTGGGCTTCGGGATGTCTAGGTTCGGGGGTATTGCGATGTCGCCAAAGTCCACCTGAAAGGATGAAAAGAGAAAATCTCGTCAGACAAAGAGTTCATATATCTATTGGGAAGGGCGATCCATCATCCCGGCCTGTCTCCTGGGGATTTCCCCCTTCGATAAGTTGTCAGATCGTTAACGAATAAAGTCGGAATATTCGGGGGAATATTCGGCGCAGTCGGTCGCAAGTTTTTTCAAGTTTAGCATTAATTTTTCCTATTTTACTAGTGGACTGTGGTATCGCTGAGAAAGAAGTCATCACGAATGATGAGGGCAGGATATTTATTTATTTTAAAAAATAATTATTATAATAATTATAAATATTATTATTAATATTGTAATTATAAAATTATTTTATAATTATGATCATTATTTATTGTGTTGAATAATAATTATTATTACTATTATAAATAATAGTGATAAATAGTGGAATAGAATACTTTATTTCCTTGATGCTACTGTTACAGTTTTACATCTAATTGATAGCAGTTGAGCAAATATTAATATTGTTGGAATGTTGATTGATTAAGTGTATTTTATAAATTTTTAATGCTTAATATTCTTGATATCATGTAAGTAGGGGCGACTGGGGCAAAATGAACACCTGCTATCTCAGTTTTGAGGCTTTCGCGGCCATGATTATTAATTTCATTAATTAACCCTTTTGATATGATAGATAAATATGGATTTCCGGAATAAATTATAAATGATTTAATTTATTGTGTTCTCATTGTTTTGAACTCGCAATAACGTTTGAAATCAACCCCGGAGATCCCCAGAGTATTTCCTCCTCTTCCAGCTCATGTAAATATTGAAAAAGAAGGCATAGCAGTTAGTAAAAACCCCACAAAATTATGAATATTCTGTGTACTGAACTCCTCTCATTTTCATATGTCAATAATCTCTGCAGCAATCCCAGGCGTCCCTAGGGGTTATTCTCCTCCCCCGACTGATGAGAATATTGAAAAATAATGCGAAGATTTACTTAAAAATTCTGCCTATTGAAAAAACAATGGATATTTTCATTGAGGTATATCCCAAGACGATACTACCCAAAAATTATTTATGGATTTCCGGAAAAAAATCTAAATGATTTAATTTATTGCATTCTCGTAAAGTATTGAGATTTTCTTCTTTTTTTTCTTTTTTTGTTGTTGATGAAGGCAACAATGACTGTTTGAATCAGATGAGAAATTATTTGTTAATTAATTTTTTGAATCAAACAAGAAATGATTTCACGAAATTTCTTCATGTGTAAATAAAAATTTTCTATCAACATTTTATCGAAGATAATATAATATCATTCGATGAGACATTCAACTAAGTTGACAATCTGGCAAAATTAGTTGAAGAGAAATCTTATTCAATTTAATAGTATGAAATAAACAGTGGATTATACATGATAGAAGGAAATGATCGGCAAAATAACCATTCCAATATAAGAGCAATTTCCCATTTGTTTTCAGCAGGTGGGAAATATCATAAACATTATCTATAAAAAATACGGGGACAATCGTAAGAAAAAACTTGTTTTCTCGGTTTTCTACTATTCCTTGAGGCCAATAGCCTGAGATTGAAAAATTAAAAATTAAAATATTCATGCAAGTTCCCCATTGAATTAGTAAAAAAAATCAGGAGAAAATACCGCGAGAAACGCAGACTAATGACGAAAAAAACTAATGGATATTTTCATAAAAATTCTCCCATTGTAATGTCTCAATAATGTCTGCAACCAACCCTAGTAGTTATATCGTTTATCTCATAAGCTGGGATTTATATTTCGGGTATCACGGGGGCCGTCCCCATTACGTCTTCTCCCTCTCGTCACCCCTCGTGATCTAACCCTCGAGGCACTTTGCGTCGTGACGCTGACGTTACCCTCCACCACCTACCGGCTATTATCAACCGACAAGAGCCCGAGGGAGTTGCAGCGGGGAAAAAGTTCCGGGGTACGGAGGAAGTGATCGCGGAGCGACGTATTCGCCTTGACGAGAAAACATTGACGAAATTTTCTCTGCTCCGGCGATCGTGGCCGGGGTGGGATCTGATGGGAGAAGCTGCACAGGGCTGGTTCAACCAAGATAAACCGATTACAGGGGAGAGGTAAAACGAGAAACCGATTATCCGAGATTTTGATGATTTCTTCTGCGGGGGATTCTTGGGACAATCGCGAGTCAGGTGGCGAAGAGAAAAATTAAGAATGAGTTGATGATCTTGAGGGGAGTTCATTTGGGGGGAATGAGCTGCTCTGATTTTGATTTTTTTTTTGTGATTTGAGAATTAAAAAATTGAGGTTCACGAGACATTTTTATTTAGATTTTTTTCAGGCCAAAAAATTTGTTCGTGCCAACATATTCGTATTTTAATAATTTTGTTAATTACGAAATTTCATTGACAGTTGTAGTTTTTCTGGAATCTGCAGTTGTCAGTACGAAAAGAATGACGTTGTCTCATTATATTCGCAACAAAAAATAATAATCCCAGTCACTCAAAAGTAAAAAATTATTATTATTTATGATTCTCATTTATCTGTACTTCCAGGAGGCTATCATGTCACAGGGCATTTTTATTTGGAATTTTCTCATGCAAAAAAAACTCGGACAGTTTCTTTTCAAATTGAATTCAACTTCAAATTGCATATCTCGATAATGAATGGGTTTTTTAAATTAGCTTGTAATACAGCTTTCATTCAAGATTAAAATAGACTTTTATTCGAGTTTTCAACCAGATCGAAAGAATTTTTATCGTTAAAAAATTCATTAGCAACAAAAATGTGCTTGACATTGATTGAATTACAATTCTAAAAATCATGTCGCGAGACATTTTTATTTGAAATTTTCTCATGCAAAAAAACATCTCGACATTTTAAAATCGACTGTAATTCGAGTTTTTATTCAGATCGAAAGCAGAATTTTTTCGTTAAAAAATTCTTTGACAAAAAGAATGAGATCGTCTCATTACATTCTCCAGGAAACACAATAATCCCGTCGACTCGGCACTCAAAGGAAACCTATTATTTACGATCCTCATTTATCTGCACTCCCAAGTGGCTATTACCTCTCACCAAAAATCTTCTCCCATTGATAACCCGAAAAAGCCCCTCCCGTAAATAATTAATACAAATGTCCCACGTTTACAACCGTATCTCCTGATGACGATGCACTTCGCTAAAACAGAAGACAAATAGCCCGTAATAAGTCCATGAATTATGCCTGGACATGTATGAGGGGTTGGTTATAACACAGGGCCAGTGTAGTGTCTCGTTTAACGAGGCACGAAGTGGTCTCAATTTCCGAAACAAGAAACCCACGACGGGCGGTCCCCAGAGGCCTGCTAGGACTCTAGACGTCCTGATAGTGTTGAAATAATGTGGTGTCTCTCTTCGCTCTTCAACCCTCCATTTTTCTCTTGCCGGCCTCCTGTCTCTCCCCCCCAATTCTCGCCTTATCGCGAATATTTCAATTTGTGATGTTTACTGCGAGTGATATTTCAACATTAACATATTTATTCCATTGGAATAAAAACCCTTCACAATTTTTCCTCCATCCGGTCAAGAAAATTCTCGGGAGTTTCATCGTTTTGTACGCAAGAGTAATTACACACTGGAATATTTTTCCTTCGAACTTTCAATGAATTTCGTCATTGAAAATTCTAATTTTACGGAAAAATCAATGGAAACTGTAAACTTGAATTCTATTATTGCAAGAAAATGAATAGAAGTAAAAAAATTCAGGTGAATATATATTTTTAAATTTTGAATTGAGGGGAGACTATTATGAGTTTTAAAAGTCACGGGTTATTAGAGTGAGATTTTTCATACATCGAAGATCATTCATGTAAAATTGTCAAAAAAAATTTCTGAAGGAATCGAGAATATAAAAAAAAATGGTAATAATTTTTAAAAAAATTCTAACCTCTGTTTTTTTTTAAACAAAATAATAAAAATTTTAAATATTTTGAGGATCAACTCTCCATGAAATGCCAATTTTTTCCCACCACTCTCGTGATCTTTCAAATTAATGGAAATCTCTCTTGAATGAATAAAAATTCCGTCGAATCAAAAGCCATCAGCGAGCATTCCCGAGCGTTCACATGTACACCGACCTCCGCAATTTCTCCTCCACCTCCTCAGGGGAATCCGGAGCATCTTATCGTTTCGGTAAGTACAGAAGAGTGGTACACACTCTGGAATATTTTTCCCTCGATCGGGATAAAGAAAAATCAGCGAGTGGCAGCAAGGGCTTCTCCCCCGGCATTTTCCGTTTTGTCTTTTTCTCCTATTTTATTTTCGCTCGCAGGAGTGGGGGACAAAATTTATCCGGGTTCCTCTGTCTGGTATTTTGGCCTACAGTGTGGCATATACTTGGAGGGTTTTAGTGGGCGTTACCCAACTGCGGTGGATACCTGGGTAACTTTCGCAAGCCCTCGTCCAATGGGCTACGTTTCCCACGAAACTGCTCAACGGCTGGAATGAGACGGAGTGACAGAGAGGTAACCCAAGTGGTGAAGGTAAGAGGTAATCCAGGGACTGCTCAGGAGAGGGTGGCGGAGACCAGAGAGAGTGTAACAGCGTGAAAGCTCACCGTGCGCGCGCATTTTGCCTCGGTTAAGGTGACTCCTTTCCACGAGGAGCACTGAAAATTATAACTTTTCCGGGGTAACTGTGCGCCGGAGTCAGGGGTCGTGGTGAATGTATATAGAGACTGGGGAGGAATGATGGCACATCCGTGGTCCACAGTTTGGACGCCAACTTTGGTCTAGTTTGGTATTTCTTTATTTTCCAGCGGGGGCCACCAAGTTTTCTCATATTTACGGGCATTTGTCGGAGTCTCGTCTGTCGCTGGCACTATTTCCACTCGTTTTCGCTTGGTTTTGATGACGGGGAGGTGGGAGTGAGGTCTTAAATGAGAGTTGTTTTTGTATTTTGGGAATCAAAGGTGCGATTTTCCCATTTTTTAACTCTAATTTTATTGAAGTTCATCTTCAAGCTCTAAATCATAATTTGAAAATCAATG